ATATATAATAATATAAACTTTAAAAAAAGTAAATAGATTTAAAAAATATTTATTAAAAAAAAGGGCTTAAAGTATTATAATTATAAAGTTTTTTAAAAAAAATAAAGGTTTATTATAGGCTAAAAAAAAAGGGTAAATAACTATTTAATTAATTATTTTATAAAAAAGCTAGGTTTTAAAAACGGATAAAAATTTATTAATACGATTTATTAATTTATTATTCTTAAGATATTTATTAATATATTTAGTTTAAAAATATTAATATTTTTATTAAAGAATATTAAATCGTAATATAAATAATTAAAAAAGAAAAGAAAATATAAAATTATTAAGTTTTTAAAAAAAAAGAAAATATAATTAATATATAATTCTTTAATTAAAAAAGTACCGTTTTTATATAACTTATATAAAATAATAAAAGTAAATATTATCGATAGGATTTTAATTAAAGAGAATCTTAAAGTAATAAAAGCTTTAAAATAGATTTATAAAAAAAAAATTAAAAAGGAAATAATAAAGTTATTATTATTAATTTTTATAAAAGGGATTAAAATAAGGAATATTATTAAAGTTAAGTAAATAAAAGTTTTTAAATACTAAAGTCTTTTAATTATTAATATTAATCGGAAGTGATTAAAACCTTAAGCTATTAAAATAAACTATAGGTTTTTTAATCGTTAATATTAATTAAAAACGATTAAAATCTTAAGCTATTAAAATAAGTTATAAGTTTTTTAATTATTAATATCGATCGGAAGCGATTAAAACCTTAAGGTATTAAAATAAACTATAGTTTATTTTTTAGTATTATTAATTTTAAATAATTATAATTTTAAAATTTTAAATTAATACTAACTTTTTATATATAATAAAATATTTTATTTAATATTAATTTAAATTATATAAAAATTATTTTTTAATTTTTAATTTTTTTTGACTTTTATAAATTAATTTTTCTTTTTTTTTCTTAAAACCTAACCCTTCGGGTCTTAATTAATATAAGATTAACGATAAAAGAGAGATAGTTAATATCGGATTAAAAGCCTAATTCGACCTTAAGTTAACGCTAGCGTAGGGGCTATTTAAGGGTCTTTATATTAGCGTTTAACCGGCGATTTAATTAACGGTTAGAACCTCTTTTTTCTACTTTACGTAGAGATTAATATAAGAGTAATTGACCTTTCGTTACTACGGTTCGATCGAATAAATCACTTTGTGATTACGTAAACTAACATTTACTTTATATTTTTAATTTTTCTTTTAATTTAATTATTATATAATAAGGGCTTATTTTTCGTACTTACGAAATTAAATAAATTACGTAATTTATTATTTACGTTTTTATTTTATATTTATATTTTATAGGTTAAAAAATAAATATAAATATTATATAATCTAATTACGGTTAATATAAATATAAAATAAATAAATTTATATATTTATTATGAGAAATAAATAAAAAAGAAAAGTAAAAAGAAGGGTTTTTTAAGGTTAAAAGAGGTATAAAAAGGAAAGATTCTTTTAATAATCGGCGGTTAATTTTAAAAGTTTTATTAATAGATTATTTAAAAACATTATTAACGTAATAAACGCCTCTTTTTTAATAAAAGTTTAAAAAATCGGAAATCTTTTATTTTATATAACGTTAAAAAGTCGTTTTTTCAATTTAAAAAAGGGGTTAAAATAATATAATTCTTTTATCCCGTACGGTATTAAAGAGTCGCTTTTTCTTTTTTATAATAATTTTATTAATTTATAATAAGATTTAAATTATTAATTAATACTAATTTATGTAATTATAAAGTGATTTATTTAATCGAACCGTAGTGACGAAGGGTTAATTATTTTTATATTAATTTCTATGTGAAATAGAAAAGAGAGGTTTTAATTATTAGTTAGATCGTCGGTTAAACGCTAATATAAAGACCTTTAGATAGCCCCTACGCTGGCGCTGACTCGAGGTCGAATTAGGCTTCCAATCCGACAATTAATTATTAAATATAAATATTAAAAAGATTAGCATTACTAACTATATATAAAAAATACGTTTATAAATATAAATTTCTTAAAAAAAAAAAAAAACGAAAATTATAAAAAAAAGTTCTTAATATTAAAAAAATTAAATATACTTATTTTAATAATAAATAAAAGGATTAGTATTACGTTATAATAAAATAAAAAGGATTATATTATACTAAAAGTATATAAAACATTTAAAATATTATAATATAAAAAAACTATAAAATTATTATAAACTACTTTTATAATTTAAAAATAATTAAAATATATAAAGAAAATTTTAAAAAACGGAAATTATTTATCGAAAATTTAAAAAGCGGATAAACTATTTTTATTATAATAAAACTACTTTTTAAATATTATACTTTTTTTATATAAAAATAATCTATACGGCCGACTTTACCGATTAATAAAAAACTACGCTAAAACTAAAAGTAGTTAAAAACCTAAAACTCGTATATATAAGAAAAACCACTTTCAGTATATAAAAAACTACTTTTTAATATTAATAAACTACTTTTAATAAGGAGGAACCACTTTTAATATAAGTAAATTATTTTTAATATAGGTAAACTATTTTTAATATAAGTTAACTACTTTTAATATAAGAAAACTATTTTTAATATAAGAAAAGTATTTTTTAATACTAATAAACTATTTTTAATATAAGAAAACTATTTTTAATATATAAAAAACCACTTTTTAATATTAATAAACTAGTTTTAATAAAAAAAACTATTTTTAATGTGAGTAAATTAATTTTAATATAAGTAAATTACTTTTAATATAATAAAATTATTTTTAATATAAGAGGATTATTTTTAATATCATAAAACTATTTTTAATATAAAGAAACTATTTTAAATATAAAAGAGTTATTTTCGCATATAAAATATTAAAATAAAGGTAAATATATAATATTAATTACTAAATATCAATATTAAAAAGATTAATATTACTAATTATATATAAAAAATACGTTTATAAATATAAGTTTTTTAAAAAATACAAAAACGAAAATTATAAAAAAAAGTTCTAAATATTAAAAAAATTAAATATATTCTTTTTAATAATAAATAAAAAGGTTAATATTATATTATAATAAAATAAAAGGGATTATATTATATTAAAAATATATTAACTATTTAAAATATTATAATATAAAAAGATTAAAAAATTATTATAAATTATTTTTATAGTTTAAAAATAGTTAAAATATATAAAAAAGATTTTAAAAAATAGAAGTTATTTATTAAAAATTTAAAAAGTAAATAAACTTTTTTTATTATAATAAATTATTTTTTAAATATTGTATTTTTTTTATATAAAAATAGTTTATATAGCCGATTTTGCTAATTAATAGAAAACTATATTAAAATTAAAAGTAGTTAAAAACTTAAAACTCGTATATGTAAGGATATTCTCCCGCTTGATATCTCTGTGAATGATTTTCTCTGTTGCAAGATAGTCGATCGCCTGAAGAGTATCGTGGAAGAGGGTGGTCGCAAGTTCCTCGAGAGAAACGCAATACCCTTGCCGTATCAGCGATGCTAGGGTCCCCTTTGAAAGTTCCATCAGAACCTCCAAATCATCTCCTAAGTTCCATCCATTCGAGGAGATGTAGCCGATGGTGTTAGGCTAGCAGAAATATCAGATGGATGAGGTCTGTGCTTTGTAGGTTTGACTCACGTGGCTAATTCTTAAGAGAATCTCTATTTCTCGCTTCACGATTTTCCAAACTGAACTGACTGGCGATGCCTTGCGGTGTAGAATCTTGACAGCCATGAGAATCCCCAAATCGACATCGACAGCTTTAAAGACTTCCCCATACTATCCTGCCCCCACCTTATTCCCCATCTTGGCGTATCTCAATTTTGGCCGCTGGGACCTGGGTATGTGTATTCGTGTTTCCATCGCAAAGGGCAGAATCGTACCGGCTTCGTTAATAGTACGGGCAAATCGGGGGTTCTCTTCGTATAGAACGGGTGCAGTTTTCCGCTCTCTAATCCGTTCCATCGTCTTATCGGGCTATTGTGCATTTACAATTCAAACAGCACTTGGTTCTGTCCCCTACCGCCCATACAAACGATTGTGTTTAGTCCTCTTTGGACGACGACTTTACGAGGGCGTCCAAACTCAAACGGGAAACAGGTTTCCCCCCCAGACCTGACTCGTTCGGCCATGTGATCTGTCAAAAAACATGACGACATCGGTATCGGGATTGATCTCGAACGAGCACTGAGTCTTCGAAATGGTTGAGCCGGCAATGAAAATGTCGACGTCACCGCGTCCCAGAGTTGCTAGCGTGTTGTGACCTGCCTTTGAGCGGATGTGGCCAATGTCGAGAGCAGGTCGGCCATGTTTCTGATACGAGAGAAAGTGTCGGTTGTCCGGGTGTTCGAGGACGCTCTGGCTTCGGCTGTTTTTGGGTACGAGGGAAAATAAAGCTGAAGGGTGGGGTTGACTACGAGACATCGCGCTGGTGAGTGCCAAAGTTCTTGAGGCAGCGCGGAGGATTGGAGAAGATGCCCCACGAGGTAGGGGAAGGACATGTTGATCATGTATAGCACTCCGATAGGCGGCCGGAGGGATGAATAATAGCGTTCTTCGTTCGTATACACGGGCGAGGGGTTGCAGTCAAGACCATAAGGAAGGGCTACCTAGTCGCAAATGATAGGTATGTTGGCTTCAGATTGTGAATCGCAGAATGACTGGTCACTAGTATCCCCGGCACCCTGCGTCTCTCCCATGCATGCAACGGGACAAAGACCCGCTTTTGATGGCGATTCGCTGACGAATCATCGGTTTTCTTTAGACGCCCGAAACCTGTACCTACCCTCGAGCAATCAGCCATCCATCCCCCCAATATTAACTGCCAGAACATCACATGGCAAGGCCAGCTTTTCCTCCACCACTCACTCAACCCCGCCTTCAGACGGTTTTATTCTTTCTTTCCCTTTCAGTGCAAACTACCATTTACCATGGGCGAAACAATTCGAGGCGCTGGGCTACTGAAAGCCGATCTCATGCTTGCGACGATCGCGGAGAACCCAGACCGACTCGAAAATGAGCGCCGGCGCTTTGCGAGGAGCGTGCAATCAAACTCCTCCCATTCCCAAAACTCGACCCGTTCCCAGAGTTCTGAGCCGGCTAGCGATGATAAGCAACGTCAGGAACAGGAATTATGGCGAGTGAGAGAACAATACTACGCGTCGAGCCCTTTCCGTCAATTCGAGGTCCAGAAAGAGGCGGAGTTACTTCGACTGTTAAAAGCTGAGGAAGAATCGACGATGACACAGCCCGCAGGAGTTGACTTTCATCAACTTGCGGATGACAATGTCAAAGATAAATGGAAACTACAGGGCATTTGGAATCAGCGCTGGGGGACAACGAAGGAAGCGTGGAAGTGGAAGCATGAGGATTCCGGCCCGACGACCAAAGCAACAGCTACTGCTGTTGGAACTGGCCTATCCCGCCGCCCATACACGAGATCAATGGAAACGATGAAAACAATAAGACGGAGCACGCCTGAAGAGAAAAAATCGAAATCATGCGACAGCGATCGGGATGCGTCTCGTCCGTTCAACCAATTCATCCATCAGATGTTCGAGGAGTACAAGCGAACTCGGTCATTCAACGAATCGGATGTATTTGGTGATAAACCTGACATTTATACGAGAATTTATGAAGCGACCAGAGCGGTTTGGATTGAGCGAGGGATATGGGATGTGAGATGGGGCATACTTCCTGGTCTCTCGTGGAAACACGAAGAGAGTCTCGACAATGTCCTCAATAGGGAATCCGGCGGAAAAAGCGACACTCCTCAACCAGTCGTCCCAGCTCTTAGTGGTCATGGAGCCTTGGGAGGTTCATCTAGCTGTGTGTCTGCGGGCTTGGTTCTGGATAATAACAAACCACCAGCTGGCCTCGCCGCATCTTCCCGATTCACTGAAGCCACAAGGCTACACAGGCGTACTAAGCTGCTCGAGCCAAATGTGCGGCATTCACTGGAAGCACGGCAGGCAAATCCCCTCCGCTGGAATGGCTCATTACGGCGGCAGCATGTTGAAAAGGAGCTGCCCTATGGGTATCAAATGTCCGCGTTGGATGTGTCGAGAAATGAGAGACTCAATACCACAGCCCAGCGCCGACAACAAAAAGCTGATCACCGACGGGAGGCTAGCACCAGGGCAGCCGATCAACACGGCAGAGATGATCTGCCATACCTAGCCAGGTTACGCCCCAGAATAGCGCGAGGCAGGGCGCAACTGGCCTCGCGCAGCAAAGGGTCGTCTTGACCCGTCGGAATAAGACAAAATCCTTGGCGTAATGTTCCCATCTTTGTCCTTGGACTCCTTTAACCAACATAATCATTCGCGTCCGGCTCGATAAAGACCAACGGGATCGAGTAGAGCAGATCCTGCGTGTGCGTTAGGTGCTCACTGGCCCAGCCCGACGAGAGCTGGTGATGGGACACTTTGAAGTCCTCTACCTCACCCCTGTGGAGTGCTACGCTCTCCATGTTGTCCGACTGCATCTCGATGAACGCGCGATGAGTCTTGTGACAACATGAAGCATTAATAGCTCTAGGTGCCGCAGGTGCGTCAGTCTGGTGCCTCGGGTGGCACTGCCCATTTAGATACCGAATGCAGGAGGCAACCCGCCTTGCAGGTTCATTGCAGCGAAGGCCAGCTGTGTCCCAAGGCCCAGCCGGCTTCACCTCCGATGATTCGGCTGTAAGGGCCGTAGCGACACAACCTCTCAGGCGTGTAGATGGATGCGTGGACGGATGCAGATGGGTTGTCTGCAGCGACAAAGTGCCTTGTGTTTTGTTCCCCTCAGCGACCGGGGTATAGGATCTGCTCGTGGGCGCCGTCCCATGCACACATGGAGTTAGAAATGTATGTAACCCAAGGCCTGTAGCCGTCCGCCACCATTGACCATTGTGCGCTTGGGAGGCCATTGTACGCCGTAACCTAGTGAACATGCTAAAACAGTCATACGTCCTGACAGCGGTATGCTGCCTGGACAGCGCTTCGACGGGGAAGCGCGGCAGTCCAGCGGACCCCCACAGCTACGCGAGTTGTTAGCGACTGCACAGCAGACTGCCCCAGTGCGGTAGGTCTATTGGATCTCTATTCGTTCCATTCCTTCTGCATGCCCTATTCAGCAAGGCTGCGTTTGACCATTTTACCTGTCATGAGTAATGCGGCGCCGTTGACAAAAGTACATTTTTGCATAACGCATCCGGTGGCTAAGCGCCGCACTACTTCGCATTTGACAGCAGCCAGTCACAACTATGCGCGCTGTTGTCAGGCTTTCGGTCAGATCGCAGGAGAATAACCGTCTCGGTATAGCAACAGGTTGTGAAGATAACATGCCATCTACGCAGCCCGTCGTCTTACGACTTTCAGTCGTGTATTCACTGTGGCTCCATTTCGGCGATCTGCTGGCCTCAGCCATCCGAATCCTCCTCTTCCTCCCTCGCAGCGTACCCTTCAACCTCTGGTCGGACAGGCATCATGGAGACACCCTCGGACAAGCCGGTTTCTGGTAGTTGCCCCGCAAATCCTGATAATCTGGCAGCGTGCCCTCCGCTGTCTAGCCTACCGAAAGACAAATTGTCGACTGTCAAATAGCTCATTGAACTATTTCAAGGACGACCGTCAAGGACCCATTTCCCTGCAAGCGTAGTCCAGAGAAGCCCAATCCATATCTTCACATGTTTCGCCCAGTTGCATTATCAGCGTGCCAATTCGTCACTCGGCTTACTGCGGTACTCCCCGTTGTGAAGCCTTGATAGAGAGCGGGCGAGGGCGCTTACCTGCATGTAGGCAGTGGGCTATGGCTTTGAACCTCTGTAGGCTAAGGCCTCGGGCTTAGATGCCACTCGTTTATATAGATCTACTATAGGCCTAGAAGTTCAGTCTAAGTAATGTAATAACTATACTTATCCCTATTTCATTATGCCACTGCTGACTATACTGAAGATTTGTCAAATCGTCTGTCGTGCAACACGAGCATAGTTCCGTACTAATAAGTCAAGGTTTCGTATTACTTAATCATAGTTCCGCACTATAACATAAAGCGAAGTGTTCCGCTATTTGTAAAACTTATCATGTCAGCGAAAAGCAATTTGGAAAACGAAGCCTATGCACACCCCGAGAGACTGCGTAAACATTAGCAAGTGGGTTGACTTCAAAGATGTGGGCGGAAGAGATTAGCCGCGCCCGCTAGATGGGCTCCCGGGATGAACTGTTCAACATACGTAGTTCAGTAACTTCCGACCTCCCTGTAGGCTTTGATGTACGGCGTGCTTCTTCTCTGCTTCGTAATCGGTTTGCGTTCGCTGTATTTACCCCCAACCGGCACATAGACCGCAAGCAGGTCTCTTGTTTTCCCAACATCTTGCCTGGTGTTACAGCGCGGCAGGAGGTTGCTAACAATATTGTAGGAAGAGTTTCGAAGCGGGGAATCTGAGGAAGCCTAGAAGAGAAAATACGAGGGTCGGTCATGGTCCGCCGACTTGGCAAACCCGATTCCCACTCCAGCCCCTGTCACGGCCTAATCAGTTGGGTAGATAGTGCAGAACAGGAAGCGATGATGCCGGAGTCATCATTATCGAAGCTTCAATAATTTGTGTCACAGTTGGTTGCTCTGGCCTGCTCGCAATTTGATACCCTTTTTTCTATGCTTGAATATTGTTTTATAATAACGCAGGCAAATCTTATTTATCAAATAGCTTATCTGAAATGTCCTCCAGACCCCTTCTTTTTGATTAACCGGGATACCCGATCTATCATTTGCTATCCCATCCAGATCTCCTGACTTGCATCTCTCCGCCAAACAAATGCAACAAAGATGTCATGAGGATTGAGTTCCGTATCGCTTCATTACCGTTTACGTCGACCGTTCTCATCATCAACATCTTCAGGCAAGAGACGTGATCCATTTTGACAGTATTTGGAGTGGTGGAAAGGATGACTTGGCACTTGCAGGGATAGTCACAGTTCCTCGCGCTAAATACTTAGCAATGTCTAAGTTTTCTCATCTATGGATAAGCCTATTGGGGTTAGTTATGAGGAGGAGGTTTAGTTATAGACTTTGATATCTCGAGGTTTATCTTAAAAAGTGTTAATTAGTAATTAGTAGATGCCGTGAGCGTGTTATATATGGATATGCAATATTGAGTAATTGGCCCTTATGAGGGATAGGAGTAGGCGCAGAGATCCCTTCATTACCGGTCACTCTAATACGCATAACGCAAGGTTTGAGGGTATCCCACCGAAGAAATGGGCGGCGAATGCTTCCTTTCGAGGGTATCGGGGGACGAACAAACCGGAGACTTTGAGGAGAACAGGAAGTATCTTTGCGGGATCCATCCATTGTCGATGAGTCTCGATCGAATATAAATACATCTGCATCTTACCCCTTTCTCCAAACAATCACCAACCCAGAAACAACACCAGCTTCACTTCCAACACAACATTACCCTCCATCTTTACCACTATCACCAAACCATCAACCCAATCCTCTCCAAAATGGTCCGCATTATCTCCGCTGCCGTCGCCTTCCTGGCCTTCTTCGCCACCACCGAGGCCTGCGCCGGTTGGTACCAGTGCAAGTACAAGGACGGAAGCCACTGCTGTGTACGTTCACAACCCCCCTCCTCCTCTCCCGATTTTATGTTACCTTGATTACAATGAGAAAACAGTAAAATATGACTCACTCCGGCGAAATATAGGTCATTGAGAACTCTCTCGGCGCCGGCGGATGCCCTTCCAAGTGCGACGGTGGCTCCAAGTGGCCCGCGGAGTGCGTCAGCCTGACCACCGGCAACTCCCGTACTGAGTACGTTTTGAATGCACTCCCGCTAGATGTGTTCTTTGAGGAGGGAAAAGAAACTCATATGACATTTCCAGGTGCGACAAGTAAATTGCCAAAGCTGGATAATTCCTGGCGGACATTGGCAGTGGCTTCTCGGCTTTGTAAGTAGAGAGCTACGGCGCTGTTCTCAAGGCCATGGATTTTTAGCTCGGAAGGGCGATGAACCCCTGCATCGGGGGGCGCTTCTCTCTCTATCTTGGATGAGAAAGAGGATGGATAGTTGGGAAAGGGGGTTGGTCGGCTAATTCGTAACTCTGGGGAGGAATACGCGTCATCTGTTTCTTTTGAGGTAGAGGGTACGAGTAGATTAGTTTGCCAGGTATACGCACGGCAAACGGTCGCTGACCTGTGAAATACGAGAGCGAATGAAAAGATTGTCCCGAGTACACAGATGTGAGAATGGAGTTGTCAGATTCGTGCCAACGAGTCAAGTGATGTTGCCCTCGCTTCCCCTGTTAGAGACGGATCGGCTATATAAGTGGCCGTTGTCCTTGGAAACTTCCATCCTCGCTGCCATTAATCAGGGAACGGCTATACTGCGCAACAATTCAAGAGTTTTCATCGGCATGCAATACCTTGATTCGGAGTGGTCAGCTTTTGAAAGACCAAAATTCGTTCAATGAGACTTGGACTATATCTGCGTAGACGCAAATGTGGTCGCGTTGCTCGCTCCAACGAACCTTTCAAATCCCTTGGGAGAATTCCTGATCCTGTACGTAACGACGCTATACATTAAGCAGGATTCTCTTACTTGGGTCTAGAACTTGCAGACATCGAGGCGGTATTCCCTCCAAGCTACGTGCTTACGGCAGAGGTGAAGACATCTCCAAAAAGTCCCAAAATGGGCTTTTCTAGCTTCACTCGACTACATCTATCCCCTTGCCATTATGTTTAACCCAAATATTAACAAGAAACAATATGGATGGGTTATGATCTTCGACTGCTTTGATACATCTCATTGCGGCTCTCCACCTCAAAGCCCTCAGAACAGACACGCCCATTGTAAAAGGTATATATAATCTCCAATGAAGGATATGTGCATTACTCTAAGGTACCTTAGTTGTCGTCTATATTGTTCAGCACTTGAGAGCCTAATACAACTAGTTATGTTGGTATGGTGTCGTGGCACATGAATTCGTTCGCTGTTCCGATTATTACTCAAGCAGAAGGTCGAAACCCAGGCCCCTGCTTTGGAAGATCCGCGGTATGACACCGAAAGCTCAACCTATCCTGCTTCCTCAATTTCGGCCGGTTCAACATTGAATTCGAAGTCTCTTGTTGGAAGACGCCTAGTTGGCGATGACAAAAAAAGGCACGTAGTGCCCGGAAGCGTGCGGCATGACTGGTCACGTATGCAGGTTTCTGGATGGCAAGCTCTTCTGCCAATTCTGCCAAGGAAACTAGAGGAGGCCTCAGAAGTCGTTCTGTGCCTGCATGTATCTCGAATGTCTGGTCCTTTCTGACTCCAATGGTGCAATGGGCGGGATTTCCTTCCTTCACATTACCAACCAAGACCAGGCCGGGCACCTTTTGAAGTTCGGTCTGGAGAGCAGCCTGATCTAACTCAGTTCGGGCGCAAAGAGATACTCGGATCTCTGTAACAAAAGCCCATTGACGTAGAATACTGAGCCAACTCTCATCTGCGTCTTGACTCTCCCTGAGTAGCCTAGCTTCGGAGCTGAAATGAGAGACATTGACTATGCGTGCCTGTATAGGTGCTTGATTTTGACATTCAAGGTGACTCAGGTTGCTCGAGACTAGTTCATGTAAGGCGTTAAGTGCAATATCTCGAGCAGATCCGACGACAAGAGTAATAGTAGGTGTATGAGGGAAGTGTAACGATGAATGACGGAGGCGCTTAGCATGCTTTTACTAACTAGTCCTCCTACAGAGTAGGATTTCCTAAATTAGAAACATTCCAAAATGCAGCGGCTACTAGCGTCCGCCCTACTTTTACCTAGGCGCCCTAGTATATATATATGTGCGCGCGTAGTATAGGCATGTTTACCCTGCCTCCCCCATGCCCCGCCCCCCCGCTCCCTTACCCTTACTCTCATACACATATGACCGAAGCGCTGTTTGATGAAAAGTCGGGCAGGGCGGGTATCTCAATCGGGTAGGAATCCGGGTACAAAGTACTGGCAAATTGAAGGCGTTAGAGTTGTTGATAAAGCAAGTCCCGGCTGATCAAATCAGTAAATAAGTTGTTCTGTGCAAATGTAATCATGGTTTTCCACTTTGATCGCTAGTGGCCGAGACATGCGTCAAGAATTGGGTTTAATGCCGCATTTATCTGAGGAAGGTGAAGAAGATGATTTAGGTACGGAGTGAGATAGCGAGGATTGATCCCGGCAGAGAAATGGGACGTTGTTTCCACCAGTTTGCTGTTGAATCCTTTCAAACTACCACCACCATCATCTTGGTAATTGCACACACCATCAACTTCCGACTACCTCGAATTTCCATCCTTCGGCAATCTCACATGTGTTTGTCTTCTTGCTCACACCATCTCGTCGCGTTACTCTTTTATCCCACTGTCTCCTTCAGCGAGGACGGGCACCCTAGCAACTGCCATCCATGCCATAAAAGCAAGCTGCCTAGCATACGAGACTTCTGCCAATCATTCTACGGCGTTCGGACTCGAGCAGGTCGCATGTCTCGTTATTTACTGTGGATATGTACATTGAGTGTCCATAGCTCAACCGTCAGTACAGTATACTAAAGCATCCTCAAGAGCCTTCTGAAACTTGGCGACCTTATACATTTGTCAGTCTGCGCCAGAAGATAGGGGGATCTCAAACGCCTACATCAGGTGGGATGATCATGGTAAAGTGATCGGCATCAATGGAGGTGCATCTGATATTGCCGACAAGCTTGTCCCAGCCATTAGGGCCCAAAGGTTTGCCTGGTGGGATTGCCCACGCAAACGGGCCGACGGCTGGATCCTCCATGAAGTCGGGTATCGGCTCTGTGAGTATACCACTCTGCCGCAACTGTCGGCGCGCGTCGTCTTCGAGGCGCTCGATAACACCGCGCTTGCACCACGTCAGCCAAGTGTGGCGAGGCCGGCGACCAGGCGGCATCGGTACGGGATCGTATTCGGCGACGGTGCGGACCATCTGCGCCATGTGCATCTGTTGGTTGCGCATGACGACCGGGTCGGCCCAGTTACGCGCCTTGACCATGGCCGGCGGGAGCAGCAGACTCATGGCCGGCGGCATACCCGGGTCGGGTCGGAGCCGGGGCACCGCCATGTCGAAGAGCAACAGGCCCTGCACGACGTGCCCGTCCAGGATGAGCTGGCGAGCCGTCTCGTACGCGTAGATGGCGCCGCCAGAGTACCCCGCCAGTAGGAAGTTTCCGCTTGGGTGTACGTCGAGGACGGCCTGCTTAAAGAGTGCCGAGACTTCCTCGACACCCACATTAAAATCCCGTGGGCTATGGAGGTACGGAGACTCTAGCACATACAGGGGGCGGTCGTTGCGGAACCGTTTGAGGTACATGTAGGTGGAAGCGCTGCCTGCGCCGTCGGGGAACATGAACAGCGGCACATGGCCCGACGATTTGCGACCCTGCATCAGGACAACGTTCACTTTCGGGGTCGCAGCCGGCGCCGGGGGTTGAATAACATCCGAAAGTGCCGATGCCGGTTGCAGGGAGTGCATGGAAGGGATAGTGCTCGCGTCCACCATTACGGGCTCCGACGTAGCCGGACTCGGCGTTCGGACAGGCTCAATGGAAACATAGTCCGATGTCATCGTCGATGATCCACTGGCCGCTCGTGTCGACTTCTGCTCCTCTTGCTGCGGCTTATCTTGTCCGAGCGTCCGCTTCAAGGCGCCAATGGTTGGATTTTCGACAAGGATCGAAGGGTGGATGTCGATGCCTGTCTGCTCCCGAACAGTCGTAGTGATCTGCATGGCCATGATGGAGTCCACACCGAGGTCCGAGAGTGCAGTAAACTCAGCATCGATATCAGATAGCTCAGCACCAGTCTCGGTTGCGATGGCGGATAAAAGCACCTCGAAAAGCCCAGTCTGCCGGCCAGCCGCTGATGGAAACCCAAAGCTGACGGCTGGCGAAGAGGCGCCTTGAGTTCCGTTGGACTGCGTGGGTAGCAGCGTAGCCTGCTTCTGTACGTCGACTCTCTCGGTTGCCAAGCCAGTTCTCAACGACAGCACTGTCTGGAGCTCGCCAAGGGTTGGATGCTCGTGGAATACAGAGGCACCGATGTCTAGACCCAGCTTGGTTTGGAGTTTCTCCGCGATCTGGATGGCCATTATGGAGTCTACCCCAAGATCCGCCAGCCTCGTCGCAGCCGTCAGGTCCGAAAGCTCGCACCCTGTCTCTTCAGTAATTATTGATAGTAGAGTGTCGGCGAGCGAAGACTTTTTGGGGTTTGCTTCTGCTTCCGGCTCTTGTGGTTGTGGCTGGGCGGACAGCACCACCTCGATTGCAGCCCGCGTTGGACGATTGACGGTGGCGACTGGAGAAACTCTGCTATGTCCAGCTGACCGTGCGGTTGAAGCACCAGAAGGCTTGTTGAAATCCGTCTTGCCGATCATACGCGCGATGAGCGACGTGGGGATCTCTTGCAGATGCAAGCCCAAGTTCTGCATCACGAGCCGCTCCTCGCGGAAAATATACACATTGACGATTGCCGATGTCTTCTCTCGACTGACGACACGAGTGTATACTATATAGGGACAGTCGGGCTCCAAAGGCTCGACCACGTTGTACGAGTCATATGAGTTCATCATGAACAAGGAGTCGCTAGACTTGGCAGGGTCACCATTAACGAGAAAGCCTGCCAGATGGGTCAGGCTGTCGACCCAATACGGGTTGAGTGTGAAGGTGCATGAGTCTGGAGTGGGCGCAAGGATGACCTCGGCAACACCCTCCTGCATATCGGGAGAGAGGAAGACGTCCGTGATCCGCTGGAAGGCCGCCGCGTAACGGACTGTCCGTCCGAAGATGGAATAGAAAAAGGCGGGCGTGAGGCGCTGGCCGCGACCACCTTTGGCAGCTTCAACGACACCGGCACATCGCTCCCAGATGAACCGGGAAACCATGGACCACTCCTCATGGAGTTGTTTTGGCTTCGCGATATGAACCTTCACCTGCGCTGCGGCGAGGCCGGAGCCTTCCTGTGCGTTAGAGAACATCTTGACCTCGGCGATACCCTCGGGCCCGTTCAAGATCTCGGCGGTGATGACGACTGCCTGGTCGGCTCGAGCGGGATCAACAGAAACGGGCCTCAGGAAAACGCAGTCTCTGGTTCCAAGGTCGATGGCTCTCAGATCCTGGTGCCCCGCCCTCGCGAAGACGTATGCGGCAGCGGTCAGGGCCATCTCGCCCAATACGCAAGCCGGTGAGATAGGCACGTCCATCAGCCGGTGGCCGTCGATCAGCGCTTTGAGTTGGGGCTCGGAAAGAGAAGAACGGAACTTGACGAGCGAGGCTGATGTGCTTACAACATGGTGAAGACAAGTAGAGAGAGGAGGAGGATGAGCAAGGGCCAGCGATGAATCGGTCGCAGCCGCAACGGTTGTTTTTGCTGCTGCTGAGTCGGTACGCGCCGGAAAGGGACGCCAGTAATTCTTGAGATCGAACGCGTACGCAGGCAAGCTAACAAGGCGTAGGCCGGTGGCGTACGGGGCGTAGAACCCGGCCCAGTCGATGTCTTGATGTGATTCATAGGCAGTGGCGAGTGCTGCAGAGATGGATGTCCAGGGTGAGACATTGGGCTTCAACGAGGAGACCAGGCGTGCCTTTCCGGGGGTTCGAGGGGGTAGAAAAGCGGCGGCCAAGTCGATTAACACGGAAGCCGGGCCGAGCTCTAGCCACAGGCAGTCTCCCAGCTTCGCGTCGACGGCCTGGACACCGCCGACAAAGTCGACAGCCTCGCGGGTTTGTCGAACGAGATAGTCCCAGTCGATCTGGTTGGCTTGCGAGACAACCTTGCCCAGCAGCGTCGAAGCGAAGGGCAATTTGGGCACGCCAAAGGGAACGCTTCGTGCCAGGGCGGCGTAGTCGTCCAATACGGGATCTAACTGGCCAGAATGGAACGCGTACGGCAAAGGCAAAACCGTGCAGCGAATCCGTCGTGTGCGGAGCGTAGCTTGCAGAGACGATACGTCTTCCACTGGACCGCTCACGACGATGGCGGTAGGGCCGTTGATGCAGGAGATGGAGGCGCGGGGAAAGTCCTTGACCAGCTGCTGCACAGCATCCAATGGAGCCGCGATGGAGAGCATCGAAAACGCACCAGCCTGGCACAATTTCTCCATCAGCAGAGCCCGCTTGCCGACCAGAAGCAGCGTGTCGGCAAGAGATAGAACACCCGCGATGTACAACGCGGCGTATTCCCCTAGGCTGTGACCAATGACAAGTTCGGGTACTATGCCGCAGGAAGCCCAGAAGGCGGCCAAGGAAATCTCCAGACATACGATGGCCAACTGCGTCTCACACGCTGGCCTTTCCGCCACCTTAACCGTCGTGTTGCTGATGATATCGATGAAGGATGGGAAGCCGAAGGATTCACAGATGCGGACGCATGTGGTCATCTTGTCGCGGAACGCGGGGGCGTGACGGTACAAAGCCGCGCCCATCCCGGCGTGCAGTTGGCCTTGGCCAGAGAAGGCAAAGACCACGGGGGTGCGCGTGCCAGCGTTGGGTACAGACCCGGCGGCTGCTTCAATGGCGGCTTCAATCAGGCGTCCAAGCTCGTCGATGGACGACGCCGTGTACGCTGACCGAATCGAGTGGTGTAGACGCCTGGCGCTGGCGGTATAGGCAAGGTCTCCAAGTCGGAGGTTTGGCGTCGACTTGATGTACGCCAGAAGCCTGCGTTTGTTCATCTCGTGGGACTTGGGAGACTTCGCTGAAGTAACCACCGTGTATGTAGACGGAAGGCAAAACTCAGCTTCCGAGGCGGTCTGCCGCGAGGGCGGCTCCTCCAGCAACAGGCAGGTGTTTCCGCCCTAGATAGAGTATGGGTGTCAGTACCAAGCCAACCCAATGACGGATGCTCGAACTGGTCACCATGGGGTTTTATTACTTACCGAAGCGTCAAAGTTGTTCAATAGAACTCTGCGCGGACGGCCCGGGGCAGTTTTGAACTCGGTAATAGTTGTGGGGATCTCCACGTTCAGTTCCGACAGAGGAGGGAAGCGCGGGTTGAGCTGGTTCGGAAGTCCTGCCTGAGGTGGTATAATGCTCCTCTCAAACATCATTATGGCCTTGATCACTGCTGCAGCGCCTGCGCCCTATTATTATAAAACGGCGTCAGTGGTTGTTTGTCGTATGCGCTTGCAGACTGTGACAAAGAAGTGTACTACTTACAGCCTCGCCGTGTCCTGCGTTTGCTTTGACTGAGCCTACGCGGAGAGGGTCTTTCCGGCGACCACGGGCAAGAGCATTGCTCACTGCCGTCATCTCGGCATAGTCGCCAACCTGTGTACCGGTACCATGCATCTCCACGTAGGATACGTCCGAAGGTTCCAGATGGGCCTTGCGGAGGACTTCCGCCATGAGTTGTTCCTGGGCATCGTGATCCGAGTGTGTGATGGAGATGGCGTTTCCCGAATGATTCCTCGCCGAGCTCAAAACCACGGCAAGGATGTTGTCATTCGCCGCCACGGCATCCTCATACCGCTTGAGCACGAAAGCGCCGACAAACTCGCCACGGCAGTAGCCATCAGCATCAGCTCGGTAAGACTTGCACCCTCCCGTTGTAGAGGTGAATCCCGCCTTGCCGAGGACGTTGAAGTTGAACGGGCTCGTAAGGATATTGGTTCCGCCGGCAACAGCCATGTCGCACTCGCCAGACAAGAGAAACGTGCAAGCCTGGGCTAGCGCCGTCATGCTTGAAGAGCACGCCGTGTCGAGAGTGACCGCAGGACCAACCCACTTGAAGTGGTAGTTGACGCGGCCAGCAGCAAACGAGCGCTGGTTTCCGGTCAAGCTAAAGGCGTCGCCGCCGCGGAGCCTGATGATCTCGGCCCAGTCATCGGCGATTTGGCCCACGAATGTCGCAAACCGACACGCTTCCGTCTTTGTGTGCGGGCGTCGGGCGTACCCCGCAGTCTCGAGAGCCTCGAAGACGGCGAGCAGGAATAACCGGTGGGCAGGATCTACCTCCATTGCCTCACGGGGCGACAGATTGAAGAAACGGGCATCGAACAACCCCGGGTTGTCAAGGAAACACCCGTATTTTGTATTTGTCGTGAAAGGCGAGTTGCTGGCATTGTAGTAATCGTCCAAGCCAAAGCGGTCTTGTGGAATCTAGGAAGAAGCGGCTGTCAGTCACATGATAGCTCTCAGGCCATATCAATGCCAGACAGTCCCGTAATGGTTCAACAAGAGTAACCCTTTTCTTTGGGATCGCAGTTATTCCTGATTGGGCACGAAACTTAAACACATACCTCAGTGTGAAGAGCTTTTGCTTCACAAATCTTTTCCCAAAATTCCTCTAGATCCCCGGAGCGAGGGTAGCGTCCGCCCATGCCAACGATGGCGATGCGCCCAGAGTTCCGCCTTGGTTCCTTGGTATCAGAAGGCGCCTTGGGCTCCGTCTCTATATTGAGGACCTTCTTGCCCTTCCCTTCCAAATACGCGCACAAGGTTGAAATGTGAAGCGACGGCCCCACGCCGTAGACTTTCACCGAAGCGTTCGGCGGGAGGACTGATTCCACTGCCGACAGTCCCTGCGTCATGTTCAGAGGCTGACTGAGAATCTCCCGGACAAGCAGCTGTAGGAGAGCGCTCCACGACGGCGCGGAAAGCAGGCCGCCTTCGCCCAAAGATACCAGCTGAATATTGGCACGGGGAGTGCTCTCGAGAATCGGAAGAACAGCCGTCATGCCGCCGGCTACGTAGTCAATCTCGGCCTGCGTGACATCGGAAATTACGTGTACGAGGCCTGTGACTCGCAGCTTGGATTTCGGGAGATCCTGGACCAACGGGCATGTGCCGAAAAAGTCCTCCAGAACGAGTGGCGGGCCGACGACGGTGTGCCACGCGTTCTCGAGACCAGTCCCGGCTATTTTCAGCTTTCTATGTTCAACGATATTCTGTTGGTGCCACAAGAAGGCTGGTATTAGTAACACCGTCCAGGATTCTCCAAAAAAAAAAAGGCAAGTTTCATATATGCGCACCTTAGTCTCGTGATAGGAATCGAGGATAGATTGCAGCCTGCTGGCATCTACGCCCGACACCAACCAGCCCCAGCAGCCCGGGCCATCCTGAACCGATCTTGATCTCGCGGCGACAACCTCAATGAGGCGACGTGCCAGTCGGATCGTGTCTAGCCCGGCACGGCACAGGGAAGGCATGTCATTCGCAAACATGAGAGCTGCAGCGTTCAACAGACCCCCGCAGGCAGCTGCCAGGCAAATCGGGATCTCATTGGAGCAAAGAATTGCGGGGTTGGATTCCATGTATCTATGTCACATCAAGAGTCAAGAAGCGGCTTCTATGCGGGGGGTAAAATGACCACTCACTGTACCAGAACACCAGCTCGCATGACAGTTACCAGAACAGTACTTGCCAGGCCCTCGGGATCGCCGGATTCTCGAAAGCGCTCGGCTAGATGCAACAAGTCGGTGAAGTCACCGCCAAATGTGTCTCTCAGCCTGGGTTCTAGCGCATCTATCTCCTCTTTCAACGTGGACGTCGCGTTCTGCAGGAAAAATCGGAGCCATGGACTGGCCGACGTTTGAGAGTAGAGGAGTTTGATTGTCGGGTAAAAGATGTCAGTCTGATCCCCGAAAACCAGGACTGGCCGCTCTTGAGAGTCAATAGAAAGAGACCCCATGATGTGGGTAGACGGATGTCTGATCTTGCCTCCGAGTGTGGTTGTGGTTGATTGGTTGATAAATAGTCGACACAGGGAACAAAATCGCTAGAGGCAAAGCTGGCTGCTTTTATTACAAGCTGTGGCAAAAGTTCTTGAGATGGCTTTCCTGACGAGGATCTGTGGACTGTTTAAACCACAATCGTCACCGCTTTCCGGTCTGTGATCGGAGTGAAGCTCTTCTTTGTCCCGTTGTCCAACTGTCCAACTCGGGCCGGGCTAGCGTCTGCTGGATTCGATACTGAGCATGTGCATGTCAGGGACTTGGACGGAGGCCGATACTCAGTCCATTTGCCGTCTAGAAAATGGGTCTTAAAACACAGCCATCCGATAAATGCACATTTATACTATAATAAGCTTCGCATTTGATCCTTGATTGTGAATATCCTTGGCTGTGAATCTTCCCGGTGTCGTCCGAACACATTTATTGTGCCCACTCTCCCAGTTCTACAGCTACCCTTCGTATCGTGAGTCTCGTGTCACTTGTCAGAAATATTTAATAAACTTTATCTAGGTGAGCAGGCAAAATATCCCAGTGTCGCTTCTCTCCCTGGCTACCACACATCAAACGTACGAGTCAAAGAATTCATTCATTTGATCCTGGCGAAAGGTGTCCCGACCGGGTGAAAGATGCCGGAGTTGTCGGAGCTATAGGGGTGGCGATAATTGTCAAAACCTCGGCTAGCATATGGATACTGAAAAAGAGCGGATTTCGAGTAGATTGGCCAGGGCAATGTATCCTGGCATTTCTTTTTCGGCGAACTACTGTCCGATTCTCCGTCAAACCGGGGAACACGTAATTATCGGTTACTAATGAGATCTTTCGTAAGGTAACGAACCCCAAGGCCCAGGAAATTATGACTAGGTCCGTTGAGATATTGATGATACTGCCTTGAAGACTACACAGCACAATGCTCTCAATTATCTTGGTTGGTGAGATGCTCGGCTACGTTCAGATGTGTCCGAACAAGTCGCCTTGTTCCGTCCACAGGTACTATCAGTTGCCGAGATTGCAAAACATATAATAACGACGTAGTCATTAACAACTGGTTTGTGCAGCAAATAACGCTGACGGCCACGGCTCAGTTTGTAGGAATAAATTTAGGACAGCCGATGACAAATTGAATGAAGTTTGTAACTATCTGAGCATAAAGACATGAATACGTGTCTAATCACATTTGTTTTCTTGATAAGCTCTCAAAGACCCCATCTTATGCGTTTTCCGCAGCATCATTATTCACTCCAATAGAAAGTGTACACCTCGACACCGCCAAATGGATCAGAAAAGAATTCCCCCTTGCTGTTATCCGCAGCTCCAGAAGAAACAAACAGAGGCAGGATATGCTCATCTTCGTTATCTGGGTGGACATCGTATGCGAAAGGTAGTTCACGCCATTTCTGCAGGCGTTTGGCTCGCTCTTCAGGATCCGCAGTCGTCACGATGTCCGCAAGGGCCCTATTAAAGTCGGTGACCTTGTTGCGCCATTCAGTCATCTCCGCCGAAGCGGGATCAGCGAAGTAGAGCTTTCGCATCATTGGAACGTTGTGGTAGGAAGCAAAGCCTGAGCCCACAACCGCAATGTTGTCCTCTCGCAGCTTGATCAGCGCCTGGCCCATCCGAGTGTACAGGTCAGGGTCGGAGGAGCTAGAGATCGAGACCGAGATCAGAGGCACCTCGCCTGACGGGCTGATGAAGATAAATGGTATGAAAACACCGTGGTCAAAACCTGTACCACGTCAGGGATTAGTCCGGTCAATCAGCAAGAGCCAAAAGGAGCGAGTTTGTGCGTCGAGAAACCCGGAATACATACCTCTCTCAAAATCTTTTCCGGTCTTCAGGTCAGCTGCAGAAAAAGCGTCGTAGACGAGATTTGCCACCTCGCTAGATCCTGGAGCCTCGTACTGAATATCCCAAGCGGCAGGCGGGTGACTCGGCTCAAAATCATAGCAAATCGGGGGCTTGTCGACCATAGTTACGGTTGGATAATCAGGACGCCAATGAGGGGTAATGACAACTATGGCACGAGGCGCTTCAGATGTGCCCAATCTCAAGATTTCACGCACACGGGTTCGGAGGCTTTCATTAAGCGCGTCATGGCCATGGCTACCCATTTGAGGCTCGAGGACGGGCATCGGACCTAAGATTATGTGTTCAGCACTCATTCCCAAGAAGATCAATATGCAACATAAGTTAGAGACACTGTGAAGTACTTACCACCGCCATGTGTGATGCAAACTACTGGAGCGCGAGGCATGTTGGAATTCTGGACGGTCTAGAGACTGGTGTTGATTTCTCTCTTAGGTCGTTTCACTACTTGACTGGTTGGACGGCTAACGACGAAAATCTGGGCCGCCCGACTTTCGAAGATACTTGATGAGGTAGGAAAAGTGCAGAAGATGAAAAGATACCGTAAATCTCAGAGAACGGGTTATCTGCATGTAAGGTTGAACAACAGCCCGAAGACCTACTTTACAGAGACGGACAATAGACGGTGTCCGCTGGCCGCATTCACCCTCATGGCTGTTGAGGTGTGTAGTCAGTCGGCTGATATTGACCGAGTGATGGAGCCCAAGATGCGCGTGTACATCTCCACAGCTAGAGACTGGCGTGTTTGTATCCCATCGGATGCCACTTGACGCTATTTTTGCCAAGACCAAAATTTTCCACTTAGTACCCAGTGTTATTCCAAAACTCTAATTGTACAAGTTTATCATTGGTTAAACAAGTATTATCGAAGTAGTGTACCTAATTGGTCTACTCCGCCCCAGGCAAGAGTGACGTCAAGTGGCTCCTGGTGGAATAGGTGTATGGATCCATTAAGATTCCCTGAGCTTTTGTGCTTTAGTGTTTAGTGGGATTCATCAAGGTTCCGTAACATTATAAGCTTTTTTGCTTTAGTGTTTAGTGGATATTCGGGATGCGACGAATGCCGGCGACTACGCCTGGTAGACTCACCCCCCTTCGTTGCCAACTCCCTAGATATTCAACGTTAGGAACCCTAGCATTTCTAGGATCGGGGATGAGCATGACTCCCGCTCTTTTCTTCGGGCAGATGAGTGGATCGAACATCATTACTCGCGGCCCCCCAATTCGCTCTTCCCACCCGGTTCCCGCGGGGGAGAAGATACGGCGACAGCGGTAGATAGTGGAGATGACAACGGTTGACCGTTGTGTTTCCCCCTTCATGCAACTGCCTACATTCATTTCATTTCAAACGGTCCAAGCTTACAGGTACTTCGTTGCGTACATTCATCTGGTTAATTTTCTTCAAACCCTGAATTCTTTCTCGACAGACCAGTCGTAGCATCCCACTCCGGGTACACCAAATCATCAACAGTAGTTTACGTGTGAAGCCATCAGCCGAAAGCAGGATGCAGTCCCCCACGAGTGGCCCAGAATTGCTGGCCGATGAATACCCAAGTCCACTCCGAGTCGCCATCGTCGGTGCCGGTATAGGTGGTCTGGCTGCCGCTATAGGCTTACGCCGCAGCGGGCACATTGTTGACCTCTATGAACAGTCTTGTTTTAGTACCGAAATCGGCGCGGCTGTGCATCTAATGCCTAATGGTCTTAGCATCCTCCGGCGTTGGGGGCTTGACACGGCGGATTTTGACGCCAATCCCATGAGCCGCGCCGTCGAGCATGACCAGTACGGCCGAATTGAAAAGGATATCGACCTCTCCAGAGCAAATCTGAGGTGGACAGATCCATGGCTTCTCGCGCAACGGGCCAAGTTTCACAAGGCTCTGAAGACGAAGGCGGTCGCGGCTGGCGCAACGCTCCATACATCTGCGAGAGTCGACGGTGCCGACCCTGTAAATGGAGCTATCACCTTGGCAGACGGCCAGGCTGTAGCGGCCGATGTGATTCTCGGGGCAGACGGGGTATATGTAAGTATCGTTGATCTGTGATGATCATCTTGTTCTTTGAAAGAAGATTGGGACTGGCTGAGCTGACTACTTGCCCTAGTCTGTCATGAGAGGCCTCATCACAGATGCGAAGCCATTCAGCTCCGGGAAGTCGGCCTTTCGTTTCATGATACCCAGGAAGCTTGCGCTAGCTGATCCCACGACTCGCCCCTTGGCTGAAGTTTACGATAGCCTGCTTGCCTGGGCGGGCAGGACGCGCAGGATCATCATGTATTCCTGTAGCAACAACGAGATGCTGAACTTTGTGTGCATGCATCCTGATGAAGAGTCACAAGTAAATAAAACCGGTGGTAAGTGGATAGATGCCACAAGGAAATGTTCTTGTTGTGTTAACACGCCACTCAAAATAGGATGGAATTCGCGGGTGACAACCGAGCATATCTTGAAGGTTTACGACGATTTTCACCCCGCAGTGAAGAGTCTGCTCGCCAAATCCGACGATTCTAGGATTTTAAAAGGAGTATGGCAGTTACTGGACATGGAGCAGATACCTTGGACGAAAGGCAGAATGGCCCTGCTCGGTGATGCTGCCCACCCCTTTACCCCGCGTAAGTCTCTCTCATCAATCCACCCAGCGTTGATCATCAAGAAGGCTGACTCACTTTTGCTTTCAAGACCAGGGACAAGGCGCCGTGCAAGCAATAGAAGATGCTGCCAGCTTGTCTGTTGTCCTTCCGCTTGGGACACACCCGGAAGCAGTGCCTGAACGGCTACGGCTGTACGAGGAGATCCGTAGTAGAAGGGCGCATAGTATCCAAGGATACTCCCGCGAGGCAGGAAGAGACTTTGGGGATGACGAGAAACCCGAGGTGAATAGTGAGTCAATGGAGATTTGCTCCATGGCCGCTCCCGCTGAGAAGGCACTGACTTATTCTGGGCAGACACAGACGAGCTGTTTTCCCATGATGAGCTGGACTACTCAGCGCGCATGTTTAGGAAGTGGAAACACGACAAAAGTCCGGCTGACTTCCGGTTGTTGCCGGTCGGTATTGGATCTTTCTCGGGCCTGCGGCGGGACACAAGCCGCAAAGACGCGTCAGCTTCCCGTTTTAAGAGAGCTGTGGTCAAGTTCAAGACCTCTAAGCCATTTCTGGAACAACTCTTCCCTAGCGAGAAATTCAAGTTCAGGCGTGCAGATACCCTTTGTACCGCCAGTCTGGTCGTCACGTCCTTGGACAACATGTCGTGGCTAGGAGGCGAAGGCTACGTGACACTGGCGCTCCAAGTCCACGGGGTACAGTATAGAAAGCAGGATGGCGGCGTGGTCAATGGGTCCTTCATGCCGATACACCTCGTGTCGCGCAGCGAAGCTGTCACGTCCGGCCGTGAGGAGCTCGGTCTGCCGAGTGTGCCCTGCGACCTGGATATGTACCAATTTGACGACAGTTGCCGTATCACTGCATCATGGGGCGGTGCCAAATTTGCCGATATATCGCTGAGCAGTCTCAAGGCCGGCAACGCCGCCATCGAGAGAGGTCCCATTGGTACCGTGGTAGACTACGGGATCATCGTATACAGGTATGTCCCTGCAGTCGGGCGACCCGGCGTGGCGGATGGCGAATACGCATGTGTCATCCCTCATGCAGGAGAATCCAAAGCGGAGGCCGTTGAATTGGTTGCGAGTTCCAGCAGCGCGAAGTTGGATTTCAAGCCTCTGGACTGGAACCAACTGCCCACCATGAGCCATATCGCATCCGCTTTGTCTCGGATGCCGGTATTCGACGTCGTTAGCGCGAAAATCAGCGAGGGCACAAATGTATCCGAATATCTCTCATGTAGGCGGATCGACTAAGTGTGGTAGCAAATATTGCAACGGCACGGTAAAATTGCAGTTGAGCCTCGGAAAAGTCTCAACATTAAAGTTCAAGTTCGAACGCACTTTCGAGGTCTATGCATAGTTTATTCAGTACCAAAACCCTCGGTGCATCAACACCTTACAAATAAATCTAGCTGCAGGAATATTAGGCGTAAATTACTGCCCGCAATTAACGGCGCCGTTTTTCCGACAGTTATGAGCCCACCTTGCCCATTACTGTGCCAGAATGGTGGAAGTACAGTATTGCTAGCCAAACCACCTTCGGACGAACAATAAGCCATTCCCGCACGTACAACCCCCTCGCAAGACCCAGTGTTTGCTCCCCGCGGAGACCGACTGTACTTCGTATCACGTGGCCTTTGGCGAGATTTACCTAACCAAAATGTTTTATAACTCTTTAGTGGATCCTCATTCGCTGGGAGAGCGATACGAACTTGGGCGGTGTGTCGTAGGAATTAACTGCGTCCTTTGGACCACAAACCCCACATGGAGGGTACAACGTCAGTGGATACCGCTAGGTAGTACCCTACACCTTACGTGGCGATCCTAACCCGACGGGCTTGTGGTTCATAAACTCTAACTCAGTTTAAACCCCAGTTTAGTGTAAGGGTCGTCCCGCTTTATACTCCCGATTTCGGATAAACGCCTCGTGAGTCGTTCCCACAAACTAAAAGTAGCTTCTCGCGGCTTCGCAGGGATCTTGACTCCCGTAAACCTCAATCCACACGGTCTACTTGGGTTCCCCGATATCCGTCAGCATGGTCTTCAAGGGGCCGACTTAACACGGTTGCAACAACCTGTCTTCAAGTGCGTGTAATTCTCATCGTCCTAAGCATAGCATGTTTGAGAAAGCAATCAGACACCATCCCAACTATCAATCTGTTATCACAAACCATTCCAGCCACCATGTCCGCGCCACAACTCAGCGAGGCTTACGGCAAGCGGCTTATTCCGCATGTCATTGACGATGTCGCGAACATCGACCCAATGCGCGAATGCTTTTCCATACCCTTGTCGTCCAATCCACAGGACGGCTGGAGATGGATCTCATATGGCCAATATGCCACGGCCATCGACCGTCTCGCTCATCACCTCGTGAAGACGTCTGGCATACCCCAGCCGAAGAGCTTCCCAACAGTGGCTTATATTGGGGCCAATGACGCCGCGTACCTTATCTTCGTTATTGCTGCCATTAAAGCAGGCTACAAGGTGAGTGTTATCATCGTCGCCGCGGCTCTTTTCCGCTCTTTCTCTACATGAGGCAACAATTAGTAACCTTTTAGCCATAGGCCCTATTTGTGTCGCCTCGGAACTCGGAGGCTGCGCAGCTCAACCTTTTCAATCTCACTGACTGCGACATACTTTACCACGACGCAACGTTCCAAGATCCAGTGAAGCCCTGGTTGGCGAAGCGAAGCAGTCTGAAAGCAAACCTGCTCGCGCCGCTGGACTTTTGGCTGGCAGAGGATCCCGTAGCTGAGCCATTCCCCTACCTAAAGGTCGCAGAGGAAGCTGAGTGGGAACCATTTGTTGTCCTGCATACGAGTGGGAGCACGGGATTGCCGAAGCCCATTGTAGTTCGGAATGGTTTGATCATGCTGAATGATAGGCTGCACCTCCTCCCGTCGTGGAACGGAACGGAGTCCGCCGTGCGCGGTCTGGTTCGTTCCAAGAGAAACTTGACTCCAAGTATGAACATTAACACTCTCCCCCCCCCGAAAAGGAGTCTCACTGACTGGATTATTACAGTGCCCTTCTTCCATTCCAGTGGCCTGTATACATTCTTTGGCTTCCACGTTTACCGGGCCAAGCCGGTCACGTTCGCCATTACTAACAGGCCATTCACGGCCGCTTTCATTCTTGAGCAGTTGGCACACGCTGGTGCTGATATTGACTCCATTTCACTGCCCCCTTCTGTTTTGGAAGAGCTTAGTGTCACTGAAAATGGCTGTGAGGCACTCAGCAAGTTGAAGTTCGTAGCCTTTGGAGGTGGTCAGTGTCTCCGGCCAGCGAAAAAAGCCCCACGTATGCACTTGCTAATATCGACATGGCTTTAGGGAACCTTAGTGATGCCGCTGGCAAGAAGCTGCTTGACCGGGGCGTCGTGCTCCAAAACTCCTTCGGATCCACCGAGTATGTGCACATTCCCTCTGTTTATCGCGTCCTCGCAAGTCTGACATGTATTACAAGATGCGGCTTGTTACCATACTATTGGCAGGCAAACCCTGACGCATGGCAATGGCTTCTCATAAACCCGGACGTGCTCGGTGCGGAATGGCGATCAGTCGCTGGCGAAGATGACGTGTTCGAGCTTGTTATCATCCGCAAAGACCCCATTTCTAGCATCCAGGGCGTGTTTTACACCTACCCAGATCTAGATGAGTGGTCCTCCAAGGACTTGTTCAAGAAACACCCGACGTTGCCGGACCACTGGAAATACCACGGGAGGTGCGATGACTTGATTGTCCTTTCAAACGGGGAAAAGCTCAACCCGATGACGATGGAGAACGCTCTGAACGGACATCCGAAAGTCAGAACCGCCATTGTGGTGGGCACAATGAGGTTTCAACCTGCCCTACTTGTCGAACCCGTGCGGCATTCAAACAGCACTGAGGAGGCCGAAGATCTGCTGGAGGAGCTATGGCCTCTTATTGCCAAAACCAACAGCGAGATGGCGGCGCATGCCCAGATAAGTAGGCAGCTCATCTTGCTCACCAAGGCCGAAAAGCCTTTTCTCAGGCTGGCTAAAGACACTGTTCATCGAGTTCCTTCCATCAAGCTGTACGAGTCAGAGGTGGAAAATCTTTTCCAAAAAGCAGACGCTGGATGGAAAGACGCTCGATGCAACCTGGATCTTACCTCGGAAGAAACCCTCTTGCAGTCTGTATGCCGTCTTTTCCAGACGCTTACTTATACGACTACCATTGAGGCAGATACAGACTTTTTCTCGGCGGGCATAGACTCCCTTCAGGTTGTCAACGCATGTCGTTTGCTCCGCGGTGCCCTTCAGGGAAAGAGCGACAGTATTGATTTGAAAGGGATCGCGCCGCGTATGATTTACTCGAAACCGTCGTCTCGAAATCTCACCCAAGAAATCTGGGGACAACATGTCGGCTCACTGGAACCAGTAGATGCGGACGTTGAAGCGTCTCGTGCCATGTCTTCCTTGCTGGCCAAGTACACCCAAACCCTACCCAACAAGCCTGAGACTGAAAGATCACCAGCACGAGACTCGCAACAGGTCGTCATTCTCTCCGGAAGCACGGGAAGGCTTGGCGCCTACCTGCTCGACTTCCTCGTCACGAACCCAGCGGTACAAAAGGTGGTTTGTTTCAACCGCGCACAAGATGGCCGGACCCGTCAGCTACGCCTCAACGCGGAACGCGGGCTAAAGACCGACCTTAGCAAGGCCGAGTTCCTCCAAGCAAACTTCACCCAACCTGACTTTGGGCTGGGCACCGAGACATACGCGCGGCTGCTTGCCGACGCGGACCGTGTCATCCACACCCAGTGGCCCGTCAACTTCAACCTCACACTCGAGTCCTTTGAGCCGCATATCCAGGGCATACGGCACTTGATAGATTTCTGCCTCCAGGCATCCAGAAACGTGCATCTCGTGCTCGTATCCACGGTGCTGGCCGCCACGAGCTGGGACGGCTCCAAAGCCGCCCCCGCGTCAGCTGTGCCTGCGGGTCAGTACGCACAAGGTAAACTTGTCGCGGATCTTATTCTCGAAACGGCAACAAAGCGCAGTGGGATATCCGCCGCCGTCGTGCGAGTCGGACAAATCGCTGGTCCCGAGGACGCGGCGGGCGTGTGGAATCCTGACGAGTGGCTGCCGCGCCTCGTCGCCTCATCCGTTCGAACTCTGGGTGTGCTACCGCGTGATCTGGGTGTCATGAGCACAGTCAACTGGGTTACCTCACAGGGCGCGGCTCGGCTGGTGCTCGAGGTAGCCGGTGTAGCAGCAGGCTCGCGGGCACCGGACCCTTCCAGCGGATACTACTACGGCGTAAACCCGCACCCCAGGCATTTCTCAACACTGAGTGAGGCAATCAAAGGGTTCTATGGCGGTCGCATTCAATCGTTGGTCAGTTGGGAGGATTGGGTGGTAGCCTTGGAGCGGAGCGATAAGGTGGGAAATGACGTGGCGCGGAACCCGGCCCTGCAACTGTTGGATTTCTTTAAGGGCACGCCAGGCGAAGAGGCCACGAGAGATATTCGATTCCACTTCTCCCTGGAAAAGACGCTCAAGGCTAGTCAGAGCACGAGGGAGATGCAGCCTGTCACCCCTGAGCTGATGGTTCAGTGGTGCCAGCAGTGGGCCTTTTAGACGCCGCTATGATTTGTATATAGTTCCATAGTCATAAGTGTTATGTTTACCCATCTGAGGCATGTGTAACAATTGAGATACATTGTGGAGCTTTCATTGAAGTTTATTGTCTTTTTTTTCGCCCGAGTTATAAACAACTGTTCTTCGATATACTGCTGCAGTCATTGTTACTAGATGTTGAATCAACAACACATGCTTCCATATATCGACATCATTTTGTGACAAAGCTACTTAAATCATAACTTTCTGAACCTGGTAGTACATTCGGTTAAGATATAGAACCATTTAAGCTTCAAGAATCTATCCATGTAATAGTCTCGTTTCAGACAAGAATATCCCTACATTAACAGCTCACATCTTTATTCTCCTTAGCATTAAAAATCGAGTAGAAGAGTAATCGGAACACCGCCCTTGTGGCAGCCGTTTCGGTCTGACAAGAAGGCTGGGCTGCGCGATGGCTGGGCTAAGGGTCACAACGGGCTTTCTGATCTACACGTCTGAAAGACGTAGGGAAGTGAGTAGCAATCAAAGTTAATTAAGGCAAAGCAAAGAACAGCGGTCAAAGGTAAAGGCAGGCGTAATCAAGTATGTCTCACTAAGGCCAACCTTTGCGAAGTAAGACTATATAGTCTGTAGCTACATGTATCTGCACGTGCAGGCAGTTGGTGACTGCTATACTTGTATCTAGCTTATGACAATTCGATTGGAAGACTGCAAGTAGCCTACTAATGACAATGGTACAAATGTAATTAAAATACATGTTTGGGCTACTATAGAGATTATTAATCCCGTCCAATATTTCACAACAGGCAGTTAGCTTCCTCGATGCGGTTTTCCTTCCCTCTTTCAAACTAAAGAATATGTATCCTCGTTAGGAATTAGAAGATTCTCTTCAAATATGCTTATTATTTATAGCAATTACCTATACAACTTTCCTTTTGCTTACAGTAAGGCCAGTCATTTAATAAGTGTAATAATTAGCAACTTATTTCCAGTAGGTATGTAAAGTACAAGCTAGTAATTTCCTCCGCGTTAGTTAGAGTTCTTCATTAAACAAATGCCGTTGCGGCTGCTATATAAGCTAGAAGGGCTTGCGATCTGAAATAAAGATGAAGAAGAAAGGGGATTAGGTCTATTACCCAAAAATCTCTAAAAAGCTTCTGTATGGGTTGTGTGGGTGCCCGGCGTTACTAACAGGTCAGTAGAGAACTTAGGTCTCATAACACCTTATCTTTACTATGTCACGTCGAAGTCTTCGGGCAGGCTGATGCGCTGTAATAGGTGCTTAATAAAGGTAATTCCGACTTAAAACAGGCCCACAGCCCTGCAACGGCTAGGGATGATGGTTGAGGGGTCACGTGCTAAATAACACGATGCCAGGTCGGCCCGCCCAGCGACACACCAGATGAGGCAATGAGGTTGTAACATTCTCGGCTAAATCTGCAATAAAGGCGGCGCCATTCTTAGTCAACTAGTCTAGACATGCCCATTCCATCAAACAGTGGGAGTAGCAGATTCTCGAGGCGACGGTTGGTGGCCACCTTCGTGTTAAAACTGTCCAGCGCCTCCATATCTTTATCCGACCAAAGCCCAATGTTCCTAAACCTTTCCGCCCAGGGATTCTCGTCGGTACTGTTTGCCACCAGGCCGCGACGGATTACGTTGTCGGCGATGATAATTCCACCAGGGCGAAGTAGACGGCTTTTCGCGCCGGGCTGGGACTTTTCGAGTATAGAATCCAAATAGGCAGGATAACGCTCCTTGTCCGCGTCAATGAAGATGATGTCAAACGCCTCTTCGGGGGAGAGATCTCCAAGCCTGCAGATAGTGCCGGTTAGCCGACAGCCTATGTAAGGGAGGGGGGATGGTGCGGCCGGCGTACAATTCTGCCGCGTCGCCCTCGACGACCTCGACGTTCTGAGCGCCGTTATCTCTCGCAATCTTGCGGGCTTGGCTCGCGTACTCAGCGGACAGCTCAAGACCCACAACCTTGCCCTGGGGCCCGACAGCATCAGCCCAAACAAGGCTCGTGAAGCCAAGGTAGACACCTATTTCCAGAACTGTTCATACAAGTGTCAATCGTTCTGGCTTCGTTGCATCGGGTATGCGGGTACGACGGCGTTCCGATGCCGTTCCTCTTACCTCTCTTCGCACCGATCACACGGGCCAGCCAGTGCAAAGACTTGCCCTGGAAGATAGAACTGCTCATCATGGCCATCCGGCCCTGACTGGCATAAATCCAAGCATGATAGTCTTCGATGTGTGGAGGGAGGCTGAGCGACTTAGCGCAGGCGTAATTATAAACGCTCTCGCCAACTTTCGGGTTGGGATAGAGCACGGCGCTTTCGTTCTCCATTGCGGGTGGTTTGCTTCTAGCTGAAAACCCGAAAAGAGGGAGTCGTCATTGATGCCACACTAATAAGGCCAGAAAAAAGAGACTGGCGGGAGCTTGGTGTCTGAGCGGACATGGGAGTCAGAGTATCTAGAAGGCCAATCGTATTTTGTACTCCATCCCATGCCACATGACGGCTACAGTGCCAATGTGGGAGCCGGAGTGTGGGCTGTCATGCCTTGTCAAACCATTACTCTCTGTACCTGCACTCTGCACGGGCTTTACGAAAATACCGTTCGCCGGGCCGGGACTGGAGACGTCCAGTTCAGACGACAGACTTCCGACCTATTCCCTCTTGTTGACCTGGCCGAATTGACCGTACTGCAATGTCCTATTTTGATACATATGTGTCAGCAGCCTGGGCATTTCGAATGAGTAAGTTGTACACGACGCATATATTAAACTGAACTTTAACTGGGCTAGCTTCGTATTAGATTTGTCCGAAGTCGGCATTCACAATTGCGGTGTCAGAACTACGGAACTGCCCCTGGACCCCTGGACTTCAACCTCGAACCCCTACCCTGGGAGAGACCTACTTACCCCTGCGCTAGCCCTGCTCCTAAGCCCGTGGAGATGTGCGGGGAACATGAAATTAACTGCGAAACTTTAGTGTAAGTCATCGGCTCGGCCGGTGGTTTAGGTGGGTTTGTCAAATTTCGCGCTAGGCTTCCACTCCGGCCGAAAACCTTAAATCGACTCCTCTTCGTCAGACGAGCGATATTCAAGAAAGCAAGGTATGCAGTTAAAGGCGAAGCAATATCGTTGCATGCATACGAAAGAAACGAATACATCTGGGAACCGGACCGCAGCCTTTGGCCTTAACTTTCATCTCGACAAGATAAAGATATTGTCGTTTTTAATATCTCGTATAGTCAGCCTGTTGAGTCTTGTTACCTCTTTTCCAAGGTCCTGTATCATTATGGAATCCCGCTCGCCTTTGAAAGTTGTCATTATCGGAGCAGGCATCGGGGGTTTGATGGCCGCGTGTGCTCTTCGTGAGACAGGCCAAGATGTTGATGTGAGTTGCGCTTCTGGTTTGGTGACGCAGGCGATGAAGCGCCCCATGAGCGAGTAGAAGGGGCCACCAGAACAATGCTTATTCTCTCTTAGGTCTACGAGCAGTCCCAGATGGCAAATGAGAAGGGCGCCGCCATCGCGCTGCAGCCAAACTCGACAACCCTGCTCCGTCGCTATGGGTTTGAGCCTGAGAAATTTGGAGCGACGACCATGGAGAATGTGAGTCCCAAAGCAAGCCCGGCGCAAGAAATGGACGCTGATCGTGTTTGGTTCTGCTCCAAGATGATGATGATGGATGGTGCCAGTCTGGACGTGATGCAAGAGATAACCGACAAGGTGAAGGAGGCAACCCTGTCGGAGCAGCGTGCACAAGTGAGTTGATATGCGACGAAAATCATTCGTCTCCGTTAAATGTAGCGAGAGCATTGGGGTCAGGCTGACCAAGACGTCTGAAGAAATGCTATTTCATTCACAGAGTCGATCTCCACAGCACTCTGAAGAAAAGGGCGACTGAGCTGGGTGCCGTGCTCCACGCCGGATGTGAGATTAAGAGTGTGGATGAAGACGCCAACACCATCACGCTCGCCGACGGCACGACCGTCAAGGCAGACGTGATCATCGGTGCCGACGGAGTCCACTCCCGAACACGCAAGGTGGTCTTCGGAGAGTCTTACCAAGAACATCCGTCGGCCCTGAGCTGCTTCCGATTCTTGATCCCGACCAAGAGCCTTAGAGAGGATCCAGAAACACGCGTCTTCGTCGAGAAGCCTGGTAGCATGATGGACCTAGTTGGACCAGACAGGCGCATCATCCTTTACCCGTGCTCCCAGGGCGAGTACCTCAACGTTCTTCCTATTGTCCCGCGCCAATTGGCTGAAGGTATGTAATGCCGCTTTCTGTTTACCCTTTCCTATCATGCTAATGTGACAATTAAAGCTGCCGGACCGAAGAAAGAGAACCTGCTGTCCGCCTTTTCCATATTTGCATCGCCGGTGCAGCGGATGTTAGAAAAGACTGACGAACAGAGCATTACAATGTGGCCCTTGTTCGACATGAGCGCTCTGCCCATCTGGGCCAAAAACTCTGTTGCTCTGCTCGGGGACGCTGCACACCCCTTCACGCCATGTGAGTTCACAACCCTACTGATAGCACCACCCCTGCTCTTTGGGAGACTGTAATGCTAATGCTATGGTTGCCATCACGAAGTCCTTGCTCAAGGTGCCGCATCGGCAATGGAAGACGCCGTCTCTCTGGCCGTCATGCTGCCTCTTGGAACCAAAACAGGGCAGGTTCCTGGCAGACTGCAACTATACGAGCGCTGCCGCAAGGCCAGGGTCGATCGCATCCAGGAGTTGAGTCGCGTGAGAGGCAGAGATGCATCGGGAGAGCGAGGTAAACCGCCGACCGGTAAGACTAGAGTCCTCGTTTTCTCCATTACAGTACAAGAATTACTAAACCAGACGAATCAGGGAACGAGATTTTCAGCTTTGCCATGTACTGCAAGCAACACGACGAATACGTCCATTCGAGCAAGTTTCTGGAGGCTTTTGATGTGCCTTTCATCCCTGCACCACCGTCCCCCATGAGCAACCCCTAGGTTGTATCTTTGCTAGAATCTAGCTGTAGGGTTCATAGATGAATTGTATTTAAGTGTGCGCAAACCCGATCTGTTCTAAATAGTCAAACTTGTCTCAAAGTGAATCCTCTCTCCTGTCTTTACAGTAGCACATGTCAAGTGAGGAGATTAACCACTGCAAGAGTGACTGAACAAATCAGCCTTGAGCTTTCTTTCTCGAATGTATTCAGCTGCTAAATCGGCGTTTGCACTGCAATGATGATGTTTAAAATGCGTTGAAAATACATAAAGAATAGTCAACCGATTGCAGAAGTCAATTGCCACTCCGATTTTGGGTCATAAGATGTAGTCGGCTTGAAATATCCAAGGAAAAGAACGTTTTAAATTTATTAACGCCGGGAGCTTGTAATCAGATGTCTGACAATTTTCACGTCGTCCAGTTTGCTACCCTGTTAACCGGGACATTCTATGGAAGTGGTACGTTGCCTCCGACAGTCCCGTATTCCTTGATTAATGACTCTCTTCTGGGCTCAGAAACACCTCGAGCAAAGACATGAGGCTTCCCAGCGGCTTCACCACGTTACGGATTGAGAGACGCGGGTCGGCGCGTCGGAATAAGGCCTCAAACTCTCCAAAGTCTCGCTCCTTCGCATTCGTCATCAACGCCATCTGGAGATCCATGGACCGCATAGGCCTTTCAGTAACGGTTGGCCACTCGCCAGGCTGCGGGAGTACCGTGTCCATAATGAGCAGCCTGGCACCGGGTCGGCGAGCGAGGGCGGCGACGACGTGCCGGAGAATGGTGACGCACTTGTCGTCGGACCAGTCGTGAAGGATCATGCGCATGAAGTAGACGTCGGCGTCGACGGGCTGCGGCGCGAAGAGGTCGTGCTCCATGAAGGTCACGCGGCCGCTCTCGCGCAGCTCCGCTGGCACGGCGCTGTTTTTCGGGCTGCGGGCCCGCGCAACCACCTCCGGCAGGTCCTGGACCACGGAAGTCATCTCCGGGTTGGCGACCACGATCTGCGCGCTGCAGTGGCCTACATTACCGCCCATATCCACCATCTTAGCCGGGCCCAGCGAGGCCCAATCGAAGCCGTTGATGAGGTGGTCCGCGGTCTGGAACCGCGACTTGGACATGAATTCCATCAGCTCGCTGAAGTCGCTCATCTTCGCGGGGTTCTCGGCAAAGTAGGCGAAGAGCGGCTTGTCAGTGCCGAACACAATGTTGTGAGCCGCCTGGTCCGGCTGGGTGCCGCCGTGACCCCACTTCTCGATGGCGTCAAGCTGGAATGCCGCCAGTTTGAACGTGTCTCTGCTCACGAACTCGTTGTAGAGACGCACGCCCCGCGATTCGACGAGCCGCTTGGAAGATGCCGTGTGCGCGACACGGCCGGGCTCAGGCTCCACAAAGACATGCAAGGCCATCAGATGGCGCAGCGCCCTCTTGAGCTGGGTAACCTCGGTGCCGGTTTTCGAGGCGAGATCCGCATAGGAGACGGCTCCCTGAAGAGGTATGCTCTCTGCAACTTGGAAACGGGACACGTAGGCAAAGGCGTTCAGGTCATGGACCTTGTTATACAGATCTTCGGTCAAAACATCGTCCGGCTCTGACACCAGCTCCAGGAGCGTCTTTGCGGCTTCTCGCAGCTGCTGTCTGGCCGCTTCCGTCTCGGAATCCATGGAGGGAAATCCCGTTGGGCCGTTGGAGTCGAAGGACGGCTGCGGGTGGCCATTGGATGACAAATGATCTTTGAGCTTTGTCGCTAGTTCATGGCACTCTGCTCCTAGGGCTTCTAGATCCACCCGAGGCGGCTGAATAGGAAGAGATTCGCTCTTTTTCGACGCCATGAGAGCCATGTGGAAGTCGACGTATCAGTGATTCGATGTAGTCGAAGAAGTAATCAATGGTAGGTGTTTTCAAGCTCAATATTTGCCTGGTAAGGAGGGCGTGTATGGTAGAGTTTATGAACACGGTCAACTTTTAAAACCTTGTTCCGACTGTTAGAATATGGGATATCCCTCTTTCACTGTAGCCATGCTAGGTAAAAGTAGGAACCACTGCGAGACACTGCTGGTAACTGCCTAGTGTCGCCAACTCTATGATCTTTGACTCAGAAAGTGACTTTTGCAACAAAACGGTATCAGCTTTACTACATAAAAGCAGCTCGTAAGGACCGACAAAGGACATATTAAAGTTTCTTATACTATAATATACATCCGTGTGACTCTCAGAAGTTCTCCAAAGGCCGCTGATACTAATAAGTTGCGCCATATTTCCAGACCGACGGAGTCCATTGTCTCCAGAGAGGCGCCAGGCAAAGTATCATGCTTTCCAATAACAAAAGTCCCATCCCGAGGTCTCCAGCCGGGCCGTCGGCATTATTCAAGTGGAATGTAGTTAACGAAACCCTTTGGCATGGGTTACATTCTGTGGGGACACTTGAGACCTCATGGGGGTGGTCGTAGGAAATGGTTCATCCGAGATGTTCAGGGGTGGCCATAGGAAAGGATTCGTTCGAGATATACAGGGGTCATCAATATCGGGACGGACGGCGTCCTACTGTCTCCAGGGTCGTGTGCCAAGGGGAGTGGCAGTAACCTACTTGTGGATTGGCAAACCCGCAGAGAAACTCCACCTCTCCACAGAGAGGCTCCATTTCTCCACAAAGCTTCTCTGTGGAGCTTCTCTGTGGACTTCTGATACGGGCCTTTGAACGGCAGCGGTGAATACGTGTCCGTCAGTTTCCGTTTACTCCCCTGTCAACTGCCAGTCCATGCTTCGAGATGTCGTAGTCTTCCAAGGTAGAAAGAAATATATAAACTCTAATTATTTACGGGGGGTTTGAATTAATTTAGGAAAATGTAGATGGTGAAGTAATTGCTTGTACTCAAAACAAAGGTGGCATAATTCTGGATTCCAATCCCCTGCACAATAGGATACTGCGTGCGCAGAGCTTCTTGACTGTTCAGACAAGGTACCACAATGCCAACGACTGGAAACGTTGAGCCTTGAAACCCATCAAAAAGTGTTGCTACGGATAGAATGACTGGTCCAAGGGGGATATATACTCCTGCCACTTACTGCTTGCAGTCCGTAGCATATCATCTGTTATCTCACTGCCCTGCTACAACCTGGTTCTTTCCCCCTCCCTTCCTCATCCGTTCGTCATCACTACGAGCTTCCTTTGACGGCCGTCTTCATCATGCCATCTCCCGTCGCTATTATCGGGCTAGCGTGTCGCCTCCCCGATGATGTTTCTTCTCCAGAAGAATTATGGCAGCTGCTGTTAGCTCAAAGAGGTATGTTGTAGAAGATGCTAGGCACCAACAGGCCTTGCCATCGTAAGACTGACATACACCGGTGGTAGACACCAACTCCCTCCCTCTGAACAGATGGAATACGGATGCTTTCCACCACCCTGGGCGCAACAAGCCTCAAACAATCTCGGCGAGGGGAGCCCATTTTCTCAAGAGGGACGTGACAGCCTTTGACGCGGCCTTCTTCAACATCAACACGAGTGAAGCTTTGGCCTTGGACCCGCAGCAGCGTTGCGTAATGGAGGTTACCTACGAAGCTCTAGAAAGCGCTGGTCTTACCATTGACGCAGTGTCGGGTTCTCGGACGGGCTGCTATGTTGGCTCTTCCTCGTCCGATTATAGAGATTCCATCGCGCGGGACACTGAGACGTCACCACGCTATTCTGCGCTTGGTATCAACACGGAAATGCTGTCCAACCGTACATCGTGGTTCTATAACATGAAGGGCCCCAGCATGACGGTGGCCACGGCCTGTTCCTCCAGTCTCGTCGCGATCCACACGGCGTGCCAGGGCCTCTTGGCCGGCGAGACCGACATGGCCGTTGCCGGTGGCGTGAATCTCATGTTGAACCCGGAGTTCGCTATTTACCTTAGCGGCATGACGATGATATCGCCGGAAGGTCATTGCAAGTCGTTCGATGCTTCGGGAGACGGGTATGCCCGCGGCGAGGGTTGCGGCATGGTCGTCCTCAAGCGTCTAGACGATGCCATCCGAGACAACGACCCGATCCGCGGCATCATTCGTGGCACTGGCGTCAACTCGGATGGGTTCACGCAAGGCTTTACGATGCCCAGCTCGGAGTCGCAGGCATCACTTATCAGAGAGGTCTACCAAAAGGCAGAGCTGGACATGAGTGACACGCAGTTTGTCGAATGCCACGTAAGCTCTCAACACACCTGAACTAATCTGTTTTATGGTGCCAGTAAAGCTTATCATCTTTGCTATAGGGAACCGGTACTAAAGCCGGCGATCCAATTGAAACGAGGGCAATCTACGAGACGCTTGGTAGAAAAGCTAGCAGCTCGCAACCACTGATGATTGGCAGTGTAAAGCCCAACGTACGAGCTCCTCATTCTCCACCCATCAAACTGTTATCAGTCACTCTTCACTAACTTACTCTCCACTTCGTAGATTGGTCATTTGGAGGGCGCTTCTGGCGTTGCGGCACTCATCAAGTCCATATTAGCTCTTGAGAAGGGATACATTCCGCCCCAGATGTTCTTCCGCACGCCGAATCCCAACATTCCGTTCAGCCAGTGGAATCTCGAGATCCCAACGGCGTTGATGCCGTGGCCAAGGATAAAGGGTCCTCGGCGGGTGAGCATCAACAACTTCGGCGTCGGCGGGACGAACTCGCATGCCATCATCGAGGGCGCGCCTCGGCAGCATCAGCAGCTTGGCCCGATATCCGCGGCGGCCGAAAAGAAACGCCTCTTTGTCCTCAGCAGCCAGGATAAGAACGGCCTTGTGCGCGTGGCCCAGTCACTGGTAGCCTATCTTGGCGACAAGGAGAAACACCCCCAAGCATCTGCTGCCCACGCCGCCAGTCTCGCGTACACCCTTGGAAACAAGCGCTCGCGTTTCTCGTGGAAGAATTTCTGCATTGCAGCCGACTTGACGGCCCTACGATCTGGCCTGCGCGCGCTGACGAGCGACGGCGCCGTCAGGTCCAACGCTGCTCCGCGCATTGGCTTCGTGTTTACTGGACAAGGCGCCCAGTGGCCCCTGATGGGTCTGAGACTACTTGGTGAGTAGCGCAGTTGGGATATCAATATGCCACGTCTTATCTGTCCCTAGAATCTCTTGTCGACCCTGTCTTATGGTATGGATTCAAAAATGCGTCGAAAATTATGCTAACTATGATGGACCAAAGAATTCGACGTCTTCCAATCCAGTTTCAAAAAGTGCCAGGGCTATCTCACGGATCTGGACTGTCCTTGGGACGCCGCCGAAGAACTCCGAAAGCCCTCGGAAACAAGCCGTATCAAGTCGCCCGATCTGAGCCAACCGCTGTGCACCATGATCCAGATTGGCATTGTTGATCTCCTGGCGTCTTGGAACGTCTTCCCGATCAAGGTCGTGGGTCATTCCAGCGGTGAGATCGCCGCCGCGTATTGCGCGGGCTCTCTTACTGCCCGGGAAGCGATGGAGGTGGCCTACCTCAGAGGGAAGTTCTCCGCTGCGTTCGCCACGATGGAGCCGCAGCGAGAAGGAGGCATGCTCGCTGTCGGCTGCTCGCGGGAGAGGGCTGAGCAGTTAATCTCTGATGTCACGGCCGGGCATCTTACGGTGGCCTGCGTCAACTCGCCGTCCAACGTGACGATATCTGGCGACGTATCCGGGATCGAGCAGCTGCATGAAAAGCTGCGAAGCACGTCTGTCTTTGTCGCCCGGTTGAAGGTTGACGTGGCCTATCACTCGGAGCACATGGAAACAATCTACCCAGGATACGTCCAGTCGCTGACGCACATCCGTCCCGGCCAAGGGCTCCGGGACGGCGACAGAGACAGCAGCGCCAAGGTCACCATGGTGTCAAGCGTCGATGCCGCCGAGATTGACCCCGAGGCCCTCGGTGCGTTCTACTGGGGCCGCAATCTTATCTCGCCTGTCTTGTTCTCGGACGCACTTCGCGAGCTTGTCCGCCCTGCCGACGGGCCTGCTGGGTCGTCAAACACCATCGACTTGCTGGTGGAGATCGGACCCCACGCGGCCCTCAAACAGAGCGTCAAAGACATCCTCGCAGCGAGCGGGATCAAGGGCGTGGAGTACCTGTCTTCTCTTTCAAGGGGTAGGGACGACGAGGACATGGCGCTGTCTTTGGCCGGAAACCTCTTTGCATCCGGTGCCCCGGTTGACGTCTCAAAGGTCAACAACGACGGGTCAAGCGGTTCCTTGCTTACCGACTTGCCGCCATACCCGTGGCAGCACGCGAACAAGTTCGACGCCAGCCCGCGCATAAGCCGCGAGCACAACATGAGGCCTCACCCGCAAAACAGCCTTTTGGGGGCCCCCATGCCTTCCGTCGGCCCTTATGAGCACGTTTGGCGTGGCTATCTCCGTCTCGACGAAGAAAACTGGGTACGGGATCACAAGATCACCGGTGTCGTAGTCTACCCGGGGGCCGGTCTTGTGGCCATGGCCCTGGAGGGCGCTCGCCAGTTGGCCGATGCCGGGCGCAAGATGCGGTCCATTAAGCTACGCGACGTGTCCATCGAGTCGGCGGCCATCATCAACGAAGACCAGCCCACTGAGTTCGTTCTGCACACCAGGCCCCACCTGCTGGGGACTGTAAGCTCGGGGCCGGCCGCGTGGCTCGAGTTCACCATCTCGTCCTCGGGAGGGGCTGACATGCCTCTGCGCGAAAACTGCCACGGCCTCATGCGAATCGAGTACGAAGGGGACAACACCCATGGCTCGGCGGTCCGCTATGAAGAGGCCGCCGCTGTTCGTTCTTGTCTCGCCGAGTACGAGGCCGCGGCGGACGCTTGCGTAGACCAGCTGGCTATTGAAGACTTCTACCGGGACCTCGCCAATGTTGGTCTTGACTTTGGCGCAACTTTCAGAAACATGCAGAAGATCAACTTCCGGCCGGGCGAATCCGTCTATGACCTGACCATTGGCGACCCGGGCGAGACCTTCAACACGGGGCGGGCGGGACGTACGCACCTTATTCACCCGGCCACTCTGGACTCCATTGTCTCGGCCCCCTTTGCGGCTTACTATGACGGCCCGGGCAAGCCCCTGACGAGGCCTTACATCCCCGTCTTCATCCAGGAGTTTGAAATATCTGCCGACGTCCCCTTTGACATTGGGACCCCAGTCAAGGGCTTCTCGAGGGCGAAACGACGTGGCATCGGGGAGATCGAGTCCGAGATCTATATGTTTGACGAGGCCTTGTCCAAGCGCTACCTTAGCATCCGCGGCTACCGGTCTACCAGTGAGATCGCAGCTGACACGAGCTCTGGCGCTGGCGCCGGCGACGGGTCGGACTCTTCGCCGGCATTGTGTTACTTGACGCAGTGGGAGCACGCTTTCGGTCTCCTCACAAAGGAGGAGCTGAGCAGTGTTGTTTCAAACGCAGGCCAAACATCAAATGAGAAGCTAGAAAAGGTATGATACTATCATGGTTCACGACTAATGACGTGGAAGGAAAAGAAGAAAAGTCCGCGTTGCTGATGAGACTACAGGTTGCGAAGATGATCCTTCACGAGTCTCCGGATACCACCATACTTGAGCTTCTACCTGGAAAGTCCGAGACTCGTGACAGCGGTAATACAGCAGCAGCAGTATCAAGACGTCTCGCACTGAGCGGGCCGCAACGGACGAAATACGCCGGCCTAGCAAGTTCACTGCCCGATGGCGCAGGCGGAGAATATCTGGAGCTGAAGCCCGGCAAGGCAGCCGAGGTCAAATTCGACCTTATCATCTTGGGGCAGAGCTGCAGGGAGTCTATCAACGACCAATTGAGCCTCCCTTTTCTTCTGGAGCATGTCAAGCCAGGTGGCCGTCTGATCTGCGGTTTTGACTACAGGCGACTGGGCGAGCCGATGCCCCAAGACTGCCGAGTTGATGTATTTGCTGATGACACCGGCCCGGTGAGTCTTTTCTTCGCTGGTCCTGCAGCAGCCGTTGCGGATGGAGACTCCCATACCCCCGACGCCAGAACTCCGTCCGCCAACGAGGGCGACACTAATACCATCACCGCTTCTGCCAAAGACAAGGTGCTGATCGTCGAGCCACCGGCACCAACTGACGCCTCTGTCCCGGCCTTTTCCAAGGAATTGGTCAAGATTCTCGAAAGTCGTGGACTGAGAGCCAGTGCCGCGGCCTGGACACCGGAGCTGGCGACGGAAATCTCTTCGGGGCAGCAGCACATTGTCGTCAGCTTGCTGGAGCTGAACAGACCTTTCATGGAAAGCCTGTCCGGCTCGGATTTCGCCCTTGTTCAGGGCATGATTGTGAAGGCTACGAGCCTGCTCTGGCTGACGGCGCTGAGCGGCCCTTCGGCATCCGTCATTGACGGCGCCTTGCGTGTAGCCAGGAGGGAACTCGGCAATCTCGATCTCAAGGTGCTGCACCTCTCTGCGTCTTCCCTGCACCGTGGGCCGGAACTCGCCGCCAGGGTCGTGGCCAGCTCTACCCAAGACACTGAGTTCCTCGAAGACGGGGACGGGCTGCTAAAGGTGAGCCGAGTATTTGAGGATCAGACTCTGAACGCCGAGGTCTCGTCCCACGCCGGCACCGGGACGCATTTGGAGTCGATGAAGACTTGTGACTTTTCACTGGCCCTTGGCATTTCCAAGCCCGGCTTGTTGGAAACTCTGCATTTCGGGCCCCAGGAGGGCGCGGGCGAACTGAAGGAGAACGAGGTTGAGATCCAGATCAAGGCATCCGGAGTTAAGTGAGTCCCCCGCAGCATTCGATATCATGGTGTTTGATACACATGCGCGTTGTGCTTCGGTTTCTGATAAATGTGTCCCAAAACAAACAGTTTCCGAGACGTCATGATTTCCATGGGTTTGATTGCCGACCCTCACCTGGGATACGAAGGCGCCGGCGTCGTGCTGAGAACAGGAAGCAAGGTGACGAGCGTCAAGAAGGGCGACCGCGTTAGCGCCCACGTCTACGGTTCGCACGCTACCGTGGCCCGCACCGTCGACATTATGTGCGCTCAAATGCCCGACAGTATCTCGTTCGAGGAGGGAGCGTCATTCCCCGTTGTCTTCACGACCGCCTACCACGCGCTGGTCAACCTCGCTAGGCTGCGTCCAGGTCAGTCGGTGCTAATTCACGCCGCTGCCGGCGGTGTGGGACAGGCGGCCATCCAGCTGGCCCAGCATCTGGGTCTCGACATCTACGTGACGGTTGGGTCAGAAGACAAGAGGGTGCTCGTGATGGAAAAGTACGGCATTCCAGAGGAGCACATATTCAACTCGCGCAATGCGAGCTTTGTCATGGGCATCAAACGTGTCACTGGCGGCCGCGGCGTTGACTGCGTGCTCAACTCACTTGCCGGCGAGCTTCTGCGCCAATCTTGGGCATGTACCCTGTTTTCTTTCTAGTGTCTTCTTTTCCTTTGATCTTTGACTAACCGAAAAGCAGTACTGCCTTGCGCCCCTCGGCACGTTTGTCGAGATTGGCAGCCGCGACGTCAGCGAGAACACGCGCCTTGACATGGCGCCTTTCGCTGCCGGCACAACCTTCACCTGCTTCACTCTGCTCGAGGTACTCCTCCACAAGCCAGATCTCATGGCCGAGACCTGGCGCAACACGTTCGACCTCGTCCGCAAGGGCGTGCTGCGCGCCCCGACGCCCCTAACCGTGATGCCCGTCCACATGGTTAAGGATGCCTTCCGCCTCATGCAGAGTGGGAAGCACCGCGGCAAGATTGTGCTCTCGCTGGAGAAGGATGGCGACGTGCCCGTGCCCGTCATAAGAGACCCCAAGACGGCCCTACGGCTCGGTCCGTCGGGAACATATTTGTTGGTCGGCGGACTCGGCGGTCTGGGTCGGTCCCTGGCCCAGATGCTCGTCGACTCGGGAGCGCGCAACATCGCCTTCATCTCACGCTCGGGGGCGACGCAGCCATCGGCCAGAGCCATTGTCGAGTCCCTATCTACCCGGCCCGGCGGCGTCACCGTCAAGGCGTACGCCGCCGACGTCGCCGACAAGGCGTCACTGGCTGCCGCCATCGCCCGCTGCGGCGAGGAGCTGCCGCCAATCAAGGGCGTCATCCAGATGGCTATGGTCCTGAAGGACGGCATATTCGAGCAAATGACCCACGACAGATGGACTGACGCGGTTAGGCCAAAGATCGACGGCACGTGGAACCTGCACGAGCATTTCGGGCCGCATCGCTCGCTCGACTTCTTCATTATGTGCTCGTCCATCTCGGGCGTCATCGGCAACCGCGGCCAGGCCAACTACGCCGCGGCGAACTCCTTCCAGGACGCACTGGCCCACCACCGCCGCTCGTTGGGCCTGCAGGCATGCGCTGTTGACCTGGGTATTATGCGCGATGTTGGCGTGCTAGCTGAAACGGGGACCGCCGGCGACCTGATTAAGTGGGAGGAGCTGCTCGGCATCCGAGAGCCCGTTTTCCTGGCACTGATGAAGGCCATCATCAACGGGGAGCGGCGCCGGCTGCTGGACCGCCGACACACGTCGCCTGCCGCAGCGGACGAGTTCCCTGCCCAGGTCAGCGTGGGTCTCGCGACGGCCGCCGCCTTCGAGGCCGCAGGCCTGGGTCTTCCAGACTGGCTGACCATGGACGCGCGCTTCGCCCCTCTGGCAGCAATCCGCTCTAGTGCCCCTACGGGCGACGAAAACAGGACAGATGCCGCGCAGTCGGTCGTGGCCTCGCTGCCGAGACGCATCACGAAGGCCGCGAGCAAGGACGACGCCGTCGTCGCTATGATAGACGGGCTGGTCGACAAGGTCTCCAACATCTTGTCGACCCCAGCTTCTGAGGTGGACCCTGGCCGGCCGCTGTACATGTACGGCGTGGATTCCCTCGTGGCCATGGAGATACGGAACTGGGTCCAACGGGACATAAAGGCCGACATTGCGCTTTTCGATGTCTTAGAGGCCGTGCCCATGACCAAGTTTGCAGAGAAGGTAGTTAAAAGAAGTAAGCTGTGTGCCTTCTAAAATATATTTCTGTAACGTAAATAAATAGAAATTGCCTTCTGTTAGAAAAGACTCTCTTTACTCATTTTCACTCCCCAACTCTAGATATAACCTCCCTTTTTTAATAACTTGTTTAGATTCAGTTTTTATTTTTACTTTAGACTAATATATTATCAATGTTACTAATACAAGGTCCAGGCCACTGATGACTGCGTCGCTGTCGAGGACGCCACGGGCCTAAGCCAGGAGACCATCCGCGATCTCAATCCCTGGATCGAGCTGGGCTGTGGGAACCTCCAATTTGCATCTCAGACCGTCGGCAGCGTCATCTGTATCTCGCCCCCCGGTGGTGACTATGAGCAGGAGTGAACCAGCGACGATGCCAACCGAACGTACCCCGAGTTCGTGTCGGAAGTCGTCAAACCTCCGAGCGGAGCCATCCTCGCCGACGACACAACAACTAGATGTGGAACATGGCACGATGCGAGAGAGGGCGAAGACTGTGCTCAAGTCCTCGCCCGGTACCACACCAGCCTCGACACTTTCGTGCTCGCAAACCCCTCCGTTTCCCGAGAGAGCTGTGCGGATGACCTCATCACGGGGCTCACATACTGCGCCACCCCGACACCAGACTTCCTCGCGACGGGCGCAGAAATCCCCGGGCACTGGCGCTTCGGCTGCTACGCCCGTAACGTGGAGACATCTGAAGAGCCGGTCCTGCAGATTGACGAGGTCGGTCTCGAGTCCTCAATGACGCTGCTCAAGTGCAAAGTGTACTGTCGATCGCAGTCCTTCAACGTCTTCGGTCTGGATGGGGGTGATAAGTGCCTGTGCGACACGCGCTTACGGATGTACAGCCAGCTCCTGGACGATTCCAAGTGCCAGACAAAGTGCAATGGAAACAGTTCCAACTCTTGCGGCGGTTATGAAGCCATCGACGTGTTCAGGCTTGACTAAATGCTGCTGGTTGAGTCAGTCAGCCTTGGGTGCTTCAAACAAGACGCCTCGCAGAGCATTCTATCAAGGGGCCATAGTGTTGATAAGGAGGACATGTCGATGCACAAGTGTGGCAGTCTTTGCACCACAACCGGCTATCCCTTCTTCTCTTTGGGCGAGGGGACAGTCTGCCCGTGCGGCCAAGAGCTGGCCTCATCTGCTCAGAGCACCGGCATGGATGAGTGCAACATGGGATGTGGCAACGATCTCGGCTTCACTTGCGGCGGCAACAAGCGGGTAGAAGTCTTCCACACCAGGTCTAATGGGACGAGAAGCGTTGCCAGGAAGACGGCTTTCCTCCCCGCTTACGAGCACATCGGATGCTACAGCATCTCCAAATTGGGTGTTCGCGGGCTTCTCCCACTCCCTGTTGGAAGCCGGACTCAGAATGACCACCGAATGCTGCACTGATTATTATCTCCTCGCTCAGGGGCAGACTTTTTTCAGCTTGGAGGGCACCGCCTGCCGGTGCGGATCACGACTCGACATGGGTAACGAGGGCCGGCCCGCGGCGGACTGTGCCGCTCCGTGTGTCCGCAACAGCACGCAAGCCTGAGGAGGCATGGTGCGGTGGAGAGACGGCTGGACGGTTGTACCGCACATGGCCATGATGCTCATTTGCACTTGAGGTGGCTGGTGAGAAAGACAGTATGCTACCTTAGTGACTTGATCTCTCATCTTCAATTATTGCCATGGTCGCTTACCCTTTCACATCTAGTGCCCTTTTCCCTCCTCTTTTCAATTTTCGGGTTAGCTTCCGTACAGTAGTTAACCCCCTGCTGGCAGACCCTATCGACTGCCGTATGCCGATAAGGAGTTGTACAGGAGAGAGGGAAACATCGAGTAAACGTGACATTCCAAAGCTCTTCTTACTCCATGACTGCCGGCGTTCGAGGTCACTACGGTTTGAGTTCGCACGACTTCCAACGAAACCTTCTCTCGTTTAATGGCCTAACTTTCAGCAGCCGCTTCTCGCATGTAAGCCCGCTGTCAGATGGTGATAACAGTCTGCCGGAAGCTTTCCAACGCTTCTAGAGACACTCGAAAAAACAGTTTAAAAGACAAGTAAATCGTTGGATTTACTGATGGTCTGGATCACTGCCCAAAATGAGCTTAAATATAAGACTCGTGATCCCAGTTTTCCGTCGGTTTGGAGCAACAGATCCACCACTTTGAGCAATGAGTCTGTGCTTTGAGCCACATATCCCCAAGACTGACGACCTCATAACGAGCAGCATAGAGCTAGGCATCTAGGCGGTTGTACAAATCCACTAGCAGACATTTCATTGTCGCCAACAGCGGTCAGCGAACCCGAAGAGTCGACAAAGCTTGAAATTAGCTTCCTCGCAAGCAGCACTTCAGCCAAAGAGTACAAGGAAAACCATCGCCGATGCTATTTCTTGGCGACGAGAAGCAAAGCACAATAAGGAAAAGTGAAGAAGCGAAAGACGAGTATAACAAAAGATGAGACGATACCGCGAGCTACACGTGGTGTGTAATGTGACCACTACATATTCAAGCTTGGGAAATAGCAAGGGATTGATATATCTTGCGATGAGGGTTTACGATGGAGAAGACCACGAAACCGTCATAGCCGTTGTAGCTAGCTCTGTAAATAGGGGACCGGCAACTTTCCTTGATGAACGGCCCTTGGTGACTTGATTGAGCAAAGATCGCCCTCATTTTGATTTGAATGACGGGGGGGAATATGCCATAGGATTTCTTTTCATTGACCAGTAACTCGGTAAGTATCTAGAAACGGAAGGGATACAACTCTTGAAAACTCATTTTCTTCTTTCAATACAGTCACAGCGCCTTCTTCAGTATATCGAGCCTACTGACTCTGCCATGCCTTAACTTCATCTTTTCATTATTAAAGCTATGTAGTTGAAGTAGTTAAATTGATTACGTTGACTTAAGACAGGTGTGGTGTTATGTTATGTGAGGGATTCCGGGATGTCACCAACCCAGTCACCTTGACGAGTCCATCGTATGACCGACAATCATCACAAAGATAGGCCGCTTCTATTAAAGGCCTTTGCTGATGTACAGACTAAACCGTCTAACACAACCCACAACACGCGACAAGGCCATTTGACAATGTCGGCCTCAATAGCCTGACTGCAAGAATGCCCAAATAGAGGCCGAAATCTCCTGCTGAGCGTTTACTCAGCTGACGGGCAATGATCATAATTACCGTCCGCGTTGTTACCCCACCAAGTCGGGAAAGGAACGGAGGGACCGCCGGCACCGAACACTGCGAAAGACAAGATGAAAAGTACAGTCAGACTCGCTCCATCGAATGCGCCGGTCACAAGGTACGAGTAGTCCTTGAAGATACGGGGGCGGTAGTTGCGGAGATAAAATTGGACGAACAATCCGCTGAGGACCGAGCTAAAAAGCACGCAAGTCTGGGACTGATTGTATGGGATGTAGCCCGCATACTGGAAGAGCTGCGGCAAGTTGACTTCGTAAAGAGAGTAACCGCGGATCTTGGGAACAAACTAAATAAAGCCAGGTTAACGAGGGAAGAGAGCAATCGGGATGCCTTCAAGAACATACATGCGCAATTATGCGATGGATTATGACAGCGCCGAAGCCAATACCCAGACCAATCGGCACGAGAGAGTACTTGCCACCGGTCTTGTACAAGTACTTGGCAAGTGCCCATGATGTGGCGTTGGTGTTATATGACTGCATCGTTGCACCACTCCAGGAACTGTTTCCATCACTGTCGACGAGGAGTTCTCGGTTGCTATTCACAATCGAGATCATGACAGCATAGTTGATGAAACCGCCGATGATGGTGCCATAAATTTGAGTGATAAACATGACTCGAGGAGGAATTTTGACTGGCCGGTCACATTAGCATACTATCATGGATTCCAAGGAAAATTATGGACTTACGGTATTCTCCCATTTTCAAATCGTTGGAAAGAGTAACAGCATTCGCGATGACGTTGTGCGACCAAGCGGCAAAATACATGTTGCCAATGGGACGCTCAGGAAGGATGAGACCTGCCAGCATCTTTGATAAGTTGTTGGTTGCAATTCCATTACCGAATCGAGAGTAGAGTATGGTGCTCTGGACGCTATTAGTTAGCTTTTGATAAGGAAAGAAAAAGGAATTCACCGCAGGCTGCTTACCAACGGCGCAATGAAGATTCCGAGAAGCAACGATACGACGTATGCCCATGCCGGAAGGGTGACATTCTGTGTGCAGACGACGACCAGACCAAGAACAAAGCTGATGACAAGCACAATAACATACCACCACCATGGCGTTTCCTTGTAATGCTTGGTCATGTGCTCATGGTGGCGATCGTCGTATCTCCCACTCCTTGCACTCTGGTACGATTTCTTGACGTCTCCTCCCCAGAAGAAGAAGCAGTGGGCAACCAAGGCGCCAATCTAATGGTTTTTTTGTTCAGTATAGGTATAGTGAGACTGATAAGTGAAATCGGTTCATGGGACTTACAGCGGCGTTGGCCATGAACATAGCGTACGCGAAACTTCCTGTAAGCCTGGGAATGCCATATTTGGCCAGAGCGCTCTGGTTGAGCACACCACCAGAGAAAACCTTTGTAGTGGGATACGCAGACCCATCCTCGGACCGCAGCCGTGTCGACATGAAAGGTTGCGACTTTGCATCCCAAGCGTTTGTGTAGTAGATCCCGATCATTGCGATAAAACAGATGAAGTATCCAACGGCAGAGTGAATTTGCAGAGTCAGAGGAAGGGATGTGTAGAAAGAAGTGATCTGGTGCCCAAACGTGTCAGCCTTCAATCCACCGTACCAGTTTGACGAGGGATTGGTTTCCTTACGTATTGCCAGTCAAAAGACAAGGTGAACAGCCCCAGACCTTCATTATTGATAGAACCCCCGAAAAGATTTGTGAGGATGGCGCCCTTTGCGCCTGTGGTGTTCATCGCAGCGAGGCAGGGAATGGAAACCGAGTTCAGCCACGGAAAGATGTATGCAGGGAAGAACTCGTAAACAAACATTCCGGCAAAGCTGTACCAGAACCAACGAAGGGGTTTGGAGTTCTTCAAGTCCTGCCAATGAAGTCCTTGAAGCGTTTTGACAGTCGGAAGTGTACTCCAATACACAGCGTCAACATGCCATACGGCGATGGGACGCATTACACCGCAAATACCGTAGCCAAAGAGGCCGATGGAGATGACGGTCAAGACGACAGTTGTCGCACTCAGGGGCAAGTCGTAAAAGAGATCTTGTGCTGCAAATACCTGAATACTAGCGGAAGCGTTGGAGGCAGACGTGGCAGTGATGGAGCAGATCGCATGCTCTTTCAGTCCCCAAGGGCCCGGATTGATGAATTTCAAGGCCTTGATATGTGCAGGAAGTTCTCCCTCGGGATTGTTTTCTCTCCATCGGGCTTCGAGTTTGTCGCCGCGTGGCAAGAATTTTGCCCATGCTTTGCCCACAAAGTACCCAATGAGAACGATGAAAGTTCCGGAAATGGTGACACTGGTTGGTTTGAACTGGAGAAGGAAGAGCATTTCGTCAGCCGATTTCGGCCCGCTTCCAAAGTTTCAAGATGGTAGGCAAAAGATGAGCAAAACTCACTGTGTAAATCTGGCTCATGACGGCTTGGAAAGCCGAGAGACCTGTTGCCAGAACCATGCTTCGAAAGGTCAATGCCGGATCGAAGTCATCCCGCAGCGGCAGTAAGTAACGGGCGGCGTCGGCACCGGTGACGATGATGGCATCGTCGCTGTTGTCATCTTTTTCGTGGTTACCGTCCTCAGATGGCAAAGTGGCCGGCACAGCTTGAATTTCGGATTCCAATTCTTTTCCAATGCCGGCTTGATCGATGCTAACTTTCTCGTTGATGGCTTTGTGGGAGGGGACCGAAACGACTTTGCCCTCGACGGGATTCAGTCCCCCCACCACGAGTTCATCCGCCAATGGCGCCGGCATGGTCGTAATGATGGAGCACAGACCAGGGCTGGAAAGACAAGAGTCAAGAAGCCCCGTTGGGTACTGAGATCAAGATGGTTGGTCTGTCAACCAGGAGATAGCTTCGAGAAACTGTCTTGACGAGGGTGGAGGCGTATATCGTCCATTTGTACTCAGGTCAGTGCCTCAGCTTGTTGCAGAGTGGCGACCCTTGTCGTACGACCGGCTCGATATTGATAGGAGGTGCATGCTCCAACGATAAGTGGCTCGATGTCGTGATAAGGACCGGCATTTGTGCCATTGCAGGCCTTGAAGCCGTTGGAGGAGGATGAGCTGGTCCCAGTGTCATATTGGGGGCCGCTCTACCGGGTGGTCTGGAGTCTGGAACTTGAGCTGTGATCCTGGTGCAAGCACGGCTGATTGGAACGCCGACTCCACAAAAGGTGCTACGAGGTTTTAGGAAGGTCCCTATCAGTAGGCCACAACCGTGATAAGGATTCCCCGGAGCCAACAAGGTTTTGGTGATGGCTTCCTCTTGCAGGCAGTATGTAAACGTGGGAATGAGCTTCGGCTTCTCGGCCCATCACGGTAAGAGGGTGTCCCAAGCAATGCCTAGGCGGGAAGGTCCTGTCTTAAGCCTTGCCAAGATATGGCCGAGACCCTTTGGCGAGTGCTGGCGAACCCGGCGATCCGTCCAGACTAAGCTAGTTCGTCCCAACTCATGCCATCTATCGGGGTTGCGACACCCTGGCCCGTCTTCATGGCAAACTGGACAAGGATTCGCAGGTGAGGCACCTGATGGTCATTTGCTGCCCGGGGGTGGAGTGGATCCCCATGCTCGCACTTTTGTTCTTGACGTGCTCAGTCGCCCGAACTTTTGCTCCAAACGTGCTTGATCGAACTTTTGTCTTTGACGAGGATGTGGAGGGGAACCTATCTCGCGGCATCCTACCTCCGTAAGTTGCGACTTTAAGCCAGAAGTATGACTTGAGAACAAATCAACTGTAAATGTTGTCTGATTGGTGCATGTGCCAAGATAACACAGGTGTTCAGTGTGTCTCTATATAGCAGCGACACACGCGGCCGCATGAGAAATGCGCATATTCATCTTTGGTTCTGAACTGGTTCTGAACTGGTTCTGAACTGGTTCTGAACTGGTTCTCGCTCTCCTTGCAGTTAGTCCACACGTGGAGGTGGGTGCAGCATATTCAGGGAGTGGTTACGGTGCAAGTGGACCGAATGCACCGGTTCGAATACAGGAGTTAAAGAAGTACAGTGTAAAGATAAGGGGTCAGAAGAACAAGGGGCCCTTTTGTTACACTAAAGTGAATGCTTTCCTATTAAGAAGGGTTATCTTCCACCGCCGTCGGGCAGTGTGCCTGCATTTTAGTTGTTGGTTGGAAACATACCTTGAAGAGAGCAGAGCTCAGAGGCGCTAGGCTATTTTAGGCGGCTTTCATGCCGAATGATTAATAGAGAATAACCTCCAATTTGATTGGTTCCAGCGATAATCCCAACCGACACGCCCAGCGCGCGCACCATGCTTTTAGTAGCGTCTCCACCGACTCCGGGCTTCGAATTCACATTGTATCGATTGGGCAAGGCATCTTGTCTAGCACTATTAAAGTGATGTGCCGAGACGACAGACAACCCTCGGATCAAGATGAAGAAGATGTTCAGCCACATTTTGCATCGGTTGATCGCAGATTCTGCTTGAAACCAAAAGCCCTGTTGACAGTTTCTCGCCTAATGATAATTCGCACATGGAGCTCTTGTGTTTCCTCGAACCAATCAAGGCATACACGTTTGCATCTGCGTTATAAGTTGTAGACTGGGCTCAAGTGGCCTTGAGTGCCTACTCGACGACGTCTAAGATATAAAATCATAGGCCGAATTAAGTGACTGGAGCATCACTTTTGTTCTGATCCCCCCGACAACACAAGTGACTTAGAAGCTCGCACGATCGCCTCCACGGCTGGTCCTTATTGACAACAGATGACAAAATTGCACAAGGCGAATCAAATTTTGTTCTATAGTCTCAGTATGTTATTGAAATACAGGTAGACATTAACTGCTCCGAAGACTTGTCAATTTATTGCAGTCATGTTTTACACCCCACTGAAGTTTACAAGGTTGAACGCACAACCCAATTGCAAACATGTACAAACAATCGACATTCTCTGCAGAAGAGAGTCTCTGATTGTACAACAAGAATGTATGAATTCTCATAAAGGGATGGCCGAAACACATTAAGACGCAGCCTTGTCCATGATGACGCCAGATGGGTCGCGTGTTACCTCGTCACCCCACTGAGCCTCCCAGCCGTTTTCAGATAGATACTTCTTCCATGCTTCATCATCATCATTCAAATGTTTTGATATGTCCGGGATGACGAAGAGCGCAATGAGGGCGCCTAAGACTGCGAATCCAGAGCCAATAAGAAATGCAACTTGGTTGCCCTTTGAGGGGTCATCGGTGTATGTGTTCAAAATCGCAGTAAAAACCTTTTACATTAGTTTAGTAGAGTACAGATCAGGATGAAGTGAGGTGTGGACTACCTGAGTACCAATGGCAGCTCCCGCTTTTGAAAACGCTGAGATGAGTCCCATCATTTGGCCACGGATGGATGTCGGAAAGCACTCCGAGGCAATAAGAACAACGGTGCTACAGTGAAAGTAAGCAAGACTCATGACTAGCACAGGGAGTGTCCTTACCTTCCAGGGCCAACTTCTCCCAGCGTTAAGAATATGCCGTAAAGGACAACGAAAAGAGGGAAAACACCTTGGATAGGGTTCATTGCGCCCCCAAGAACGAAACCAAGGATTGCTTGCAATATGAAGCCCAGAGCCATGGTCTGACGTCTGCCGATCTTGTCTGATAGGTAGCCTCCAATGAAAGGGCCAGGAATATAGAAACAATTGATCACTACGCCCCATCCAAGGGTCTTGACAAGACTTTCCTCGACGTTGGCTCTGGATACGATAGTTGAGCTGAAAATTCCGAACGGAATGCTGATCCAATTGTATAAAAACCAAGTGGAAGCCCCCCCGAGGAGAGGTCTCCAATAGCGTTTCAAGGCGAGCCAGTACGGCATTCTCTGCTTCCGCAATGCTGACTTTCGATACGCAGTAGATACTGCCATTCGCATCCGGAACCAGAAGATGAGAATGGGAGGAGCCATGCCCAAAGCAAACGAGGTCCGCCAAACGATATGGTACTTTGAAACCTGCTGGCCAACGCACAGAAGCAGCAGCAACGGAACTAGCCCTCCCCAGACGTATCCTAGGCTGGAAGATAAGTCTGCGAGCATCGCAAACATGAAACCTCGTCTCTTGCGGAATTTGGCATCTTCGTCAGTCGCCTCGGCAGCACCAGCGCCAGAGACGGGATACTCTCCCCCTGCACCCACGCCAGCAATGCCACGAGCAATTATGAGCATCCAAAACATGCCTGTGGGAGTTGTTCCACTGGCTGCAGTCGACAGAGCGATGCCTAAAACAAGCAAGATGGTCGTTGCAATAGCACCAGTCTTGCGGCCGAGTTGATCACTGATGACACCAAATAATATCATTCCGACAATCATGCCGATCAGAAAGGCATTGGAGAGTCTCTGGGATATACCGGTCGTCAGGTCATCGGGATAAAGAATTGCGAGCAGTAGTTCGACATTGCCAATGACGGCGGCGTTGCTACAGCATTGTTAGTAACTCATTTGCGTGCGATGCAGCGGTTGTAACGGCCCGACATACTAGCCATCTGATCCAATTGCCAGTCCGGAGAATAAGACCATCAACCAAACAGAGAGGCTGCTGTAGTAGTTTTTCTGCGGCTCCCCTTCTATTATGTCTACTTCGCCATCTTCCGCGTTACTCGCAATTTTCTTTTCGTCAATGACGATTTCGTCCTCTCCAGCCGTACGATTTTGTACTTCGGTAGACATGCTGACGTCTAGTATCGTTTCCGTTGTTCGATAGCAGCCGGATCGAGGCTATCCGAGATACGCAGGTTTCACAATGTCGAGAAAGCGAAGACGCCTGCTTGCGGGCCGGTCTTTGTACTTATCCCCAAAGGACTTGACGGCATTTCATATTCGGTGCCGATGTGTCGAAGAGGGAGAACAACGGCGTACGCCGCGGCCAACGGCTTATCTCTTCTCCTCCGCATCGGCCTTGTAAGCCGACGGGAAACCAGGCCAAGCTATCGACACCCATGTCGTAGATAATGGGATGGACGCTCGTACCTGCGGTGCTGCTGTAATCCTGGCACGACTCATGTGGAGAGAATTTCCTAATCCGGGAAAAGATCCCCATTGGCTGTACCCCGTAGAGGGGTAGAACGCGAGGTCGGAGAGCCTCCGACGTCCGATTTCTCGGCACTGCATCTCATTCCCCTGTGTAATCGTCCTTGACTCTTCCGCTCAGCTCAAGGAGCAAGAATGATCTTCGCGTCTTTGGCTATTTGATTGAACATTGATTTTCTACGGTCTGCTCAACTGACTGCGGTACGAACATGATGCTAGGTTCAACGAAACATCCGGAGGGGATACCTCTGCACCCGGTGCAAAGGCACGCCAGGCGTCGTGTCCTCGTACTGCAGTTCACGGTTACTTCCCTGCTCTTGTATGCGGCCATCTCATGCTACTATTCTCTGACATCCCATGCGCGGTCACCTGTATCTACGACATTCCAGGAGGCGCAGCAGTGTACCATTGACAACCTGCACTCTGATTTGTCCTTCCTCGACCCCGCCGTACCGATTTCTGCGGGAGAGTTTCTTGAGCGCAGAGATCGGCTCGCGCATGCTTTAGTTGCGTCAAATGTTGATGCATTTGTTCTGGAACCCGGCTATACTTTCCAGTAAGTTCCCTTTTTGATGGTCGCAATATCCCTAGACCTCTGACTCTGGAGCAGGTACTATGGCAACATCTCACAGGTCGACTGGGAACCTTGGGAGCCCGAGGAGCGACCATTTCTCATGGTAATTCTACCTCATGTGTCTTCGTCAGGCCAAGTGGGCGCTAAAACGGCCTTCCTATCACCTCACTTCGAAGAAGGTCGCGTTCGGATGCTCGGAATTCCGTCCAGGGAAGAAGACTTGGACATTGTCATTTGGGAAGAACACTGGAATCCTTACGACACGCTGCTTAAATCCCACCTCTTTGATGGTCGTCAGGGAAAGCTTATGGTTGATGAGGAAATATTTCGTGACTTCATTGTCAGAGGACTGGACGCTGCTGGATTCCAAACTGTCGGTCTTTCGCCGGAAGTTGAACTTGTGAAGCAGCAGAAAAGCTCGGCAGAAGTCGAATTGCTTCGCGTCGTGAACACTGGGACTGTTGTGGCTGTTCGAGCCATGCGGCCTTGTTTATTGTCTGGACTCACCGAAGACCAAGTCACAGAGATTTTGAATTCTGCTCTCTTGTCCATCAACTTTGGACTCTTCTTCAACATTGTGTTGTTCGAAGAACATGGCGCACTGCCACACGGCGGGTTTGTCACCGGGTGGAAGAAGCTCACTCCTGAGAGCATGGTCGTCATCGATGTTGGTGCCCATTATCTGGGCTATAGTTCGGATATCTGTCGCAGCTTCTTTATCGATCCACCAAAGCCACAGGCTCTTACTCTGATAGGTTCTCTACTGAAAGCTTGGATGAATGGCCCGAGGGAAGAAGAAGGTCTCAGTGATGCTTCTGAGCTACGTGCCGAGAAGCTCAAGGTGTGGGATATCGTTTTGGAGGCACAGTCAGCTGCCGCCGCCGCTTTCAAGCCGAATAATACAGCAGCCAGTGTTGACATTGCAGCTCGCCAAGTCATCGAGAATGCAGGGTACGGATATGGTTTCACGCACCGTCTAGGCCATGGTATTGGTATCAAAGGTATGTTCTCTACATTACCCAGGTTCAGTTTCAGTCGTTAACCAAAACGAAAACAGCCCATGAGTCTCCGTACTTGAACAAGTGGAACAAAGATGTCTTGCTCCAGCCTGGCATGACATTCACAAACGAACCTGGAATCTATTTGGAAAACAGATTTGGTGTCAGACACGAGGATATCTATCTGGTCAAAGAATCGGGGGAGGCAGAATTGCTCACTGGTCGAAGAGCAACCGGACCATATGATCCATAGTCACTTGGCCCAAAATCAAGATGAGGAAGATTACGCGGCCGCACAGTACGAGCGAAACGACGGAACCCTCGTGCTTTCATACAGCGGTGTCTCGATTTTTTCATTTGAAGATACCTAGACCTAGCCTAAACACTGAAAAACACCACCCTACCTTACCTGCGTACATGACAACAAGAGTTCTGAACCACTTTTCTATATCTCGTGTGCAAACACATATTTACCTTATTCCCCAGATGCTCCCGAATTGTACCCAAGCGTTGATTCAGGAGACTTGAAATTTTGATATTATTGTGTACCTACTACGATGCTACTGTTGGCAGATATGTAGTCCGGAAGCCCAACCCTAAGGTGCTAAGTACATACAGTGTGGCGTTGGCGTTGCCATCTCTTCACCAGAATAATTTACCCGATACTTTAGCAATTACATATGAATAGATTGACACGGACCGGCTCAGTTCTTGGGATATGGCACAGTTATCCGTTCGGTTTTGTGTTGGGCCAAATCGCCGGTCTCCACCCAGCGCAAGTGGAAGATGTGTTAAATTTAATCACTCAATTGGACCGTTGCTAACTTACGTTATCATCACTTCTCCCCCGTTTCCTCTTTTTACAACGATTTCCTCGGTTCCAGGGTCAGGACAGACCTGTGCCGCCAGCCTGCCCGATGTTGAGCTCTGTAAAGCTCAGTACCAAATAGCCGGCCATTCGGGTAAAGGCCCCGGTAAATCTGTGGGGCTGCCCCCCGTAACAGTGCAATTTTGGCGTCTGAAGTTAAGGCAAGGTACCTAGGATGCAGATCAGACGAGGAGATCCCTGGACTAGCCGCCAGACTGCCTCGAGGGCCTAACCGACTGGGCCAGAGCGGAGTGCCAACTCATGTTTTAAACGCCTTCAGTTTCAGCCGCTGTCAACCGGTTCGATCGTCCGACAAGGGACTCAAGTCGCGATGAGTTCATAAGTCAAGTCGCTCCCAATCTCGACTTTTGGTAGAAATATTTGATGCTGTTCGCATTCAAAACTGACACAAACATGGTTGGTCTTCTCACGACCGCAGCCTTTGCCTTGGCGCTGGTCGCCCCCGTGCTATGTCTAGGCCAGAAACCGATATCCTCCTACACATGCACGCACCCGCCCTACAAGATCCACATGATCTCCAAGTCACCTCTTGTAATTTACATTACCGATTTCATCACGCCCACAGAGCGGTTTCATCTCTTGGATTTGGCGTCAGTTGCTTTACAGTTTTCTCCCATGCACCTTGACTGACACCCACTACTAGGAACGGCACCTTTACTGATTCCGGCGTTATCGATGCTTCTGGTGGAAAAACCACGCACAACGTACGAACATCTCAAAGCACCAGTCTTTGGCGGGACGATGTTGTTCGCTGTATCGAAGAGCGTGCAGTCTCCTTCCAGGGCTATAGCACACCAAAGAATCACATGGAGCCGCTGCAACTAGTCAAGTACGGGAAAGGTCAGCGGTACCACTTTCACACAGACTGGTTCACCGATCCCGCACACACCAGAGCTCATCTAGGCGGTAATCGACTTTCTTCTTTCTTTGGCTATGTGTCGGCGGTCAATGTCACTGGAGGGGGGACCAACTTTCCGCTTTTGGATGCACCGTCCGACGACCAATGGTGCGCCTTCATTGACTGTGACGAACCTTGGGAAAGAGGGGTGACATTCCGCCCACTGGAGGGAAACTTTGTGTACTGGGAAAATCTCCACGAAGACGGTTCCGGAGACCAACGTAATCTACATGCCGGGCTGCCGCTCACGGGTGGCCAAAAAGTTGGGATGAATATTTGGACGAGGCAAGCTCCATTGAGCAAGGAGACTCGAGGAGATGACTGAAAGACCCTGGAGGCGTTGCAAAAAAGAAGTTTAAGCGGGAACGGTTTTCCATCGTCGTAGTGGTATCAATCTTAGAAGCGAAGGCATAAAATTATTCTTCGGCTTGTGGGACGTCTGGCAGTTTCGTCGTCGCGGGAGTTAACACAGCAGGAGTAGGATCGATTTTTAGAACAATAAGTCGTCCTCGGTTGCATACGTCTAGCAGTTGGTCCAAGTCATTGTTACGCGTCGTCGAGCGGTGTACTCGTAAATACTCAAGCAGGTTTGTCCACAATGTGCAGTCGCCCCATTACGCGGGAGGGTTGAGGTTGAAGAGGAGAACCGCTGTGATTGCTTGTTCAAATGTTGGCTGTTTTTTCTCACGGTCGCGAACCTTTATTTAATAGAGCATTGACAACATCCATGGGTGTGTTTGGAAGCTGACCACGTGAGAAACAGACTGTGCCTTATTGTTCTGTCGACAAAAGTAAGCGAAGCATCCATCTCGAGCGACTATGATATTTTAGTAAACGTCTAGGTGGGAAGCATGTATTTGTTCAAAGTAAAATTCCAAGACATGCATACTATGAAATGCTTTCAGGGAGATCATCGACTTCGGCCCTTTGGTATTCGAGCTATTTGCGATATAAACTAGCTACATGGTTACACCGGATGACTTTGAGGCCGCCATGGACAATGTTATGACAAGGGGATGTGAGGAAATTGTCATATCAAAATCATCTGATTCGCGAGTTTGTTTGCTCTCCAACAGAAGAAGAGCGATGGCCTTGATTTCTAGTTTTGCCAGAAGTTTCTAGGGTCTTGGAATTGGAGGAAGTTGTAAGAGCATGAACGTGGTCAGCTTTCGGAGGGAATCATAACCAGCAACCTGTTTTATAAAGCGCACTGTGACTTGGTTTCTGTGCTTTCAATGGTGTAAAGCTCTTAGAAAATACATATTTGAGGCACTTCATAAAAATGTTTGGAGTAGAATTGAACGGTCTGTGAATTGAAGCGGCGGTCTTTGGTCACAACATCTCCAGTTGAATAATACTTTACTCCCTGACTTTTCAGCTTTCTATGTCTATTCAACCATGTCCCAAGTTTGGCCTGGCTGCGCCGGAGAAAAGTGCTCAACGTAAATGTCAACCACTTGGTCTTGTAGACCCTCGCGTAGAAATGGGTGGCCAATATATTTTTTCGGAACCGGACATCACAGACTCGGCAAGTGAACGGAAATGGGGTAACTATTAGCACATATGAACGCTGTGAATTAATTTCGCATTGTACTTGGATTCATGCAGTTCGTATAATGCCCATCGTTCTCCGTGTGAACAAATTAAAGGTGCATTCTTGGATCAGTTGATGTGGCTCTCTCATCACTCAATCTCTGTAGGCCGTTGAGACAGAAAACATCACAATTTTGTAGCTTCTAATTGACCCGCAAGGTTGGAGACTTGGCTATGGGACGGGCCGGACGTACCAAAGGCTCAACGGCGATTCAAAAAAAAAAAAAAAGTCGCAACTTGGGCAAATCGGGCCAACTTCAAATGGTATGAAGCAAGAAGAAATGTGCCCTATAGGGCGCTTTGTTTTTAGCCAAGACTTTGGTGAAGCCCAACAGATGGACAGAGTCGATATTGTGAGTAAAATGCATCGCGAAGGGCAAGTGTTCGATAGCCGCGGGCGTTTGGTTGGATTCTGGCAACCCATTGTAAGCTTCGTTTTGGGGTTATGATTCGGTTTCTATTGGTCGCACATTGAATAAAACACGCTTGCCACAAAATAAATGTTCTTTGGGTTGCAGCTATCCCATGCATATTCTGGGGCACAGAGCACATTGGAGGGAGATATATATGCTTCGCGAAGACCACGTTAATTGATATAATGTTGTGTGACAAATAATTCTACTACGCCCAGCGTGAGCGATGATGATTAGTGGTAGACACGAGTTCGAGACCGACATTGAAACGGTGCGCGAGAAGTCAAATAGAGTGAAGGGCCAGCTGGTATTTCGGTTTTCGAGTGTGGTAAATGAATCAACGGGGAGCACGGAGCACCAGGCGGAATTAGATTGACAGCCCCCGATGGCTGATGGTGTCAAGCAAAATTAAGACATGTTCAGAAATAGGGACGGGTTATGTTCCGTTTGAGGTGAGTGACAGTGTCAGTATTGTCCCGTCGTCTCACTTTAGTGTACTTTGCACTTCAGCCGCCTCGTAGGTATAAGCTTAGATTGTCGAGTGAGTGTTAATTGAACATAAAAGGAAGTTGTGATGGATTGGTGGAATGGTTGAGATGGAGTACCGGTAAGGCGGTGTAGGACGTGCCTTGTGGGGGTGAGTGCTCGTGCTCGAGACCGGGATGTGTGCCACCGCCCGAAAGCTTGACTTGACTCGAAAATCTTGTCGGCATCACTGGCTGGGTATCTCGAGAGAAGAAATAGAGCACCTTTGTCTAGGTTGTCTTGCTACCTTATTGAATTCTTTGTCCGGGTACTCGAGCCAAGGGCAGACCGAAACTCGCGGCTTTGCCTTACTGGGGCACCTGCAGCAAACCTGCAGCAAGGTACCTAAGAGACTTGGTGCTGCCGTCTAAGGTAAGGCACCCGTGGCATCTAAGAGTCCACCTGTAGATCCGTGAGGGGACTGGTTAGGTAGTATGTACCGCCGTTGGAGGCAGTCGATGCGTGAAGGAAGGTCGTGTTGGAGTGGCACAGTGGCTTCTGACTAGACCGGAAACGCAGTTGTTGGCTGCCAGTCCTTTGGTTTTGTTTGTCAGACGGATGGGGAGGAAGAGTGCAGCACCTACTTAGTACCTTGGGCTGAGGCACGGGAGATGAGCGGAAGCACGAGGCAGTTTGCGCTGTGTGCCATAGTACGGATATAGTATGGCAGAGTACCTGTATCCGTAGGTATGTACGGACAGTCTTTACGAAAAAGGCGTCCGCTATCCGTACCGTCTGCGGAGCTGAGCATCCTGGGCTTTGTTACCAAATGCAACTCAATGGACAAGGTACCTATCGTAATCCATTTGCAATGGTGGTGTTGTGTACCCTCCATCCTCCGGATGGTCCGTATTGAAAGGTTACGCACCACCATGGCACAGTGCAGCCCCTTTTTATGCTCCCATGGTCTAATCCGCTCGTGTGCATCTCGGTTGTGCTTGCCGTCATTCCCTATTTGGATGGTCTCTCTATTATCTTCATGTACCTTGTACGAAGCCCGGGAGGTGGGTACCTGGTAGTGCAGAGCGCAGAGTGCAGAGCCTTCTCCTTATTTTCCCCTTGCTTACTCTGCCGTGCCGAGCCTGCCTGCCTGCATCCATCTCGTCATCTTTCAAGAGCTGCCTGCGTGCCTGACCGCCCAGGCCATTTTGAGCCAACCAGGTGGTGTGGTTCCAGCATAAGCATCTCCACCCCTGCGTGTGATCCTGCCGTCTTTTGAACTCGCCCTGTCCCACGCAGATTGGGGAAGGAGCAAATGGCGAGTGGCTGGTGGCAGGTGGCAAGTGGCAAGCCGCTCCTGCTATCCGTAGAGACGCAGAGACGCAGAGACCTGACACGGAGTCAGCAGACTGACCGGGCGGAAGGACAGGTGGAAAACAGGTGGAAAAGTCGCCGGTCGAGGGTGCTGGCTGCGGGCTGCGGACTGCGGAACGAGATACGTACCGGCTCTTGTACGACGCCTAAGGAACCTTACCACGTACCTCACCTTACCTAACGTCAGGTAACCCCGCGAGGCACGTACATACAGAGCGGGTATCCGTACCTACCTTACCGTCCACCTTACCCTTGTCGGTTTCAATTGCCCCAACTCGACCAAGGTTCATTTCATCCCATCCTGAAAGTGAAAGCCAAGCCAAGGACCAAAAGAAACCCACAAATTGTTAAGGACAAAGTTCATTCAGCTCCTCAACCTCGAACAAGACAGTGGGGGCAAGTCCAGCATCTCCAACTCGGCGTAGCCTTCTTTGCGACGGTACCTGACTCTGTCCTCTGTGGCTACATGTCTAAATATACGGATACAGACAAGGTAAGGTAGGTACGGTAAGGTAGGCACGTACGGATACACAACACGCCTCTGGAGGACTGATTGACAGTTAGCTTTGGTCGCTTGGGCGGCAACGTAGCTCGCGAGCCAGCGTCCCGAGGATGGACGGACCGTTTTGGCCCCTCCCTCGTTTGCCTTGTTCTCCTTGTCCTGAACTCTTGCGCTTGGCGCTTGGCTCCCCACGCCATCCATCCATCTCAACCCCATCACCCCTTCTGGGCCCAGCGTGTCCCTCCTCTCGGGTCCGTTTTTATTTTCCTTGCGCACTTTAACTTGGACACGTCTGCTTCACCTCATCTTGCCAGGCCACTGCTTGCCGAAGGCACCCGCGCAGCCTCATGTCTTTCGCTTTTCTCGATTTCCCGCCTTACTCACCTACCCAGTGTTAACTTGCGCAGTTGTTCCAGGTACTTTCCTAAGCTGCCTACCTTGGTGCTTTCCAGGTTCTCACCAAACCACCTACCTCATACCTCAGGCAGGGGTCCAACTCTTCTTTTCTGTGACGGCCCGCCCTCCTCCAGCCTTTCCTACTTCCCATTCCACATTCCAACCAACACTATCTTAAGCTTTGCTGCTTCACATATCCGTACCCTTTGGCTTTGGCGCACCCGTGGCTGAGATACTCCGACCCAGCATATTTTTCCTTACTCTTTGGGCTATTCCCTTCTTTCCGTTCCTCGGCCTCTTTGAAAGTTTTCTCTCTGCCACCCGTATCTTACAACCTAAAATTTCTGGCGACACGCGAGCGCGCGCAATCCGCCAGTTATCCCGACTCGCCAACCTCTGCCGGATTTTTTCTTCTCCACCAGCAAACGCAGCCAGTCGATACCCGATTACCGGTACACGTTTTTGCCTCCGACACTCGAGCCCGGCAACTAACGTCGTCGTCGTCGCCGCCGCCGCCGCCGGCACCCTCTCACCACAAAAGACGACGTGTGTGCTATCATGGGATTGAGCCAAAGACGGAATGACGTTTGTGTAAACCCCAGAGTCGCCATCAATATGTTATCCCGCCGCGCCCTCACAGTTCTCGCCCTCGTTTCCGTCACCGCCGTCATCTTCCTCATCTCCTCGAGGAGACTCGGCGGCGACTGGGCTATCGAAGGCCCCAACTACCACCCCTTCAAAGGCCACAACCCGCCTCCGCCTCCCGGCAGCTCACCCAGTGCCGGCCCCGATGGCCGTCCTCAGCCTCCCTCGCCGCCCCCGACCTACCAAGATGACCACTTCGCGCAGCACAACGTATCGAACCAAGACATTCCGTACCGCCCTCACGACCCCGTCTGCGACACCTTCCCCGATACGAGCAACATCCTCGTCGTCATGAAGACGGGCGCCACTGAGTCCTTCGACAAGGTGCCCACACAGCTCATGACCATGCTCAAGTGTCTGCCCGAATTCCTCATCTTCTCCGATCTCGACCAGACCGTCGCAAACTATCACATTCGGGACAGTCTCGACAAGGTCCTTCCCGAGGCCATGGAAGGTAACCAGGACTTTGACTTATATCGCCGTCAAAAGGCTTGCCAGGCCGATCAGCAGAGCTGCAACAAGCTGGCTGTAAGCAAGGACGAGGGCTGGAATCTCGACAAGTACAAGAATGTCCACATCGCGGAGAAGACCTACCGTATGCGCCCCAACTACGACTGGTACATTTACATCGACGCCGATACCTACGTGCTGTGGCCCACGCTTGTTCAGTGGCTCAAGAACCTAAATCCCAAAAACAAGCACTATCTGGGTAGCGTTACCATGATTCGCAACTTTGTCTTCGGCCATGGCGGCAGTGGCTACATTATTTCCCAGGCGGCTATGCACGACATGATCGCGGATCATGAGGATGTCGGCAACAAGTGGGATGTTCGTGCGAGCAAGGAATGCTGCGGCGACTACATCTTTGCCCTTGCCATGAAGGACAATGCCGACGTGAACGTCCACAACGTAGTGAGTGCCAATCAGCATTTGGAACTGGCGTGAATACTTTCGACTGACCATTTCCCAGTGGCCCACGATCAACGGCGAGAAGCCCTTCACCCTTCCCTATGGCCCTACCCACTGGTGCCACCCCATCGTGACGATGCATCATATGAATGCCGAGGAGATCTCAACCTTTTGGGAATACGAGCACAAGCGCTACGCCGATCCGAGTCTGCCCCAGCCGCCCCCCGTCATGCGCATCAAGGATATTTACCACGAATTCTTTGCGCCCCGTATGCAACCCGAGCGCGCCGACTGGGACAACCTTGCCGATGATCAGTTCTTCCTCGATGAATCAGCGAACAAGCATCAGGATTGGCAACTCAACCGAGCCAAAAAGGAGGACTTGACAAACGAGGAGAAGGTGGCGCACCTTTCCTTTGGGCACTGCCGCAAGGCCTGCGAGACCGACAAGTCCTGCTTCTCGTTTCAATACAAGGACGGCGTCTGTGGTTTCAGTTGGGCGTGGAAGCTTGGCCACCCCGTCAAGCGTGAGTCCACGGACGAGAAGCGCACCATGTCCGGCTGGGCCGTAGAGAAGATCAACACCTGGATCGAGCAACAGGGCGAGTGCGGCCCGGTGAAGTGGCCCGATGTCTGAAGCGGGAACGCGCCAATCATCACCAAGTAGGTGTCGACACCAGAGATTTACGTCGCTGCGAAAGAGCAGCGCTGAGATCCTGCTACAACGCAAGCACAACTGCCATCCAAGGCTTTGAGACCTGACGTATGTTTCACGTGGCGCTATATCCCATGTGCAAGTACGCCAGGGACTTGGATGCGGTAATCTTGGACGTGGCGGGGAAAACATACCCCTCCGTTGGAATTCGCTTGACTCGGAATCTCCTCGCCAGGGAGAAACCAAACCTTTCCCATGGGAGCTGAATTGACCAGGCGTTCGGCTGGCGGTTTGACATTTGTGTAGAACCACAAGCATGTGTACATTTTTCTTCTTTGGGTGTGTGTATATCATTATGACGTTACAGGCGAGGCAAGACTTGGTTTGGAGACGGATTTGGCGTTTGTTTGGAAAAGACGTCTAGGTTTTCAATAGCCGTGGTTTGTAGGCCGCAAAGTAGACCGGTTAGAGTGCGCGGTCGCAGTAGAAGAACCTTGGTTGGTTATTTGACAGTACAAATCAACATTCCGATTCGTAAATTTTCAATCAATACACCTTGACGGTTATCCGTTTCTCTCTTGGCTTTGTTAACATTTTGATGACTCGATCCTGAGTAAGTATCACGGGAGAGTGACGGACTTTTTTGCTTCAACTTGACTCAGATTGAAGACATCGGCGCGCGCGATTTGCCAGTACGCCACAGCCACGGCAGGGCAGGCTTGGCAGGGCAGGGCAGAGAATCAGCAGCGGGTGGCTAAGGATGGCCAGACATTGCATTCCACGGCTGTCTTCCTCGAAGCCAACCCCGACAAGTCGCGGTCCACCCAGCGTTCTGGCACGTAATGCTGTCACTGATTGCACGTGTCCCGAAATTAGCACCGTCTATCCCCTCAGATCAAGTGGGGGTTGGGTGGTGCCGCTTGACCCAGACTAGGCAGAAGACGGCACATCGGCATCCCATCAGAAGCCACTCGGGCCGAGAATCGTGGATGATCATGACTTCGTAAACTACCTGTCCATTTATGCCCCGTCACCGCCCTCTCGTCAGTGACTTGGTTATTTGCTCATTAATTCGGCTCCGCTCCGGATGACGCCCACCACGGCTCCCGTCTGCACTGTCTCGCTGCCGCCGCCGGCTACCCTGTGCTCAATGTCTGCTAGTCCATCAAGCCATTTGATCATAATCTCCGGCTTGACCTCGAGCGTCGCCAGCTGCTCTGCCAAAGCCGTAATAATGTCTGCGAGGGCGAGACCCCGTGACACCTTTAATGTGTTGATCGTGTTCAGGCAAGATGTCACGTCCGTTGTGCTCAGGAGAACGTCCAGAATCTCCTGCACTGCGTCAGGCTGAGGGGCGGCAATGCAGTTGTATATGGTCTCGGTGGAGATGGTCTCCCTCACAATGTCGGCCTCGGCCACCTTGGGTGCGTTCTTGGGTTGCAGCGGTGTACCTGAGTGCTGTCAGTATGCCATGGTAGTCTAGATGTACAACCAGGTAGGTGAGTTACTCACTTGAGGCGTGACATGCCTGGAGTACGTTGAGCGCTCGTCTCATGTCGCCCTTGCTAAGCTTCACCAATGCGTCCGTCGCGTCAGGAATGATCTTGACATGCTCCTCCTCGATGACCTTGTCCACCAAGACTCTAATATCACGCTCCTTCAATGGACTGAATCGGAACCTTGTGCATCTTGATAGCAATGCTGGTGAGAGTTTGTGCGAGTAGTTTGCAATAATGCAGAAGCGCGTGTTGACGGTGTACTTCTCCATGATGCGGCGCAGCGCCATCTGGGCCGTATTCGTCATGGCATCGGCCTCGTCGAGGATGATGAGCTTGTACGACGCCATTCCGCCGCCGCTACCCGACTTGGTCGAGGGCCCGAGGGTAAAGATTTGTTTTGTCGAGGCAAAGGTCTTGATCTGCTCGCGGACGACGTCGATTCCGCGATCGTCTGAGGCGTTGAGTTCGAGGACCATCTGCCGCATGTTCTCGGTGCCGTAGATGCGTCGAGCCAGAGCAAGAATCGTCGAGGTCTTGCCGGTTCCCGGAGGCCCGTAGAGGAGGAGGTGGGGGAGGCGGTTTGAGTCGACAAACTTGTTAATCGTGGTGAGGATATCCTGGTGGCCGGAAACGTCGTTTAGGCTCACTGGGCGGTACTTTTCAACCCATGGCAGACTGTCTTCAGCTTCGACGGGGAGGTTGGCGGCGCTGCGCTTGCCCTGCTTGGTGTCCGAGGAAAAGGTAATGTCCTTAGACACAGGAACATCGACATCCATCTCATCTTCGAAGTCAGACATGTTGGCTGTGGTGCGGGGAAGGCTAATGAGGGATGTGCGGGGATGCGAAGTGGTGGAAGTCTGCCAGAGTTGCAAGCCAGAGATCTCGACGTGATGCATCTGCTTGGGAGACGCGTCGCAAACGCGTAGCAGGATCTGGATGCACGTGACCACTTCAGCTTCGCCAGTGGATGCCCCACCACTTAGGTAATATGCCTCCGGCAAAACTGCCGACAGCTTTGGCATTATGTAAGCGGAACAACTTATCCAGGCCACGGGCCACGGGCCCCGGGCCTCCTCCATCGACCTACCTTATGTTGGAACTTCTTGCCTCTCCTCGAGGCCAAGGGGGGCTGACCCCGTCTTGATTTGGGCTTCAATCAACGTCAGCCTGCAATGAATTTTCCCTTTGGTCTCGGGAGCGAGTGCCGCGAGATCGTGTAGGCACGTCATGTTTGTCTGACTGTCAGACTTTAGCTTCACTCTTGCTATTGGACATGGATAAGAAACTTGGTTGTTTGTCTCGACCTTCCTCTTCCATCTCGCACAGAAGCACTCTCGAGCATGGTTGGATGACCAGAGCAACCTACGTATTGATGAGACACCTCCGCCCTCCGCGCAGAAGAGGTGTTCGTGGGGTACGGAAGCACTAGCTCGCATTCGAGTCAAGGACTTTCGGTGGACGCCGTCTAGGGGTGCGTTTGCACCCCGCTGTCCACATCCTATTAGTCGGCCTCGGCCTCGGAGTCGTGCCATGCCTTGGCCATAAGTGCCGACCTTGAAATACTGGGCTGATTCCTTCAACGTCAAAGGCCAACTTCGTCTCATTTCTCCCACCCGAACCGTCTCACCAGCCGTTGAGCCTCACTAGCATCCATTTCTCCGCGGTTCCTCCTCTTCCTTCTTGGCATCTGATCTGTTGTTCGCTCTGACGCTCATTCTTTCCGTCCCCAACGTCACCGGCAATCTCCCTTTCAATGGCGGCGGCACCCGTCTTCGTCGAGCCGGCCAGGCCAGAAGACGCTCCCGCCATTGCCGAAATTTTCCTCAAGTCTTTCAACGGTGACTTCTTCCAGACCATGTTTCCCCAGAACGAATACGGCCGGGCTTACGTGACCGACGCCTACAAGCAGTTCATGTTCTCCAAGGAGCACGGTTCCCAAGAGGGCCAGGTTTCTGTTGTCAGAAACGAGAAAGGTAGCCAAACTCCACGACATCACCGACTCTGCCGGCTGTCCGAATCCCGATCTTGCCAGCCCCTACCGGACTTCGGACTCCGCTGAGTCGTCGCCAATCTATGCATTCGTAGCGTTTGACTGACAGCTGTCCTGTTCAAGGAGAGCCTGTGGCCACCACCCTTATCTGGATTATCCGCCCCGAAGACAACGGAACCTGGTCGTGGCGCAAACGATGGCCGTCCGCCAATGCAGGGCAAAAAGATGAGCTACTTGACGAGTTCTTCTCCGACATGGCGTCTCAACACAACCGCGTCATGGGCAAGAACCCTCATGTTTGTATGTCATCTTCGAGCTCGACCAACCGGTTCACTCACCACGACCAAGCTTCCCGATTGCCATCCTTCCGGCCGCCCACCCGCAACCGCTAACCAGATGTCAGACTTTGAACTGATATTCACCGATCCGGCATACCTTCGAAGAGGCTATGCTAAAGCTCTCCTTCAAAGAGGGACCGAGATCGCAGATGAGATGGGCTACCCAATGTATCTCGACGCTGAGGCATACATTGTTGACCTCTACTCCCGAGCGGGCTTCGCGATTATGACTAATGCAGGCCAGTCGTCACACATGATTCCCATGATGAGGCCAGCCAAGGATTAACGAGTGGATACGGCATGGCTGTCAACATTTGATTCATTCTTCTTTCTCATATGTCATTGCTTCCGGCGTGAAAGCCCGCCATCAGTGGAGTGTAATCATGATATGTGATGTGGCTAGTATACATCAGACGGACGCCCAAGCGGCTCCCGTTCGCAACTCGCTCGCTTCGCTCTCAATGCTTCACTTTCTTTGTCCTTCACCGTCTCAAGTCTTGGCTTCTCATGCCCTCCTTCTCGTTTCCGTAAGGCGGCGATGCACCCCAATACTGCTGATACCCCACATCGGCCCTAGCGTCGTACGCTTGCCCATTGTCAAACTGAGAATACATGGACGGCCTCGTAGGGCGTCTAGGCGGCGGCGGCAACTCTGGCTCACCCATCTGGGCATACATGTCCGGAATATCTGGGTACGCCGACGGTGTTCTGGGCAGCCGCGGAGGCCGGTTGATAGCGTCGATGAGCGTTTGCCTTCTGGTGACTCTCTTCGGCCTCTCTGGCAACGTTGCGTCCTCGGCGTTGGAGCCAGATGACGTTTCGTCTAATCCTTCTCCTCCGGCTTCCTTCTTCTCCTTATCCTTCTCGGCGTTCTTGGTGGCGAAGAAGATGGTAAATACCATCTCCATGTCTTCTGGACCCTTTCTCTCACGCATAATCTGGTGTGGTACCTCCAAATCGTCAATGAGCCGCTCAATCTCTTCAACCGAGTAGCTACCCTTGTCCCTGTCGCCGGAGTAGTCCCCGGGCCCGCTAGCTCCATTGGGGATGTGGAACCGGAGGTCAACTCGCATGACAGCATAGAGGGCGACAACGATGAGCTCAAAAAAGAAACCGGTAGTGTAGAACACCGCTTTGCCATAGATGACGCTCGGGGTTGCTCCTGGTAATTCCTTATTGAAGACGGCAAACAGACGGATAGATTGTCCGGTGATCAAGAGAAACGATCCCAGGTAGAGAAGAGCAACCTTGACCCTCTGTGAGCCAGAACCAAACTTCTCAGGTTTAGGGCCTGGCACAGACAGGCATCCGCTCACAACAAGGACAGGAAAGGTGGAGAGAAAGGTGTTCCATGAACTTCCGAATTTGAGCAGTTCGTCAGTCGTCTCCAGACGATCCACGTTGCCGACGCTGAAGAAGGCGACAATTGTCGACGTCATGTTGAGGAGGATGAAAGCTGGAACCGAGAAGAGCAAGATCAAGCTGAACTGGCTGAACGCGGTGCACCATCCTGCCTTGGGGTGGATTGAGCGTAACAGACGCTGCGCGAAGAAGATATTAACAGCAAACAGAAGGGCAGCACTTTGCAATATGTTAGCAAAACGTTCATTACGACAGCGGCTCGGACCACTTTACATACCCTCCATTTTCAGTGATCAACGCCAGCAATACAACCCCTCTCGTCGACACAATCGACCAGGTAATCCGGAAGATGCAAGTCACCGTTCGGATCATACAGAAGTCGAAGACAATATCCGAGATTAGGAACTTGTGGCCACGCTTGGCGTTCCTCCGGTAGATGGTCAAGTGAACGTAGGCCCCAAGCATGAATAGTACCATGAACATAATGGTGACGGGCAAGTCGATATTCTTGTTCGGTATACCACCTGGAAACGCACCACTCGCCGGATCGGGCGGCCCCATGGGAGGACCACCTGGAGGGCCAGCCTGAGCCTGAGGGTTGGGGTTCGGATTGGGCGAGCCACCCCTCTCTGGACCCGGGGCATCCATGGGGTTGAGAACTGGCGGTGGTGCCGGTGAAGGTGAGGCAGCAGCCAACGGGGCCGTGATATCTGGTGTTGGTTTTGATGGTGATGATGGTTGTGCCGGCACTACTAATGGGGCGGGGATTACAAGAGGCACCGCATTCGGTCCTGGACTTTTAGCCGCAGGAGGTGGCCGAGATGGAGGTCTCGGTGGTTCAACTTGTTTAGGGGGTGTTTGGGGTTGTATTTGCTTCGGCAGTGAAGGGGGTTGGACCTGGTATGGCGGCAGTAAAGGTTGAACTTGCTTCGGGGGTGAAGGAGCTTGTATCTGTCTTGGTGGTGCGGGAGGTTGAATTTGCCTCGGTGGCGGCGAAGGCTGGATTTGCTTTGGAGGAGATAGAGGCTGTACCTGCTGAGGAGGTGACAGCGGAGGTGCTTGCTTTGGAGGAGGTGGTAGAGGAGGCGGTGGTGGAGGTGGAAGAGGAGGCGGTGGTGGCGGCGGCGGTCGTATGGTTTGTGTAACAGTGATATATGACGGCGCAGCGGTCTTTATCTGGGTGTACACAACATAATTGGTCTCAACAATGACTTGTGGAAGTTGAAGCTGACCAGCAAGCGGCGGGACACCCGCTTTTGCTATTGAGGGGTTTTGAGAGGCCAAAGTTGCTAGTGCTACGGCCGGCGCGGCAGGTCTCCGTGGATTTGACAGTGGTGTTGATGACAACGGTGTTGCTGCTGGCTTTGGTACGGATGCTGCCACCTGTGCAAGCTGAAGTGCTGGTGATGTAGAAACCTGTGCCGCCTTGGCTGCCTCCGCGACGACGAAGTTGAAAGATATAAGAGGAGCCGCGGCAGACAGTAAACCGGCAAGACCGGCCATGGTTGCTTTTAAACGTGAGGCACGATGCCTCTTTTGCTCAAGTGTTTGCCGAATCAGGGATATGGACGGGGAGTCGACTTTTGGAGACAGCCGGAGTTAGACGATGTTGAAAGGGGAAGGCAAGCCAGATAGGAAACAAGCAAATGCGGGTAAGAAGTCTCAAGTGAGTCCCTATGTGTGAGAAGCCTTAAACGGACTTGAGTCAATGGTCGGGGTGGACAGAGTCCCAGACTGCATTGCGGCTCACGTAGTGGCGAGCTGCATGTATGGAATAGGCAAGCGGGCCTCCCCGTAGCAGTGGACTGACCAAGAGATTGGGCAGGCTGCTTTGTAAAACGCTGACGACCTTCTGCGGGATTCCGGACTTGAAGAGTGCCGCAATGGGCATACCCAGATAGGCCAGTAGGGGCAGTAGGGCTGATGGGTTCTAACGGCAAGGCGTACGCAGATCGGGTTCGTCGATTAGGAAGAGAGTCCGGCTTTCCGCTTCTTGTGACGTGTTGATTATGACGAAAGACTATGCTGGATGACTGTACTCGAAAATTTCAAACGGCGGCGTTTCGTCCGCGGGTATTCGACTTTTCAAAAGCAGAAAGCAATGTTTGGGTATCTCGATTCGGTGTCGCTTCGTTCAACGATGTGGCACTTTTTCTTGTTTTCTTGTTCGAAAAAGAAGGATTAAGAATAGGAAACGGTTTTTGGCGTCAGCGAGACCCTTATTAGAATCAACTTCGCCGCAGCTCATCCCAACCATCTCGTCTCTGCGCTCCATCCTCCTCGCCATTTCTCCTCCTCTTCCCCTCTACAGACTCCTTTCCCGACTCCGGATCACTCACAGCTGGTTCTCTGCGACGTTGGGCGAGTTTTCAGTAGCGGGCCGGTATTAGGACAGTATTGAGGTGTGTTTGCAGACTTTCCGCCGACTTGCCCTCTCAGGCAAGTCGTCGGAGGAAGTTCGTTTCAGGCGCTGTTGGGGAATAACGAATGATTTCCCTTTTGGGACGAGGAAACGGTGCTCTCAGCAGAGAGTGGTCCCCAACTAGGCAACTCAGCTGAGGAGATGGCTTTTCGTCTCGTCTTTTACAATTGTCTTGCCTGTCGCCACCTGTCTCTTGCTGTCTCTTGTAGTGTCCAGCCTGCGTGGGCTGTCTGTTCGCACCCCGAGGCATGCGACTCACTGGGACCCATCCTGACGGGTCTGTCAGCTCAATATGGCAACTGGCTGTCATTTATGTGTCTGCCGTTGACCATCCCGTCATCACTCTACGCCGTTCGATGATGCGAGCAATGCGAGTCCGACCTGATGTTGCGGCTGATTCCCCATCTCCAGGCTTCATGCTGGCTACTGAGCCCTACCTGGTTCTCCTCAATGGGCACTATTGAAGTAATTTAGACAACAACTATCCATGCCTTCCGTGTAGATCCCAACGTATTTTGCAACGCCTCGTGCTTCCTACAATACCGGCCGTTGTCCCAGCGAGCAACCTTTTGTTTTTTTTTTTTCTATGCGTAGAGGTGGCCAGGTTGGAATGAGCTTGGCCCACACCCTATTCAGACGTAAAGAAGTAAAGCACCGATCAGTGTACGGATGTATCAGGACTTTACCCAGGTTGGTGTTTATTCTGTTGGTGTGCCATGTCAAGATGTCTGATCTTGCGAGAGAAGCTTTTCTGCTTGACAGCATCTGCTCCTCCCGCGATGGTTGACAGGCGCATCGGCCTCGATGATCTTCCCGCATCCTGCAAAGGTTTAGACGTAGGTGGGTGGTATTAAAGATCCAGAGAGCTTCGGAAATGTTTAGGATCCCACCTTGGCCGTGCGGCCGGAGAGTTTGCTTCCAGATTAAGAGCAGATGGCATCGGTCTCGGTAAACTGGTAATTCCATCAGGGCGGGATTTGATGACTCTGCCCGCTGATGAAAGCATCGTAACACCATGCCTGCGTCGATCTGCCCTGAGCCATCATCAAGCTTAAATCTTGCAGGCTGCGGATCGCCATGTGGTCATTGCACACCCGCTGTCGGTAAGGAAACGCGGGCTTGCACACGTGTGCTGGGCGGAGGCCGCTTAGCTATATGATCGTCCACTAAGCCCCCCCTAACCCTGACAGCTGCCGCACGGCAACTCCTTTTGGTTTCGTGCTGCGATAACTTAAAATGTTTCCAGGGCAGCGGATGGCGGAGTTGGGATTCGGAGGTGGTATTGGTGTCCACCATACCCGAACTCCTCTTTTCATCCCCTCAGCATGTCCGCTGGGAAGGGCCCAAGGTGGTCATTGGAGATTGTGAACATTGGTGTTGGGGATGTGGGATTAAATGTGCAGTTGTTGCGCCTGCTCTACCGGTGGGAAACCAACAGCAAAACTCTCAAAAAGAGCCTTTCCGTCGCCATTTGTTCCCAAGGCATACCCTAGTCTCTAGCCAAATCTTGGAACTTCCTGCGCAAGATGGTCCGCGGCTAAATGACGTCTTTCCTCGGTTCTTCCTGGGGAAAACCACACGATGTCGATGCACGACGTTTGCCAGCGTGGGCTATTGGCCGATCCCAAGTCCGCTCCTCTGATCCGTATTCCGGCTACGGCTGGGACGGCTCACTCCGTCCACCATCTACTGCGATTCGGGTTTCGGGAACGAGCACCTGCTACCCGAGTCAGCAGAGTTTACAAACTGAGAGAGACGGGAGCCCGTAGGCACTACAGGAGCGTTGAGGATCAGTGAGAGGTTCTGACGGACCGATCAGTATGTCCTATCAGATTCTGTCGTTTCGACTATAACCAGTTGACTAGTAATTATGGTAGAGAGCCTTGAAGTGAAAGCCGCTCCCAGCCCAAATTCATGGTCTTCAGTCTATTGTCTCGCACGTTTCCCCACAGGCTCTCGAATACGCGTAAATGAAAAAAAAAAAAAAAAAACGCTCATTGGCCCCTGATACATGCGAGTAGATGGTCTCATAAGTCCGGCGGGACTCTAGATGTTGATCCACGGCATTCACTTAGCTCCATCTGTTTGGTCAGATGTAGCCCATCCATGACAAGTACAGTATCGGCCGTTTATTTCGTATTGGAACAATTCGTTCACGAGATGATCTCTGCTATCGTCCTAATGGAAAGAATCTGGCCGTTGATAGAAGCGCGTTGGGATGAATATCCGGAGGGCTGGAGAACACCACCACCTCTGGTGGTGTTCCATCAACTCGGATTCTCTTCACAGACTCAGTTGGGCAACCACAGAGAGAGAGAGAGAGAGAGAGAGAGGAAGAGACAGGTACCGAGACCAAGGATCTTCTGCAGGCTGTCACGTCATGTCAGGGAGGAAACCAGACTCGCGGGTGAACGCGTCAGTTTGGTTTATCAGACGATGGCTGCGAAATGCGAAGGCTTGAATGACTGGGAGCTCGTTCCGAGAGCGATGGTAACACCATTGTATCCGTCGGGTTTTGTACGAGAATGCCGAGAAAAGGCCATGACCTGTGGGCCGTATTCGGGGCGGCATGGGCTACACACAGAGCCTTTGCCCCTCCAAAGTCATCCGACGGTCCTCTTATTTGGGGGACATCATCTTCGTCAGATGAATGAACTTGCTCGTTTCGGAGCAAGCTACAGCCCAACTGCCAGTTTTAATCGTCATAAAATCAGACTAAGCTCATTGCCAATGTGGTGTCATTCTAACAGCCAAGTCGCATGCCTTGCCGAGCTTAATGGATCCGCAAGATGACTAGCAGGTTCGGCAACGAAGAAACGATCAGAGACGTAATTGAAATGAAATATCTCAAGCCAATAGCTTCCGGTGAGAGTTCCTCAATGATCTTCATTCAAAAACTTCTTGGTCAGGAGCAGATGCCCTGAGAGCTGCCGAAATGGATGGCCAGCGTCCAAACCGGCAGGCTTCTAGAAGACGGGGACACAAACGGCGCCAGACCTGTTTGGGTGTTTTCATGCGTAGAGTGATAGGTGACTGGGTTTCAGAAACTCCAGTTGTCTTCGCAAAGTTCGCATGGAGTTCCGGTTTCACTCCCTTCAGCTGCCGCGACGCTTGGGCTTACCGTTTCGTCTGATGTTATTGCTGCGCATCTTGACAACAACAATTCGCATTCGCTCAGGCCGCCGACGGGGAGGCATGCCGACATGTGCTGACAGGTCTTATCCAAGGTTCGACTGTCGGGTTTGACGGTTGGCCGAACAAACTTGTGCAATAGGTCGAACCCCAAAACGGCTGCCATCGAAGGAAGCATTATTCTCCGGCTCCCATTTCTACGGTTGCCCATCCTCCCCAAACCTGACTCGCAACATCATCTCTTGAGCTAGATGCCTTGTAACCTGCGTCGCTGCTGATTGTCACAAAAGCAAGCGGGGCGAGTTTTAGAGTTGAAACATATCATCTTCCTTGTGCGGCTTCTTCCATCTTGCGTCGACGGTGAGCAGTCCGTTCCCGACGTTCATCAACAGCCGCCCTCGGCCGCGTCTGATACGAGGCGGGTTCTGTCTGCCCATTTTCCTTTTATGTCTTAGGGAAGCACGTCCGCCCCTCTCACTCCTCTTCGAATTTCCTACTTTGATAGGGGGTTTCGCCCACATGACACAAACCCTTTCGAAACCTGAACTGCCAACTGGCCGTGGATCGCGCATAGGACACTCCACGAGGAAAGCAACAGTACTACCGTACCATTAACCTCTCTGCCTTCAAAGATGGTCAATACGGGTCACCCGAGCAGGGCATGCAAGCTCTGTCGCGCGAGGAGGATCAAGTGTGACGAAACTAAGCCCTTTTGCCTCAAATGCGCCAAGTCGAAAAGAGTCTGCCCAGGCTATCGGGATGCATTCGAGATCAACCTTCGCGATGAGACTCAATCAACCATCCGCAAGGCGAAGTCGGCCGCGTTACGCAAGGCTATTCGGGAGGGTCGCGCGACGGAGCAGGATGCGGAAGACGAATGCCAAAATCAACCACAGGTGATGGAATGGACACCGCCAGCAGCACCGCCTCCACGAAAACAGCACATCATTCCAATTACAGAGGACGATTGGTTTGACAGGTACTCAAATTCGTCCTCTTCTGAAGCCTCGCCTTCCATGTCGTATGCCTCTTCGCTGTCGTACATTAGCAATCAGGCGCCCGACGCGTTCGTTTCGTTCAAAGACATCGAAGGGGGAACATATGGCATGCCGCACACCTTGCAGACACCTCTCGACCAACAAGCGACATGCTACTTCCTGGCAAATTACGTGCTTGCCCCTCCAACCGGAATTGGCAGGGGAATCCTCACATTCGTCCTGCCTCTGCTGAATATGCCCAGCTACCAAGCGTCTCCTCTTCAATCAGCCTTTTCAGCTGTGTCAATGGCTGCTCTGGCCGGTAGGCCAAATTCGCGACGGTTATCCTCGATGGCCCATCTTCACTATAGCAAAGCGTTAGAGGACTTGACTCGAGCTATGCAAGATAAGATTGCTGTCAGGCAGGATACCACGCTTGCCTCGGCAATCCTCTTGGCCTTTTACGAAGGACTAGTCTCTGACGACGTTGAAATGTCTGGGTTCAAGAAACATATCTCTGGGGCGACTGCGATAGTCAAACTACGTGGGCCGCAACAAACGCACTCTGGCGTTGGCTTGAGCATGTTTGAATTTGTTCGGGCGACATCGGTACGTCGTTTTCCCACAGGCGATTCTACGGCGGGTCATCTAACGCGTAAAACAGGTCCGGCAATACACCTTCTTTGCAAATATTTCTTTGGAAGACTTGACTTGGTGGGCGCGGCAAGCAGTCTGCGACACTGTCGGTCACCAAGCTTTGGTACTAAACCTCCAAACGACGCTCATCCGTGGCGAGGCCGACAGTTTGTTGAAGGGAGCACGAACAACTGATAAGATTGACAAGGCCTTGAAGCTTCTCCAAAGAGCTCGGAAAATGGACGACGATCTTGGCGTATGGTTCGACAAATGTCCACCAGCATGGAGGAAAGTCATCTCAGGATCAGCTGCGGAGGTGCCAGAGGACAAGATCGGCTTCGTTTCGGCGTTTCCGGGAACGATTTATGACTACCCGAACGTGTGGGCAGCCGGAAAGCACATCAATACTCACGTATCTCGACTTCTCCTGAACCAGGTCGTTGTCCGCTGCATTGCTTGGGTCTGCGCACCGAGCGACCATACTCTGACAAAAGAATACATTGACGCCAACCGGATTGGAACCGAGCAAGTTGCGGACATCATCTCGAGCACTCCGTACTTTTTCGGATGGACCGGCGATTCTCTTAGTACTCCATACTTCCCATGCGGGACATCTGAGATGCCCAAAGGCCTAGCTGGTGTTTCTTGTATGTGGCCGTTGTTGGCTACCGGATCGAGTCGTTTCGCAACTAGAAAACAACGGATATACGTCAAAGCCCGTCTTGCAAAAATTGCAGACGAAATGGGCATCCGTCAAGCCGACGTTTTTTCAAAGGTGAGTAGTTTAATCTCACTCAATCGTTTCAACCACTGACGAAATCTCGCAGCAAATCATGTTAGGGTCACCGGAACCAGACCCAGTCAACAGTTATTGTCCTGATACATATCTCCATTTACGTACATAGCTTAGCTTTGGCAATACCCCTTTCGCTTTCGATAGAAAAAATCCGTCAAAGAAGAAGAAACAGACCGACCACGCTTGACGTGTACGCTTGATGTACCTGAGTACTGCTTGGGAGTGCCCGAGACGTCAAAGAGACCAACGCGGCAGTACATCCGAATTGTCCCGGAAATTCAGTGATTGCATATTGTCGTAGATGAATCTATAGCTTTCATTCCGGAAGTCATCTTTGAGGTAATCTGTTCGATCATTGAGAAACCAGAGTAGCTGCTGGTCCTGACCCCATTCCGGCCATTGCGCGAAACCACTCAATCCGACATTGGGATCTAGGTTGTGGAGGAAATTAAGGTAGTAAGTCCGAGTACTCTGCCGTGCAAAAGTGGGAAAGACTCCGAGAAAGACTTGCAGGATATCTGAAGCGTGGAATGTACCAATGACTGGAGTACCGTAATTATAACTGTTCAAATATGACCAGGCTGGGACATCCGGGTGATTTGCCTTGGCTACAGATAAGAACGAGCGGCGCGCCAAAGTGAACACAAGGTCACCAAGAATGGCGGCTCTGCGTTTGAAGCCAGGATAGATCTCGTTGAAGATCCCTGTCCGAAAGGGACTCCCTGCAGATATGAGAGGATCGTATGCGTCGACGAGGGTGGTCAACTGGGCCATTGAGGCATTGTGAAAGTATAGCTCCGAAAGGTAGTTGACCAGGTGAGACGCTGTCAAGACCAGAGGCTGGAAAAGTGCAAATAACGTCCCCTCGTCCTCTTGGTTGCCGATAATCATGGGCACTGCTGCATATCGTCCGTCTCTTGCCAGAATATCAGGGCTATCTACGAGTGCCGTACCGTCGGGTCTAGGAACGTAAGACAGGGCAAGAGCTTCGTATGAGAGGATGCCGGGCACCGCCGTTGATGCTCGCAGGTAGGTTTCGTAACTTACGCTGCGGAGGCAATCCAAGGCACTGGCTGATCCTTGGCAACCAGCTGCCTTTACGACCGCATCAAAGACGGCTTGGCCCTTTGGGCAGTCGACTGGATCAGCTGGGATAACACTGCCAGAGTTCATGATAGCCCCTCGAAATAGAGGTCTACCTTTGTAAGTATTGTTGCCGTCATAAAGTGCCATCTGGTCGAAAACGGATATTGCGCCAGCGGATTCTCCCCAAATTGTCACTTTATCGGGATCACCTCCAAAGGCAGCAATATTATCGGCAACCCATTCCAAAGCCTGGCGTTGGTCCAATAGTCCCAAGTTGGCTGAGCCATCCTCCAGGATATCGCGACCAGACAAGAACCCGAAACCTCCCAATCGATAGTTGACACCAACAAAGATGAAGGGACGGCCCATGTCTGCCCCATCGCGCACAAAGCTTGCCCCGTTGTATGAGGACGTTGACCCGAACTCGAAGCCACCGCCAAAAATCCAAAACAAGACTGGGAGTTTCGCATTGGACGATGTGCCGGAAGGACGCTGGACTGTGACCGTCAAGCAATCTTCTTGGCCGGTGATGGGTTGGAATATCGGGAGCGTAAGGAGTGAGCCAACAACATCAAGAAGAATGTTCCGGCTGTCGGTTGACAAGAGGAACTGGGGACATGCCGCCGCGGTTCCTGTGGCGTCAAAGTTGCCCAGAGAGGTCGCTAGTCTTTGAGGAGGTCTCAAGCGAAGCTGACCAGTGGGCGGTTCTGCATAAGGGATGCCGGAGAAAGAGTCAACGGAGCCGAAAGATCGTCCAACGAGAGTTCCGGCCGGGGCATTTACTGTGGCCGGAGCAGCACGAGGTTGGTGGTCATGATGCCCAGGATTGCCCGCTGACTGATGCGCCAGAATGAGAAAGATAGCTGAAGCTGATTTCAGAAAAGCCTTCATGGTGTTCTAGGTGTTCAGGAGAGAAAAGATAAGGGCGAGAATAACGCCAAGAATATAAGTCGAAAAAATCAACCGTGTCGCGAGCGATGCTTATTAGTTAAGGCGATCAATCTCAGGGGGGAATCATCTCGGCCGAGGAAGAGAAGGGAGAAATCCTCTTCGCCCAGTTTTTACTCATCTGGAGAGTGCAAGACTTGGTCTCGGAGACCGCTCGCATCAAACGGCGCTCCCGTTTATTGATTCGGCCTTGACATAATATTTTCAGTTCAAGCGTGAACGAAGAACTGTCTTGTCACGACTGTCTCTGGATTTCGAGCACGTGAAGGTGTCAAGGATCCAATAGTCCAGGGCGGATGCAAAAGGTGTGGTGGGACTAGTCTGCAGTGACAGGAGGAAAAGGAAGATTTTGGCTTGGCGCTCGGCAGCGTCCGCTGCGTGTCGGCGGCCGAGAGGAGGTTGGCGATGACACACATTCCGAGGTTCTGATCAGGCAGAGACCACCAGACTCTGGTACCGAGTGAGACAGTAACGACGCTACTAAGGTATCGCTACATCCTGCGCGAGAACAGAATGAACGACGCGGTGACAGGCCTGGCAAAGCGCGCTTGTGATTGGATTACAAAAAAGAATCACGAGTGATCTTGTGTAAGTAGGGGTCTTGTGTAGTATTGCTGCTTTAATAACGTACCTCATTTTGGAGTACCGCGGCTATGTTGACTCCTTTGCATCACACTGCGATCACCAGGCAGAGGAGGTCAGTGTCTTCGAAAACTGGTTTTATTGCAAAGCGCTGACCGCGGACACCAGATGAGTCGACTGGACTCTTCGGCTGTGTCGGGGAATCTAAAGTAAGTCATCCTTCTTCATGCGAAATGGCCCATGCAAATATTCGAATAAACCGCAAACTTGTCCCTTTCCCTCTTCTTACTCAGACTCTCCTAGCAAAAAGCAAACGCCATCATGGTCCTGACCGTCGCCGGTCGCCGGGTTCAAAATGCTTCTCGTCTATCCATCCCAAGAACCGGTCATGACTCTCACCGCTGATATCCCACAACTCCAGTTACTCGATAAAAAGAGCGAAATCCATGTTCCCATGCCGTGGCCGCGTCCGCACCGACCCCGGAGAAGTGCGATGAATGCTTCTCTCAAAAACGCCTCGTGTGGCTTCGTTATGCAATGATCAAGGGCAGTGGACTTCCATCAGACGACCATGCCCACCTGCCCGCTTTCCTCGTCAACTAAACATCTTCGTTTCCCACTGAGAGGCATACCGTCGGCTGAAGCCTCTTCCTCGAAACTGCCGTTAAACACTTCGACGAGGGCCTCGCGATCTCTTCGTCGCTTGAGCTTGTCGGGATTTCGCTCCGCTTCCTCCTCCCATGTCTCAATGTTGTCCTCGTCAAATTCTCCCACGGTGTCCTTGCCGAGCGCCTTGCCCAGTCTCTCCTTGAGTCCGAGAATCGGCCAAACAGGCACTCTCGTGTACTCGATGCGCATGCCGCCCAAGGCCGCAACCTCTCCGATCTTTTCAGCAAGCGTCCTTTCGGCCCCCGCACGGGGGTTCTTGGTTGGCTCGTGGAACTTGCGAAGCAGATCTTCTGTGACCGTGCCCTTATAGACGATGAACTCGGATGTCTCGTTATCGTTTGTGAGGAGTTGCACCGTAACATCGTGGAACTCTGGCTCCCCAAGCCCAGTAGGCATCGGCCGTGAAGGCATCCACTTGTTTGCTGACGGCTGTGGCTCGCCATGGAATCTCCTTTGCGCCATAGCCAACATGATGCCCACAAGCAAAGGGTCGTGCGTCGGGTTGCTGGGGACGAACATTTTGGAGCGTAATTGCTGCAAACGCTCGACCGGCCCGTTGTACGATCTATTGGGTCCTTGAATAACGCGGTACATGTTCTTTCGTGTCGCCGCGATTTGCATCTTGCCGACGTACGCCAGGACCGGCTGAGAGTAACGTTGTTCGCTGCTCATGTTGCCTGCGCTGGCACTTGCACCACCGTTGGAGGTCGTTGGCAAAACGCCAAATGATTCGGCTGGGCGCGTCGAAGCAGATTCAAACGAGGCGATGGAGCCGCTGCGAGAGGGCATCTCATCCCAAGCCACCTGAACGCGGCATGCATCGCGATACACTAGGCCACCAAAATAGAGGTGCAGATCGAGCTGTGTTCGCGTACGTGACAGCTTGCTGGGGTAGAGAGTGGACATTATGGTGCGGATCGAGTTTGTGTAAAAAGTTCTCGTCGAGCCCGGCGCGAGCATGGCGGTAAGTTCTCTACTAAGTGTCGAAGCCGCGACAGAAGGCTTCATGTGACATCTCGATGGGGAGACAGGGGCGCCGCGCGGTGACGAAGGAGGGACTGGTGTGTCGCATGGAGGGAGCTCGATGAACTTGGCGTCGAGGAGTTGAACGTGCAGCTCGGTCCAGCAAATGGGACGTACGAAGAGGGAGAGTCCAGCATGATCCCACATCTTGTCGTAGAGGGAGCCCTCGTCGGGACGAAAGACATGATGTCTTCTTTTACGCTTCGCGGGGTATGGCATGGCTTGAATGGGACTCGAAGTTGGGGGTGTCGCGTGAATGGGCTCGGGCGAGGACATTGACGATGCCGTTGGTGCGCTGCTGGGGAGATGCATATCGGCGGTGGAGGAGGAGGAGTCGAGGAGATTGCGCAGTTGCCGTACGAAACTGGTGTTATTGAATATTGATCTGCGGTTTTGTCAACATGGTCTTGGGTTCAGGTAGAGAGGAATGAAGATGCAGTGTATTGGGTAGCAGGGGATGGAATATGAACAACGAGGTGGTGACAACAAAGGAATAGGGATTGGGGTCTTACTCTAAAATGAGCATTGGGTTGTGGCGCTCTCCCTTCCGTTCTTGTAGTAAGTGATTTTTCCCGGGGGAGGGGGGGGACTTTTGCGTTGCGCCGTGGGCCCAGCGTCGATTCTTGAGCTTGGAGCCTTGGGGATGCCGACGCGACGGGAGAGATATTACTATGGGGGGTGTGGCCCGTGGGTGGGATGGTGGTGGATGATGGACTGTGGATAACGGACTCGGTGAGCCGGGTAGCAGTCGGCGCAACTGGGTGCGCAGCGCACTGTTGACTCTTGAGTGAGAGAAAAGAGGATCAGGATCCGCAGAGAGATCGGAGAATATCCGTATGCAGTTTTGATGTACCCGCAACACCTCTGTACCTTACTGTCAGAGAAGCGGTGCCCTATGACTGGGTACCGATACGTCAGGAATCTGTTGAGATCGACGGCGCTTTCAAGGGTTTCAGGCTTAGGCGTCGTCGTCTGCGCACGAGGCGAAGGAAAAAGAAAAAATGCGGCCGGGACGTCGGGATGGTGGATGTTGGTGCAGGAAAGAGGAAAGGGAAAATGGACTACTTGGTGGTGGTGGTGAATACAGATTCCTCAGAGAGAAGGGAGAGCAGCCGGGGGAAGGGTGAAGGGTGGGAGAGAGGAAAAGCTGGCAGGGAATGAAACACGGGCTGCGCGAGTCAAATACCCAAGGTATTCCAACTTTGTCGTCGGTGTTCCTGGCCGTTGCGCTGTCACTTTTCGCTTGTGTGTGTGTGAGTGTGTGCGAATGAGGTAACGTGCGTGTGCGTGTGCGGTCAACAAGATGGGTGTGGCGGCAAAAACTGGGCAGGTGCAGACTTGTCGACCCCGTCACGGTTGTCCATTTTGTCAGTGTGTTCCAACTTCCAGGTTCCCGTCCCCGTCGCGATGGTGCCGTGCCTGCTCTACCTTCAAGTTACCTTAGAATGCCCACTCGCGACTCCGACTTTTCCTTCCTTGTCCACCGCCAATCTGTAACTCTCGGTTCAAAAACTTTGTATAGGAAAAAAAAGGTGGAAACGACAGAGGGAGAAAGGACTATAATGCGCGCACATTTTCGACTTGAAAACCTCTTTCAGTCTTTCAAAGGCGGGAAACGCGCGACGTGCCACTGGCCGGGGAGGGACCTTGGCTCGCTTGCCAGCGAGGAAACTGTGACACGCGGGGAGTGCGAAGTCATGTGATAAGGAGCCAGGCACCAGCCCCCTCCAACAGTACGTATCGGGCATGGACCATGTCATCGATTTTGTGGCTGCGCTTCGTTGTGCTTGAAATGCCTTAGTCATCAATCTTGCCAAGCGACACGCGTGACTTACCTTCTCGTGACTCCAACTTCCAGGCAGCTGCTGCGCCACACTCATTTTACCCCCACCTTTGAACCTGAGGCTCAAGCACCGGCTCCAGCCTCACATTGGACCATGGCAGTGTGCTGGGTGACCATCAGCTAAGTGTCGCGCCCCACCATCGGCCGCTTGCTCTCCCATCCGGAGAGCAGTTGAATGTCTCCCACCTCCATTTGCGACCAATCCTCATCAACAACAGCTTCACATTCTACGAAACCAATCCCTTGGTTAGGGACCTACTTCAAGATGCCGGTATGTCCATACAAGCCTCTTGCCGCAGCTTACTACCTGAGCTGCCCTGGAGGCTCTGCTGCAGCCCAATCCAAACTCCCCCGCAACCCGCCCAGAACGAGCTGACGATGCCCTCTACCAGGCCTACAACTCCATGTTCAATGCCGATCCGAATGTCCCTCGCACAATAGGAAACTTCCCACTCCTGCCGCTGCGCACAAAGACCCGCGGCCCGGCCTACACCCTTCCCTTCCCCAACCCGCCTCTCCCCGCCAACGAGTCTCCCGACCCAGACAGCGAAAGCTACGACATCCTCGACGAGGTCCTCGCCCTCTTCCGCGCCAACACCTTTTTCCGCAACTTTGAGCTTCAGGGACCCGCCGACCGCCTGCTGGTGTACGGCATCTGGTTCGTCAGCGACTGCCTGACCAAAATCAAGCCCAACGCCGGCGTCCGTGATGCCTCCAAAGATGTTATGAACGTGGCCCTCGACACCAACTTTGCCATCCCTGGCGACCCGGCGTGGCCTTTGAATCAGGTACGACAGCTTTACAAGTTTCAGTCCGAGCTCCAGTTATTGAACAATAATGTAGATGTACGAACCCCCTCGCGACAGACAAGACGCCGAACAGCTCCGACAGTACATGTCTCAAGTCCGCCAAGAATTAGCAGCCCGGTTACTGGCACGAGTCTATGAGGAAGGCGGCGATGGAAAGCCGAGCAAGTGGTGGCTGAGCTTCACCAAGAGAAAGTTCATGGGCAAGGCGTTGTGATGCGGGTCGTCTAAGCAAAATCGCCAGAGACAAAAAGAACAGTTGGGAAAATGTTTAGAGCGACTAGGCCAATATGATGATGCCAATTACTCCAATTACAGCTCGATAAGCTTGGATGGGAGGATGCTAGGGTATCTATATGCAAACCTTCTGATGCCCGACTTTTCCCCGTCTCTTCTGTACTTCCTCTCGACCATCCCCTGCTATGTCGGTGTCTTGTACTTGCTCGATTCGTTCACGCTTCTACCTTTCTCCTCTTAAACTTGCCTCTGGCCTCGACCTTACCCTCCGCCGGCACTGCCTTCCAGCCCGTGAAAACATAGCCATCTGCCCCGCCCCGCCCCATCATCATGGGATGCGTGCGGCCGGGCAAAACTTGCCAGCGTTTCGCGCGGCTTGTCTGTACGTTGGCACCCAGGAGCAGAGTCGGGTTGATGGGGAAGTCGTCCGACCCCTCCCACCGTTCCAAGTCCTGGACAGACTTGCCGGCTGCCTCGGGCGGAGGATTTGACGACCAACCTGCACGGCGTGCAATACTGAAGCAATCGGCGAGTTCAGTCAACGGCTCGATGCTTTGCGAGTAAACGGCAATCGGCGCTCCACCAGCCAGGAGCGGCAAGGTGTGGCGCAGGATGGATACGGTGTCCATCGTGCTGGCGATGACGAGCCCGGAAAACCCACCAGCGCGCGTCGAGTCGACAATGTAGCGCGTTCGCGCCCAGCGTCTTCGCTTCCGATGGTAGTTGCCGCGGCGATTAGCCTTCCACGAATGCAGCTCTTCGTCAGAGACCTCGGGGGGCGGTGTTGAGTATGTGACGTCTTCCTCGGGCTCCAAGAGTTGCAACCAGGAAATGGGTAGCAGATTGGTGGCGAGCGGATGGAGGGGGTAAGGCTGGTTTGGATTCGTGCTGTCAAAGTTGTAGTATTTGAGGAGGGCGAGGTTCGGCTGGCTGTTGGGGTGGATGAGTGTCAGGGTGTTGGTCGGGGCGAACATGGCTTCGAAGTCGTCACGACGGGGCGGATGCCTTCGTCGAGGCTGTTGCGGCTTTGTCGTCTCACCGTCGTTTGTCATTGTCGCATCAGTTGTGGTCTCCTCGAGGTTCAATGTCGAGTCTTGCGCTGCAGCCCCCGTGCTTGTCTCCTGTGTCTGTATTGTCGCGGCATCGTCCAGGGTGGTGGCGTTGCTCTCTGCTGACTTTGCTCCATTCGCTTCTTCCTTGACAAAATCCATGGCCTCCGCTTCTTCGGCGTCTTCGGGATCCTTGGGGTACAATATGCCCATTCTCTCGGCCATAGCAGCGGTAACAAGACCTCCGGTGTCCTCCACAACGAGCCAGCGACCGCCAATCTCGGACTTGTCCAACATGCCAGACCCATCGATCGTCACAGTCTCGGGCTTGTCTGTGGGAGAGACGCCGCCAAAGTGAACGTTAGCCCAGGAGTTCAGGAGTCCCATCATCTCTTCCCTCATCTCAAGCACCTTTCCGGCATCCTTCTCTTCCAACAGCCATTTGCCCAGCGTCAAGGGGTCGAGCGGTTGTATCATGAAGCGTCGAATATACTTCTTGGTCTTTAGCAACTTGTACTTGGCGAGAGAAAAGGCCGTCTTCTGGTCGATGGCGGTATGCGACAAGAGCAGCTTCGCAATAATGTCTTTGCCGGCGTCTGTATTGCCCTGCTTCAGCTGCTCAATCTCCTCGGTAGTCAGCGTCTGACGAGCGGCGTCGTCGATGATTTCGCGCCGTGAGTGCGCAACTACATTGCCACTCTCCTGGTCCACTAGTTCGAATTCGGCGCCATCGGGGGCAGCAATGACATTCTCGAGAGTGGTGCCCTCCTCCTCGGCGTTTTGGGCGTTCAAGTCGGCCAGGGCGTCGGCGTGGATCTCGCTGGTAGGAACAACTCGCAGTCTGTTGAAGTTCTCGCCATCGCGTCTATCTTGAATCTCGTACGTGATGTGGTAGGGTCGCTCAAGAACGAGGTTGCTAGGGAACGAGCCGAGTTTACCCAGGGAAATCGTCCTTTACGCCGAAAGAGTTAGCCATGGTCAATGGGAGGCAGGCCTCGTCTTGATGAACCTACGTGTTGGGTACAACTTGGAGCACCTTTGTATCTTCCGAAAGAAGCTTCAGAGACACCCATTGGTGCGATTGGACGAGGTGGTGCATGATTGCGACTAGGTAGGCTTTGCCGGGCAAAGGACTCGTCCAGATGAAGCTGTCGCAAGAAAAAATGTTTTTGGGCGAAGCGACAATTGGCCTTATCGTTATCGAAAATTTCGGGCGTGGCCAATCAACGGCTTACAGTCGGTCCCTAAAATACTTGACCTAACTGAGAACGACAGGCCGTCCGGGTACCCCGCGCGGGGCAGTTGGAGGCCAACCAGCCGCTGGAACACCGGAGCGAAGCTCGCTCCTACCATCCCTAAGCTCCTCATCTACCTAGATCCAACGTGACTCACTTTCACCCTCATGAGCTACCTACTTCACCCTACCTTACGATGAAACTGAGGCAATCTCGTATTAATGTCTTTTCTCAAGACATCCTGTGATATGGTTGCAACAGCTTTTCCATCATTCATCCATTCCACCCAAATGGTTGTAAATGTCAAAGAAAACCTCAGAATTACAGGCCTCCAAGTCCACCAAATATCCGCCCCGACGAACGAGTGCTTCTCTCTCCGTCCTTAGAAGTCATCCCCCTCACGACGGGGAATGTTGCCTGAGCCGAGCACTCTGTCGGCCTTGCTCTTCATTCCAATCAATCGTAAGATGCCTGCCGTTGCATGGAGAAGGAGGGTGAGAGAGCCAAACAGTAAGAGAGGAAGGAGGGTGTAGGTCGTGAAGACTGAAGTGAAGAATTAGCAACCAACTTCATATCACATCACGCAGCTCGAGAACTCAACTTACAGACACCGCCACCCGTTTGCTTGACAACATCGAACAGCTCGCCGCGCAAGATGGGAAGAGCGCCCGACTTCCATCTCCATGGACCAACTAGCCGAAATTTGGTGTTGAAATTGGGTCCCATTACCCACGTGAATAGCGCTTTGAAACCCTGACGCCACATGAAAGACAAGGTCGGCGCGCTACCTATGTCGAGGGCAAGCTGATACGCATAAGACTCCTGCTCAACCCCGTGCTTACTCTTGAAAACATCATGGCCGCCTCGAGCCTTGAGGGCATAGTCGACCTCGTAGTGAGCAACAGCGTCAGTGGATGCTCTTTGGCTGGAATACGAGTCGTGCATGGTCATCTGCTGAGGGTATTTGTGGCGGAGGAGGCTAAGAACCCATAGTTGGGCTTGTAACTCGGCAAGAGGCGGAATAGCACCTGCGGAGAGTGTGTAAGCACAGCACACTTTCATACCGAACAATCTAACGGGATCCTACCGATGCCGGGGCGCACAAAGCCGATGAAGCCCGCAGTCACATCACAACGCCTCCAGATACCGCGGACATCAAGCTCATGAGGTTGAGGGTAGTCGTCGTCTAGGAACTCGAACCGACGCACGTATCCCGTTGCAGCAACGACCACGTTGGGCTTGTTGACATGAGACAGTGCCTGGAGGTGCTCACGCTTCTTGCTGTGTGGGAAAACGACCGTCCCATCTTCTCGGAAGGCTGATGGCCAAGGTGCCGTCAGTATCTTTTTGCCTCCTGTTGGTTTCAACTCAATATTCATCACATAAGCTCTGATACGAGAGAATAGATCCCGAGCTCGGTGTCCTTCGTTGAGATATGGTAAGGCACGATCTGACTTGACCAGAAACACTTTCCAAGTCAGCTACTGACCGAGCCATTTTTAATCATCGACAGGGAGCCTTACGTGAATCAACATTATTGCGGTTGCCCTCAATCTCTCCAACCCATTGATCTGGGCCTGCAGTTGTCCCTCCGGAGAGATAATGAAGGCCCTTGAAAGTCTTGTCGTATACGTTCCAGGGCAGGCTGGAGTGTTGGAGACACTCTGGAAGATACGCAGTGTCTAGAAAACTGGCAATAGCAGTGTCAACTGGCTTTTGGTGAGGATCTGGCTTCCATGTCTGCATGACAACTGGTAAAGGAACAACCTGAAGTCAAAGTCAGCGCTGGTCAAGGTCAGGCTGAGCTCATCGCAAGACAGGTTATTTCCTCCGAGTCTCAGAAGTAAGACAGTCACCTTCTTTGCGCAAAAGAAACCATCCTTGTGGCACAGTACCACTTCACGGGCTTTTGAAGTCACGGCCAGATGGGCAAGGTCCATCCCTGTTTCTCCGGCACCCAGGATCATCACAGACGTATCCGACCCAAATTGCCGCCTCTCCTTGACTTCGGAGGAGTGCAATAGCCGTACATTATCAAGTCCCTCGATAGACGGGATTGATGGTACATTATTGAGACCGGAGCAGACGGCGATGGCATCACACTCCCAGGTGTTCTCCAGCGTTTCTCCGGTCCGGCCGTCCGCAGCCTTTCCACCTCCAAGGCGGTGAAAGAAGATGCGATGGCCAACACCAGTATGAGAAACTCGACGAATATCAGTCTTCGTCTCGATGACATCCCACAGGTCAAATTTGGTGCAGAAGCCCTCGAGGTAGCGCACGTACTCTTCAACTGGCAAAAAGTCGGGCAGGTCTTCGGCAACACGAAAGTCGGAGAATGCTGTAAGGTATTTCGAAGATACCATCTAGGTTTTACAGTCCTTTATTAGCTCATTGCCCCTTCATTCAAAGGCCATACAACATGGAAAGCGCGGCCGCTAGGAACAACAAATGGCGGCTGGAAGGATTTATGGACTACCGTACCTCGGCTTCCTCGTAGACCTTATACTTGTAAACACCACCCACCCCGTCTTCCCTCTCAAAGACCCGGACCTCAACATCAGGTACGCCGAAGTACTGTCTGGCCTGACGGAGGTACTTGGCAGTGACCAGACCAGAAGCACCAGCGCCAATGACGGCAACTCGAATGGGCTTCAAGATTGGGCCTGCCTCTCTCTCAAAGTTGGCAGCCTGGCTCATCTTGAAAGAAACCTTTTTCTGTTTGTCGAGGGTACAAGTCTCAGCTCTCACTGTTACACAGGTCCTTTGCTGTTCGCTTCCCACAGAAATGGCGAGGCTCGGGCTTTTGATGTCGACGGAAATAGGTGATCGCGAGCTCTGTGAGTTTTCTTGGACAACGCTTTCGATTGGATAACCCGGATAAACAGTAAATTCAAACACGATGATGGAATTGAGATGGCCCGTTCTTCAGGTGTTGTTGCAATTGTGGCCAGTTTACGGCAAACGCTGGTGCCGAGCCTCGCTTGACCTTGAGTAAGAAGCAAGGGAGTGAGCTAGGCCAAGAGACAAGACCACACAAAGGGTTCGGCTGAGAAGTATTCTGAGGAAGCCAAAAATTTAAGTTGAATTTTTTAACGATATGATGATAGGTTGAACGACGATATTGACTTAGCAGCTAAACAATAAACGGCACTTCGAGATCGAAGACGTAGTGTGTGATAACAGCACAGTTTCTGGATAGATGCAGAGATTGACAAAACTTGGAGTATTCTCGAGCACAGCAGTGCATAAGTATAAGATTTAGTTCGAATTTCGTGACAGCACGAAGTCCAGGTGACTGACTACCCAGGCATCCAACATCACGCTGACAGCTTCCAACTAGCAATCTCACCTGAAAGTCGCATGTTTATAGCCAAGACATCAGCTTGTCTATCACTGGAGCTGCTGCCCTTTCAGGATTGAAGAGACTAAATCTGCCCTTAACACCAACGCTGACGTTCACACCATTTCAAGGCAGTTGCCCAATCGAAGGCGACGTTCGGCCGTAGCTGAGTTGGGGGCGGAGTGCCAATGTGGCTCAGCCGGAACCCGAAGAATGTTGAAAATTTCGGTGAACTGGAAATATGGGATGATTGGATGATTGTAATAGTGCACATCTAGGCTGAATCTGTTGGTAAGGCTGAATTACCAAAGCAAATGATGTGATTCTTATGCCGAGCTCCGGGCAGCCGCTTTCATGCAGGAGATTTGCAACTTGTTTGGCAAAGTCCGGCGCTTGCGCTGCAACTATTGAATTGAGCAGCCGAGTTCGAGCTTCCTTCAAGTCACTCAGCGTGTAGTCTCCGAAAACCTCCGCCAACCTGGCAAGCTGGCCTCAGATGGTGGTGCGCTATTTCCGATCTGGGTAGATTCCAGGCCACAAAGTTCTTGAATCTTTCAATCCTTTCATTCTTGACGAGAATTGGACCCCACTATAGCAAGTGTTCTGGCTTCTAAACTGGCTGTACTTAGGAAGTTACTTTTCGTGTCTATCAGCGGCCGGGGCAGGACTCGAGACCTCGGCAAATATGGCGTCCCATCCCATCGTTGCATTGACGATTCGAACGCCCCTGAGCAATTCGAACCACATCACTTACTCTCCGTCGGAAATAATTAGGAGGTATCCTGAGCTAGTATTCTTTGCAAATGCATAAGCACAATCCAGCGCGGTGGAGATGTAGAGTGCCCGGCGAAGTCCTTAATTGATGTAGGCATGGTTGCCATGACTTGGCGAAGGTCCACAGCGTAGTGAACATCTGCCCGTTGATTTTATAGGGATGATTCAACAGGCCTCTGTCTCTCTTTTGAAAAATGTAATGCGGAGACTGCCAGAACGCAGTGGTGGCTGAAGGTAAGACGAGGGATCCTCTTACGCCAGAGTCGCGAGTCTAAATAGGTGATATCCTTGGGTGCCAATAAATAGCACTGTAGCTTAAGATCATATATTGTCTACATCCAATGTAGATCCGAGGCGAGTTTTGCCTGTTGATCACCTTCCTGAGTGACTGTGAGGGTCATGCCGGCTGATCTGGAACTGAGGCGGTCGGGCGACCCGAAGAGTTCTTAAGGGCTTTGCACTCTGGATGGCGCATCCCAATTTCACGCGGCCTGATCCTCTTGCGAGAAGTCGAATGTGAAGCGTTCTCGGGAATCTCGTGGAGGTTTGGGACTGTGTTTATAGTTATGGACGAAGCAGTGAAGTCGCAGGTTATCACTGCTTTCGGGCACTGCCCACATTAAGGCTTAGCCTTATCACACTGATCTTTGGGTTATTATGAGGGCAAGAATTTGAAATTCCATGTCTTACCTTTATCTCTTTTCGGTTGCAGATTTTGCATCTATTCCGGGACGTATCATGTGATCGCCTCTTTCCGACGTGGCATGTTTTGCACCCACGTCCTAGATCTCCGTGTTTTGCACCCTTCGTATGCGGTTCGCTCATTACTCTCATTGGAACGTGAGATTGGGTCTCGTCTTAGATGTACCCTCCTACTAAGAGTGTGAAGGGGAATGAAGCGTGCTTTCAGACTCAAAGACTTCTAATCTATCAAATTGAGGAAAGGGAGAATAATGACATTGAAGATGTGTTGATTCAGAAAGGAAAGGGGAGATCGGGAGCACCAAGAATTGAGGTCACATAGGACATTCAACTAATCCTGCATCTTTAAAATTTAATATATCATATTCCTAACCCTGGTGAGACCAAAATGTCTTTCACAGAACACATGACCAACCTGGGGGTTTGCCAAGTATCGTCTCATTGTAGAATGCCTTCCTTGGAAACGGGCAGACTATCTGATTCTCGTGAGTATTGTCGGGCTTTGTGATAGTCACTGGTGAGCTTTCAGGGGCTGTTCCGTTCTCAACCCAGGCTCTCAGCTGGTCAAACAAAGCGATTGGCTGCCCACCACCAGGGCCTCCCCAACAGTGACCAAGTCCCGGGACAGGGAAGTATCTGTAAAAGTCTTGCGCGTCGTCTTGATGCGCCAGAACTTCCTTGTAATAATTCAGGGTGTTGTTTGGTGGGATAGTCGGATCGGCCTTGAACTGGGGTTAGCCCACTCTGACGGGAACACGAGCAATTGTATAGTCGGTGATAGCCGAAGACTTACCAAGCCGTGGAATGTAATCATCTTTCCTCCAGCGTCACGGAAAGATGACAGGTCTGGGTCATCCGTCCCTAAGTATGAATCATACTGTTGCCTAAAAGAATGGTATGCTCTTTCTAGGCCATTGAGAGATATTTTTGTAGTGTTGATCTCAGGATCTTTGCCGATGAAGTAGGCCAGTAACAGCGTTACAGCGGCATTTGGCAGGCTGGTACACTTCCCATCTTCTGTACAGCTAGTTTGGGCACCAAATGTGAGATCGGTGCCCATCTCCAAACCATATAGATATGTTGACTCATTCTCGGCCGTTACAGGCCCCGTCCACATCGCATTCGCAACAGCAGCTGCCGTGGAACTGATATTGGCTGACTTCCCGGTCAATGAACAGTGGAACTCTGACCCGACGTACGAAAAAGGATCGAAGATGTTCTTGCAGGTATTTGTGTCGGCGATGAGTCCATCCTCAACTCCATCAAGCCCATCACAAGCAGACACGGCCAGCGCCGTGAGCTGCTGCAGCTCGCATGGATGGGGATACTGCTCAGTAACGTCCATATAGACTATGGGCCACATAGTATTGATGAGAACCCCGGCCCAATTAACCGCTGGTGCTGCTGCAATGATACCGTCATAAGCGAACGGGTACCGCTGGGCGAGTGCCGCGCCTTGACGACCTCCTTGAGAGCAGCCATTCCAGTACGAGTATGAAGGTTCTTTTCCGTAGTAGTTTTGAATGAGATGCTTGGCGATGATGGCCTTTGATGCATATCAGCCAAACTCAACGCCGCTGGAGATGTCGACTTACCTCGTCATACAAGGTCTGAGATCCAAGGTCTTGCAATGCGTACAGATTCGAGTTACCAGGACTTACCAGAGCCCACGACGCAGGCCCCATCGCGTCTCCGAGGCTTGAATCCGTGGTCACAGTGGCATATCCATCGGCGATAGCCCCGGCCATGGTAGTATAACTCAGAAGCATTCGGCCAGCGCGCCAACCGCCACCACCCACAGCTTGAAGTCTCCCATTCCAGCCATTGGAAGGAAGCCAGGTCTCGACATTGACAACGTCATTGTGGCCAGGGTGAGTGTAGGACACCGTAATATTGCAGAATGAAGCATTGTGTACTTCGACAGCAGGTTGCGAGAATCTCCACTCTGCCGGGACTAACCCGCTGAAATTGGTAACAGGAGACGCCTGAACGGAAAGGAAATCCGCTCCTAGCAACGACGGGGCCGAGAATGTCGCAGCAACGCATGGGTCAAGACCGGTGCTTGCACTGGAAGCTCCCGCCCCTAAGTCTGAAGATCTGAGAAGGACCTGAGAACCGGGTCCTCCGGGAACAAGGGATAGTAGTCGAGTGAGTCCAGCTGGCATGGTTTGGGATTACTTCACTCGAGGTGTAAAGATGCTGAGATGGTTGGTGTGGAGATTCGTAGCAGATTTTCCTTTTAGCTACGAGCTACTGCAAGAGATCAATCAAAGCAATACTTGCAACGTTGCTGCATGCAGCAAGTTTGCTAGGGCAGAAGTGTCGTCGTCACTTTTCAAGTTGTTTCACAGCTACCGTGCCTCGGCCAAGGTCCCCGCCGGATTCAATTGGTCCCCTGCTGCGAGCGTTCTGGTAGATTAGCCCGGAGCTGAAAGTGACGCCAATAGCATGCCTTGATTTTGTTTGTCGTACGAAATACTAAAATTCATGTTTCAAACAGGCCATGTTGCCGCTTAAGGGCATGAACCGGGACCAGATTGCTAGACTTCCGCATGGACGCTCGATGGTTTTGTTCCCATGTGCATGAAATTCCTCCCTCTTCCCTATCTCATATAACGGATAATTCATTGGATGAAATATGCCACAGTCGTTGGACAATACTGACTGAACACGGTGTTTGTTGGGGTTTCCCATGTCTGACATGCCGGAGCACCCTAATTACTTTGTGTTTCACTCGGCAATACCTAGCCTAGCTCGGCCAGCAGAGGAATTTCGTTACTTGTCGAGCGCACAGCACGATGCACCGTAAAGCCGACAACTTGACCTGTAATTACGCTGCTGTGTAAGGCTACCTTTAACCTGCGAATGAACTCATACAGCCACAGTTTTATTCCTACCTAGATGATGAGAGTGGTGTCCGTCGTACGCGATCCTTGGCACGAGAATTTGATATGTATTTTTAATCTTTTCGCGATGTGGGAATACAAGTTCAACAAGTCAACAGGTTCGAGAGAGAAGCTGTGGCTGTGCGCAAAACACCTCACAAAAATTCCTAAAGTTCGCTAGTCTAATAATTGAGGCTACTTAGTGATTCTAGAAACTCGCGAGGACAAAATCTCTCTCCTATAATAGATTGAAGTTCAATTCTTCTTCGAGATGGAGAATAAATAGAATGAGGTTTCCCACTTCGCGACCACTTGGCTTGTTTGACTCTATCTACCTGCCTTACTAGCCCAACATCTCGGTGGAACGCCTAATTAGTCAGACGCTAAAGCCTAGAGAGGTGAAACTCAAAAGCCTTGAAAATCCAAAGGAGATCAATCGTTGTTTTCCCAAGTGAACACAGTTCTGACATAGCAGCACTATACTCAGAACTTGTGACGGCAATATAATTTAGACAACTCGCTGAAAGTGCTTAGAGGAAGTGTTACTGCCGATCACAAGAACAATTTCCAATTCAGCCATTATAGTACCTTATTTCATTCTCCGAGGCTCGGCCTCATTGTAGCAACTGTGAATTCTTGGGATCCTCTGGATCACTCAAGGCGATGGGTAGTGACGCATTCGCATAGCCACAATGGAAGCTTGGCGCTACCCTGCGAAGCCCGTCAACTCAACTGTTCCCAGGATCATCAACCAATGGCAACATGAATGGCGACCTGTGCGTCTTCTTTTGTTTCAACGATCTGACTTTAGAGTTTGCCAAGTTCGTCTTGAATTGATTGGGCGTCCATTGGCTCTGGTGAACATTGTTGCCGAGTCCTATGTACATGTATACAGTATTGTCCCCGGAGAGATCAAGATCCACGATAGGGTGGCATTATTCGTCTGAAAATATAACTACCCTAAGAAAATGGGTAGCTCCTTGTCATATGAACATGTCACATATCAGGCTTGTCTTCTAGAGTGGGACGCGCCGCGGACGGGCACCCGCTCCGGCCTTGGTGGGATTCTTCCCCAAAAGCGTTGCCGACGCTGCGCCTTTGCATATGTCACTCAGTTACTTTCAGACTACGCCAAGTGCTTGGCTTGATCGCGATGAATCTATTCGTCATGATTGTGGTATTGATGCTACTGGAAAACAGCCTGCCTTTGTTTGCTATGCCAAGCCCCCTTTTTGTTCATGTACATTAAATCTAGTAGAGATGGTATCAAGTAAAGGTTCCCGGTGGGAAGAGATTCGATGCGCTTAGAAGTGAGGAGCGTTGAGGAACAGGCCCATGAGAACGCCGCCAAGAGTGCCGGCAACGGGAATCGTCATGATCCAAGAGAAGACCAAGAGACCAACACGCTGGAAGTTGACAGCCTTGAGAGTACCGTTGCACAGACCGACACCGACGGTGGCACCCGTGATACACATAGAGGTAGAAACGGGCAGAGAGTACTGAGAGAAGACGAGGACAGTGATGGCGGCACCCATCTCCATGGAAGACCCACGGCTGGGGGAGTGGTAGGTGATCTTATTGCCCATGACTGTTTTCTGTTAGTGGCATGGTCAACTAGGCCATGGTTTTGATGAGACTTACCCTTCATGATGTTGTAGCCGTAGGTGATGAGACCCAGAGAAATTGTAGCGGAGAGAACAGCCAGCTGCCAGACAGGGACAGGAGCCTTGGCAGCAGCAGCGTCGCCGGTGCTCCAGGCAGAGTAGATGACGGCCCAGGGGCCGACAGAGTTACCGATATCGTTGGCACCGTGAGCGAAAGAAGCAGTACAAGCGGTGATAATCTGGACAAAGGAGTAGGTGTGTTCGACCTCGTTGGGGTACTTCTTAGCGCTGGCATAGACGCGCTTCATGCGCTCACCCTCGGGGGTGCCGGCGACGCCAGTCTGAGCAGCGTGAATGTCGTAGTGAAGACCGTAGAGAGCGCCGACAGTAATCATGGCGGGGATACGCTTGAGGGCAATCTTCATGTTGTGGAGCTCATAGATCTGACCAGCACCCAAAGGGTTGTCGCGAAGGGTGCGCATGGCCCATCCGAGAGGACCACGCTTCTTCATCATCTTGGCGTGCAACTTGGCCTCGCCCTCGGCCTGGAGCTGCTTGTATGTAGGGCCTTGTCCAATCTCGGCAGCAGCCAGAGACCTCTCCTGGGGGACGTGCGTCTCCTTCTCGTGAGTCTCCTTGAGGGGTTCGTCACCAGACTCGGAAGACTTTACGGATTCGTGGGAGGGCAGAGTCTGCTCGTGCTCATCCTCCTGGACAACAGCGTAGTTGGGAACCTTGGCCTTCTCAGCATCTGCGGGAGCGGGACGCTTGAAGAGAAGAGGACCGTAGACAAAGTGATACCACTTGATTGTGTAATCCTTCTTGATGACCTTGGCGTGGACGAAGGGGACGAAGAAGAGAGCGGCGAGGACACAGAGACCACCACCAGTTCCCATGGTGACGGCAGCGATGTACCACGCAGGTTTCTTGCCCAGACCAAGGTTGGGAGAGCCCTTGTAGACGATGGACAGGGTGCAGATGGTACCGGCAATGAGGAAGAAGAAGGGCGAAGTCCAGACAGCCCAGGGAACAGGGTTCTTGCGAACGTGAACCACGAACTTGATGAGGCAGAAGATGATGGCACCGAAGCAGCCTGAGATGGCGGGAGCCATACCCAGACCAGCGAAGATGGCACCAAGACCCTTGCCGTCGTTCCAGCCCCATTGAACCTTATCAGCGCCTGCAACAGCAACGCCGACACCAGCCACGGCAGAGACTAGGGAGTAAGTCGAAGAGACGTGGGCAGAGTGTCGCGTGCACCACATGACCCAGGAAGAAGCGGCGGCCAGGGCACAGGTGAAGGCGAGCATCTGAACGCCGGGGTTGCCGTGGAAAACGTTGTTGGGGATGATGCCGTTCTTGATGGTATCGGCGGTACGCGCACCAACGGTGATGGCGCCCAACATCTCGAAGATGGTACCAAAGACCATGGCCTGTCTATAGGTGATAGATCTCGAAGACACACTCGTCGCCCAGGCGTTTGCGACATCGTCTGAAAGTTTGGGCGGGTCAGTGTCTGATGTCTTGAATTGTGCCAAAGTTTTTTCCGGCGACAGTATCTGTTCGCCCAATGGAGGAATTATACTCACTTGCACCGTTGTTGTATGCATCGAGCAAAGCAAAGAACGTGCCAATGGCAAAAACATAGGTGTATTGATCGAGCGCCATTGTGACTGACTGCTGCTTGGCTGTGGCTTGGCGAGCAGGTTCTGTGGTCTCGATGAGAGAGGGAAAGGGGTGCTTGCTGGGGAAGACAGAACACACGGAATATCGAAAATTGGGAAGAGTGCGTACGATGAATCTTTTATGTGCTCTCTTGGCGACTCGGATTCAGACTGACAGAAAGTGGCGGCCGTCCATTTTTGCAGCAGATACCAGCCTTGATCCCGTGTAAGTGTTGATACACCCCCCTCCCCTCTTCTTCCCCCTCCTGAATTAAGCCTGGTTCAATATGTAGCCATACCCGACTGAGTTTGTCCTCTCTAAATGGACACCCCCATTTCACCCACTTCATCGACTCTCTCAGACTCTCACTCGACGATGGTCGATGGGACCTCAATGGCACGCCGAACGGGATGCAGCAAGGATAGTGTTTACGGCTAGCGTGCCAAGATGTCGGTATCCCTAGCATGCTAGCAGCTTAGCCCGGGTCCACCTAGCAAGCTTTATTTGAGCGTAGAATATCATCTGGGGAGGATCTGAAGTTGGCGAATCATGCGGCCTCAACCCTCCACGTGTGGCATCCGTTTGCTACAGTCGTTTGACTTTGTCGATGACCCCCCCTGCCTGTCGAACTTGGCAAACAACATATTAAGACCATGCCAAGCCCTTTAAACCCTTCTTGCTCGTCTCGTCAGTTGCTACGCCGTCTCGCTGCACACACTTGGGTGCCAGTCTTCAATCTTGACGGGCCTTTTGGTCTGAGGCCATGTTGCCAATGGACGAGAACCCCACGCACGCCTCCTTCGACCGTCGCCCAACCTGCCGATAAGGGTTTGCCTCTCCGGTCTGCCTACATGGACACCAATGTCCTCCTTCTCCACAGGCACCTGGAAGAGTCAAGAGTCCCCGCGAACGAGGGGCCTTGGCTCGCAGTCTTGCCCTCGAGCAGGAGCTCACTCAGCCACCGGCCAGCCAAACCCCACCAGATCAACTGTTGGCCCGATGTCTCGACCACCCGGAAAGCGCGTCGCCAGCACGTTGCCAAAAAAGTCTGTTGCAAAACCTTTGGCGAGCAGCTCTTGGCGCTCGGTCCCCATTGTGGTAAAGCCCCGTATTGTCACCACCAACTTTCCGACGAGAGACATGCCAGCCGACGAACCATATGGCAGTATTTGCTGCTTGGCAGCTTTCCATGCGTTCTAGCTGAAGCCTGCGGGGATTGACAAATGCTCTTGCCTGTCTGCCTGTGAGCTGATTCACGAAATCCTCCCAGTCCACTCGGTCTCCCGATTGGGGTTGCTCGCCCGCTTTGCTTTTGGACCGAACGAGGCCGAAGAAACTCTGTGGCAAGCCGGAGAAACCTGGTTGCGCCGTTCTTTGGGGATCGATTCATTTTCATCGTTCCCTGCTTGGCGGGGACGGCGCACATGTCAACCACCCTTGGTCACTGCAGTCCGTGCCCAGGATTCGGAATAATTCCAAAGCAATCACATCGTATTGAACGCGATGAAGTTGTCTTCATCAAAATCTTGGTCTGACGTTCTGGTTGGAAGGTTCGCCGCATGCCAATCGCCAAGTCGGGTACTCGATGCCAGGACGCGTCCAAGACTCGCCCAACCCGTCGATCGGTATCGAAGGAACATCTACCATGCGTGCCATGGAAGTCATGGAAGGTTGGCAAAGCTTGCCACAGGATCAAGCATTCTGCCTTCTTGATGACAAAAATCTCGGCGCTGCATGCCACGACATTGGCAAGTTGGGATGCAAGCCGACCGGTCTTCAGCTGTGGTGAGACAGACTCTCAAATCACACTCCGTGGACCGTGAGGCTGCAAACATCAGACCGCGTGACAGGCTTCCGGCAACCCGAGCACACGGGATCGATGGCTCGTAACACTGCGGTTGTGATCCGGTTCTCAAAGGTCCAGCCGTTCCCGCGCCGCTTGGCTCGTCCCCAACTGCGGCAGAGCCGCCCACCAGTTCGCCGTGCCCGAACCCACGTGCTCGATCCGTAGGCCAGGACTGACCGACCTCACACATCACCTTGACACCACCACTCGGTAGGCCAAGTCGGCCATTTTCGACTGGGCGATGCTGGGCGATGAGCTGCCAGGGGAGACATCCTGATCCTGGAGTGTAGGGATGTGTACATGTGCTTGCGGCCTGCCTGTAATGACATGCCATTGTCACTGTCGCATGAGGTGCATGCCGCCTGTTTCTGCGCGCTATTGGATCCTTTGCTGCAGTCAATGTCGCTTGTGCTTCAGTCTAGAAGACTTTTGGAATATCTGCGTTTACGGTCGGGGTGGCCGTCAACTGGACCTATATGATCGTTCTCATTAGCAGCCCCGGGAAAAGCTATGAAGCATTCTCCTCTTGACAGGTCAAATGCAGTGACGCCAGGCCTCGCCATGAGGAATTTCGAAGACGATTATGGACGGAAATGCTCGCCAGAATCAGACTTTGCCACACCAATCTGCCTGTCCTGTTCCAGTGAACCTCATATGGCCTGCTCAGATTAATCTCAACCCGATAGTCTGAGACCTGTGATCCCATTTGAACGAATGTGAAGCTCTTGTCCGTGCCTCTATTCACATCGCCAGACAATGCCAGACAGCGACGGCTAAGGGAGTATCCGCACCACCGGGTCGAGGGTCGATGCAACTTGCAAGGGATGGCATGGGCTAACGGGCTATGGCAAATTTTGATAACATACGGCATATAGTTGCATCGTGCTAGCATTCCCGCCATGCATGAACCGACATCTATCCTAGACCGGAATAAGGGGCCTGCCGACCCGGGAGGGGCCATGACGAGAGTGGACGCGTCACAGACAACTGAAGACGGCGCGATGGAGCAATGACGGCTGCTGCCCCATATCACCGACTATAGTAAAACTTTCTTCATCTTGTGACGCATGTAGCCTCTATGAGTACGCTGTTTCAAAGCGCTTGGTGTTTGTAAGAAAGTACATTATGTCGACGAGGGTATTCCGGTGAAACATTGACAGCATCTCATGATCTTACTGCGCGTGCAAGATTAAGTGCTCATATGTCATGACATCTTGACTTTTTGAGGGGATGTTCCGAAGTGCTTTGAGCGGAAAGACTGATTTTATCTGGACGTTCGCTAGATGGAGTACTTGGTGGTACCGTCTCGCAAAGGAAGATTTCGAATGATGAGTCGATGAAAAATGCATGCAGTGAATTCATCATTGATCAAGCTAGGTAATAGCTCTGTTATCTGAATTTCAACCAATGCGAACTCGACTGGAGTGTTTTCAGACTACAGAAACATTTTAGCAAGGCGGAACAGCCTCACTTCAAGATATGAGCTAAGAAGTGAGCCAAGATATGTAAGATACGATCATATAATACAAATCTTAACACGTGATTTCCTCCAATTTCTTCCTTTGCTCCTTACTGGGCCTGGGCCGCCTGACGACTTTGGAAATGGTCGAGATTTCAACGGCATGATACATAGATGCCGGAACAGTTCGGATCGATTCTTACATATACGAGAGTGGAGAGGTCACCGGCATAAAGCAGTCAACATCGGTACCGGCTGCGTGAAAGTTGTTTCTCCTTCATGACCGCAATTACTGGGCCTCCAGGTGATGTACGCACCAATTTACCCGCACTGGTGCGATGCTCTTCCTCCGGGATGGACCGGCAAGGTCTATTATACAATGGGCTAGGTCGCGATCGATGTAAGTATCCTCCAAGCATCGGTTCACAGGAGAGAAGCAACCAATGATACTTTGGAAAATGAAGCCTAGGTCAGTGAATAGGAGGACACAATTCATTTAACACTTCCCACTACGTCAAATTGATTGCCTTCAGATAAGCTAGCCTCTTCATACTATGATTGTGGTTTCCGGTTCTACAGTTCTACTTTTCCGGAAATCTTAAGAACTGATCAGTCACACTTTAATGAGTGCTTGACAGAGCTTGTAAGACTGAAGATAAACAACATTGGAATCATCCACACTACTCAAATTAACCCCACCAAAAAATCAAAGATTAGGAAAAAAGAAATCGGTAAGAAAGCAAGTTAAGATAATCTCATCCAGTTATTGGTTTCCATCGTGGTGCAAGGACTAGGAAGGGCATTTGGTCGCACAATCCTGCCAGCGTAAACAGAGAACACGTTTTCTTGATTTTTAAAGCTATCAAAAGTTTGGAATAAAATATCTTACATGTACCTATCATTTTCTGGAAAGTCGGCTTGATTCACATGGAGCTATGAAAGCACTTGTCAAATAGACTTGAGGAGGGAAAGAAATGACGGCTGAAGCGTATTTCAGAGTCGGCTAGAAGACGATTCGAGCCACGGCTAGAGTATCGTTTCTCTGTTTATATAAAGAATATGCAGCTTTGGATCATTTATTATGTGGACAAACGTACACCGACAAATTTACATGGTTTGTGGCCGTGGAGACATGAGTGTCATGGCCTCAGCGAAAATGGCCAACCAGCTGAACCCAGGCGGTGCCAGCCGCGGTCTTCCTAGAGTGACATGTTCAGAATCACGTAATTTAGCCGGGAATCACTTTCGGATTCGGAGATTTCGGCTCATGTCATTTTCCAAACTCCATTGCCGGAGGCACAACTTTCGGCAGCTGATAGCGTCTTGGCTGAACTCAGGTCACGAGGTTGTCCAAGCTCTTTAGACTTGGCAGGAAGAACACTCACTTTTCGTTCGACCGTGATGCGATCTTCCTGATTTTGGTACGCAAACCGATGACAATGCTGACGTTGCTCTTATCTTGTCGTCCCTGGATAGGCCTGAGGTAGGGCTGAAGCAGTTGTGAACATAAGCCATAACCTGAGGATTGACACAAGCGTGGCTTCTCCGCCCCCATTTAGTTCGCAAAGATAATACGTGTTCTGGTGTCCGACCCCGAGGATATTGTTTATGAAACTCTAACAGAGATCTGCTTTGCTTGCCTCAACAACTCATAACCGGTTTGAGGTATTCGGCTGGCGGCGCCCAAAAGTACTTCTCGCGAGCAACGGTGGAAATTGGAAAGGTCTAACCCAGCATATCCTGGTTGGCTAAACCCAACCATCGCTGAGCAGCCCTAGACGCACCGAACGCCTTGTCAACACGTCAAATTTTCGAGAAGAGATTCCAGTTGCCTGGAACCAGGTCTCTGACATTCAGATCGCGTCGCAGATGCGAAGCTTGTTCACTAGAGCGAATCAAATACTACACATCAGTGTAATAGATGTCACGGAGCAAACTGCGGAGGTAATGTAACGTTCCCCCCCTGGTCCTGGCAGAGAACCAACAGGCTTCTCAGTGTGTCCACCGAACCAATGACCATCAGCTCACTCCGCAATCTGAGCGCCCTCCTCCGGGCCATTTTTAAATCGAACCCCAGACCGTTTACCCCAGACTTGATGAACTGCCGCTCCTCCATACCTAGTCACCACCACATAGAGTTAAAAGAACTCCCACTCACCCTCGCTCGACGGCCATTCTCCTCGCTTTTGATTCGGGGGAATCGCAACCTTATTGAGCAGAAAATGAGCATGCCAAGGCAGCGTCGCGAACTCTCTTGTTCTCTGCCCTCTCCAGATATCCACCCGTCTTCTTCGACTGGCTGCCCCAACCTTCACCCCGCACTTCGAACGGAGATGGATGGGTCCGTATCAGCTTGCCCGGCGACTCAGAGCTCGCAGTGCCCATCCCCGCAATCCTCTCCAAACGCCCGTTAATTACCCCAGATCAGTCCAAAGGACCGCTGCTCCACCCTGTACTCTTCGTTCAGGGCCGATACTTGAATGTGTCATTGGCCATTTGATCGGGGATTGTGGTCATGTAACCTTGGAGAGGCCAAGACGAGGCCAAGGATGGTCATGTCCATCTTGCTTTCGCACAGGGGAATAGAGACTCGAAACGACCGAGAGTTCAGCCGGCTTGCGTTCTTATAAGCTTTCGTCCGAACCAGCTCTCCTCGTTCCAGAAGAATTCTTATCTGCTCTCAGACACGTCTCACCACCTCACCAGTGTAGTCCATCGGTCCAACGGCTACTACTACTTCCGGCTCGTCGCTGAGCACGGCTTTGACCTTGCCACCATACCGGTCGCAAACACTCGAATACCCACAAACGCCTCAACCAGACTCAACACAGAGCTTGACCATCTTCGTACAACCTGCAAGATGGGTCTCAAGGAGTTTTTCCACAAACGGTCTTTGCGCCAGAAGGACAATGTCCGTACAAACGCTGCTGAGTTGACGCTAAGGGAGTCCCTGTTCCCAATCGTCCTTGTAACCATCCTCTTCTTTCTCTGGGGCTTCTCCTACGGTACGTTGCAGCCGCGCAATAGCCTATGATGAGAAGCCCAAATGCTGACATTGCATCATCGCCAGGCCTCCTTGACACTCTCAACAAGCATTTCCAGGATACACTTCACATTACCAGGGCTCGGTCCTCTGGCTTACAAGCCGCTTATTTCGGGTAAGTCTACCGTCGCGATTCTTTCTTGCTCGGTGACAACTGGCCAGGAGGAGCTGGCCAGTGTATTGCTCATCGTTTTCCACCTTCTCGCGTTCGAAACAGCGTTGAGCGGGGTGACGTATGATGCACCACAGTCATTCCCCCTTCTAATACCGCCCGACTCCCGATAGTTATGATCATAATGTGCAGACGCTGACAATTACCTGATAGAGCCTATATTATTGCCAGTCTCGGTCACGCGGCGTGGATCCTGAGACACTGGGGGTACAAAGCCACCTTCGTCTTCGGACTCTTCCTATACGGCTTGGGTGCCCTCATTGCGATTCCATGCATTATTGCCAAGAGCTTCGGCGGCTTCTGCGCCGCCATCTTCATCATCGGTAATGGCCTCGGCTCGCTCGAAACAGCCGCCAACCCATACATCACCGTCTGCGGTCCTCCCAAGTATAGCGAGATTCGAATCAATATATCCCAAGCCTTCAACGGTATCGGTACCGTCGTAGCTCCCGTCATGGGGTCCTATGTCTTCTTCGCCTTCGACGACAAGCGTGCTCTCGAGAATGTTCAGTGGGTCTATCTGGCCATCGCCGTTTTTGTCTGGGGGCTCGCAATCGTCTTCTGGCTAGCTCGAATCCCAGAGATCACCGACGCCGACATGGCTTTCCAGGCTTCCGAGACGCACGCCAACGTTGACGACAAGCCCTTTAGGAAGCAGTACCGTCTCTTCCACGCTTCTTTTGCTCAATTCTGCTACACTGGTGCTCAGGTAGCCATCGCAGGGTTCGTTCCAGCTCGCTGATAGCCCCCGCTCGATTGAACGCTGACCGCGCTATCCAGATTTTTCATCAACTACGTCACGGAGCGTCGGGAGAACACTGACAACGCGCTCGGCTCGAAACTTCTTGCTGGAGCCCAAGCTGCTTTTGCAATTGGCCGTTTTGCCGGTGTTGGCATTATGCACTACGTCAAGCCCCGTTGGGTGTTCCTGGCATTCCTTTCCTCCTGCATTATCTTCATTGCCCCATCCATCACTCAACATGGTGACACTGGCATGGCCATGCTTTACATTGTTCTGTTTTTTGAATCCATTTGCTTCCCGACAATCGTTGCTCTAGGTATGAGAGGTCTGGGCCGGCACTCAAAGCGTGGAAGTGGCTTCATCATTGCAGGTGAGTACTCCCCCCAAAAGTCAGAATCAAGCGTGCCGTCTCTAATTTATGGAATCTAGGTGTCTCTGGGGGTGCCGTGGTACCGCCCCTGCTTGGTGTCGTCGCCGATCACAAAGGCATGGGCATTGCTATGGTCATCCCTCTTATCTTCTTCGTCTTGGCATGGACATACGCTTTTGCTGTCAACTTTGTTCCGAGGTACCGAAATATCGCTGATGCATTCAGTGCCACCGAGGTTGGCATCAGGCCTGTGGACGGAGAAGAGGAAAAGGGAGGCATCGAGTCGGTCGAAGACAAGCATGGCAAAAATGCCATACCTACTGTTGCACAGCCGATTGAGATGAAAACTGCATGATGCAGGGCTTCGGTCTAAGAGATTGGAAACCGAACTTTGGTACTACCTCTATGAGATACCATTTAGCTTTATGCCGAGAGACGCTGCTACACGAAGCATATCTTTGCTTCTAAAGAGTTCAACCTCCACATTGGTTAACAATTCTGCTTCGGGTGGGCCGTCTGCTCAGGCCTTTCGAAGAATAACAAAAAATTCTAGTTTCTCTACTTTTGAGTGGTCCTTCATTTATTTGCTGTATTTATGACAGCTACAAGTAGTCTGCTCATTCCTCATATTTTAGTCAAGACAGTTGTAGAGCATGCCTGTGCAGTGACTTCTCGGGTATTGGTATGATAGAATGACCTCATGAGTGATCTTAGGCTGTAAAAATGTTAAGAGAAACATTTTGATTTCAGTAAACGATATGAAATGCAATGAACAGTCGAGCATACGTAAAAGTATAGGAATCGAGAATGCCCTGAAACAACAACCTCCAATCTGATATGTGCTAATAAAATGACCGAGACATTGGCCTCCATCTAGTTGAAAAAGAATCGATTTCATTTTATAAATGCAGAGATTCTGGGCCATCAAAGGCTTTTTGTCGTTATGACGTGGCCATTCTCAGCCACACCAATCTTGTCAGGTACAATCTCCCTGGCGAGGTAGGTACTTGCATAGCTGCTTCACATTGAATAACTCATTCTGCCAAAGCCGGTGGCAATGATCCAAATTATTTGACCCTTTCAAGAGCTGGATGGATCGAGACTGAGCTGATAGGGCGCAGATAAGAGTTATCAGGTTTCACCTTTCTGGTCGACCAAAGACCAGCGCAGGATGCATAACATTTGATAATTACAAAACTCATCAGCTATCTAGTGCTTAGTGTATCAGGCTTCTAGACTCCAAAAACTCTAGGAGTTGAGGTTTAGTGGTTCAATAAGGCTTAATTCTGGCCGAGATTCCAAGCTGCTTTTCGACTTAGGCTACCTTACTTAAGGGCTCGAACAAATATGTACCAAGACATTAGACCACCAAAGCGAAAGTAAACACAAATTTCCGGCTTTATTCATGGCTGAGGACTGACCCATGGCTGTCTACGAAGCCTTTGACCCCCGAACAGGAGTTACACGGCCATTAGCATAACGGGCGACCTAAAACAGCTGCATTCGGGCTTTAGTTGACTAGTTGAAAGGGTCTATCATTCTCTTCTTGCGTTTACACAAAAACACATACGTATGGACCGATCTTCTCCTTCTACTTGCTATGTCGAGTCCTCTATCCATGATGATTGAGGAGACGTCTGATGACGTGACTTGGCCACCAGAACACTGATTTTACGTGTTTGCAGAATGCTCCATATGCAGAAAGAAATACAATCGTATTCCCAATCACGTCTTTATTGCAGTGTTTCTAAATACAGTCCACTTGGAAGCAATCGCTTTCTTGACAAAATAGGTCACACCCTGGTCATCCTATCAATGTTACCTTCTCTTATTGGAATGAGATGCAGTAAACGTGATTGTATACGTGTAACCATCGAATAATGGGTGAGATGTGACAAAATCAGCAAACAACGCAGATACGGTGCCTGTTTTCCCTGCGTTGCCGTCACATGTATCTACCATACTACCGCGGCTCCGGCACTGTCAAGACCCCACATCGGTTCCGGACCACTCCAAATAAGAGCCCGCCGCCGATGACAACCTCCCCACCCTCGCCGAAGACGGCTCCAATCCGACGATCTTTCCCCATCCAACTTCCTCGCGGCCCACTTCCTGACCGAGATGCTGCCGCAGCCCGTGATAGGCAATGCGGACCACTAAAGTTTTGGCCGATAGCTACTCTGTATCACCGAAATGCAGTGATAGGTGAGCCTGATGAGGGAGACGTGGCAGAGTGCTCGGCAGCTCTGGCAATGGCGGCACGCAGCGCTCGTGCAGGCGAGATCGTCATTTGTACTCAAGCTGACTTTACTTACGAACTCACCACGAGCTTGGCTCTGTGCTAAATCGATCAGTACCTTATGCTTGCTGCTGTTTACTGTTGCGTGCTTTCCGCTTCCTCTCTGTGCGACTGAACAAGAAAGCAATCTATAGATGGTGATCGCAGGAGCATCAGTAAATTAGCGCCGCTTTCTAGGTTTAACAATAATGAGTCAATAGGCTTCTGGATGATAGGAACGAGATAGCATCATGAATGCACTTGCAAGCATCTCAGCAGGCCTTGTCGGGCTGTTGCTCGCATCGTGGGCAGTTTTTTTTTTTTGACACGACGTCTGTCGTTCAGCCTCATCCCGACGATCGGGTTTCTCCATAAAACCCGCCGTCTGAACATCGTGGACGAAAAAATGGACCGGTTGTTGGTGACACCTTTGCGGTGGGTTCAAAAATGGGACTGGGACATTTTACTTCAACGTCTCTTGTTGACACTACTGCAAATTGGCAAGGGAAGTAGCGAACTTTGTCGATGAGGGTGAGGATAAGACCTGTGAGCGGCAACAATTGATCGTAGGAACCGATTCATACTGCATTGAACTCATGAAACGCAAATTTTGATGAAATGCGAGGCTTCCAACGTGACCGGCCTTGTGGGCAGTCTGCTTCTAGCACACGTCTCGGCTTGACGCCATGTTGTTACTGCTGTTGAGCCCGACAAGCTGCATCGCTTGAACACCAGCAAACTTTTTGGTGCGAAACGGCTGGGATCTCGAATCGTTATCCCCTTTCGAAGCTGCTGATGCGAGCCCAACCTCCCGAAAGCAATATCTTGACCTTCGCGGCTTCACTTCACGTTGTAGTAACAAGATCCTACTTTAGGAGAGCGCCCCAGTCACATGGCTCACCGTATGCAACGATTGTCTCCGGTGCAGATCGGCGTTTGTCGCGGGATTGGCAGAGACACAGAGATTTTATGGTGGTCCTGATCCGGGGTTGAAGCTATCGTGACATTTGGCATTTATATGTGATGTGGGGTTGCAGATGCCATGTTGTCTCAAGGTCGCGGCGATTGACGTCTTTTCACCTCGACTCTTGACTCGAAATTAACGGTGCGCGTCATTCATCCTCCTAAGACTACTAGAAATCGCACTATTTGCAATCTAGGCCAGGATAAATCAAGTGAATCCTGGAAAATTGAGGCATTTTCTATTTTTCCACAAGTATGATGTGCCGTGGTTTTTTCCTACCGATTCTGACCGCCAATGATGTAGATCAACGTTGCTGTTTTCTGTGCTGTAACATCAGGTGAAGTGATTTACATCTCTTTCCCTGCAGTCATTCAGTTGAGTTTCCCTTGCTGGCGCCACTACTGACTCGTGCGACGTCGAGCATTGATTGATGCAATTCTGTGTTATCTTTGTCTTCTGCATACGAGCGAGCTAGGACGCCGAGTTACTGCCACGTTTGCGAGATGGCTGGACGAGGCGTAGTTCTGCATGCTTGCTCGCAACGACGGGCGCATACGGTATCGACTTGCGTAAACGTAGATTGCAGTGATTGGAAAGTTCTCCCATGGCGTCGTTTCGCTATTATTCTCGGCTACCCTTGCGGGTATCTCTTCTTCCCTGACCCAGCCTCTCATTCTGCCGTCCGGACGCAAACCGGCCTCATTGCCTCATTGCCTGGTGCCGATGCATTAAGACGTAATCTTACCACAGTCTTAGGCTGCTACCTACGGCATTGCGCGTGAAATCCCTCATGAAACCAAGTTTGACTGTGCAGCCTCGCCAGGGTTCAGCGTCCAGCAAAGGTTTGAAATTGAGATCATCATCCAATGAAGGCGGCCGTCATAGCGACCAAGATTCGAAGGCAAAATCCATTATCAATGTTATGCCGGTGTGGTGGAGCTTTGGCCCCATTCATCGGTGTGAAGGTCAACCTCACCGCCAATAGCACTCAAAATCCATTGGGATTTTTGGTCTACCTGCGTCTGCTTCATGCACCGTGCCGAGAGCTAAGGGCGACATTTTCCACCTCGCAGCCCTTCTCCACCAGGGATCGGCTCTCTCTCTCTCTCTCTCTCTCTGTGTGTGTGTGTGTGTGTGTGTGCGTGTGTGTGTGTCTGGCTTGCCTGCTGGAGACTGGAGTTCTGCGAGTTGACACCCCTATTGTCCTCCACTTCCTCTCACGGTGAGACGCGAGGTTCATCTTGTGTGAGTGCAGCACAGTCCACTTTACGAGGCATTTTGTCCAGTGAGAAAGTCTGTATTTTAGTCCACAATCACGCCAGGCTGGAAATAAGTGCTCGTCACCTTGGTTGAGATAAAAGATAAACTGGAGCCTCGCGTGGGTCGCTGATAGGGCCTTGTCTCAGGGCGCGAAATAGTGTACAATGTAGATAGGGGGTCGCGTCGTCTGGCATGCATCCACGTTCATCGACATTCCTGAAGTTCTGAGCAGGGATTGTGGAAGGCTTTTTTTGGCGCGGCTACCTGCTTCTCTTTGTGTCGGGCCAGAGCACAATCCGTGCGTCTCCTGCCGATCTTCGTGTATTAGCAAGTACCTGGGCGCTTCCAACTTGCCGGGCTGTTTGGCTGTCAACTTGGCATACATGTGAAAATCTTCTTTGGACAAGCCGTTGATCGCATGGCCTTACCGCCTTAGCCTTCGGAGCCAACTGAGCCTTTGTCTTGGTCAGTCGAGAGACTCAGAGAAAAGTCTGACCGCCAATTCCTGGCTGACTTCATCTGTACATAGGCGACACCGACAACGACACCGACACCGACACCGACATAGAACCTTCTGATTCAGCTGTCCCGGTCAAGAATGGACACATTTAGGGTGGTACTTCCGCCGATAAGACAAGGCGCAAAATCCAATGGCTATCAAGCAGTTGCAAACGCAAAGAACTTCTGAAGAGGCAGCCCATTGATACAGACCTTGACATTGGTGGCCCAGGCTGAAGAAAGAGTGGGCTCTTCCGAACACTCCCGATAGGGGTTCTGCAGGCAACAAGCCTCCCTTGCCTCCATCTGCTTTCATCTTGTATCTCCATCTACCTCCCGGAGTCCATCCCTACATCAAGACCCTCCAATGACATCAGCGAACAGGCTGAAACCACGTTCCTGAGTCTTGCTAGAGGCAGGGCCAATCACCAGTGTGTGGCAGGGATGGACAGTTTGTCCCAACGGGCCCTAGCAACAAGACGCTAGAACAACTTTTCCAGCCTTTGCCCTTCAACAATGCGAGATACATTGCCCATGTACATGTGAAATGGCAAACTTCGCGACTGGCATCTCGCACACCCATCACCCATCCCATCACCCATCCCATCCCGTCCTCTCTGGCCCAACGGTGCTAGTCTAACGGGGCGGACTCCTGTGTCCTAAACTCGTGCTTGCACCACGCATTCACACTCAACATGAACATTTGCGGGAGCTTCTCGGGCTTTAGAGATCCATTCTCTGATGGGGCATAAGCAGCACCACGTTTTCAAATGGTCCACTTCCACCGTGATACCTCGCCAGCTTGACGTCATAACGGGCAAAGTTGCGTCTGTCGCTTAGTGCGGCTTTTCCATTTTACACAATACACCTTACCCAGGATATTATACGTTCCCTGTATCCGTACTGGGTCCTGGACCAATGTGTACGTGGAAACATGGGCCGTCGTCGTCTCCCGAGGCCCCTACCGTTCAGCTCGATGTAGAATGTCGATTGCTGTGCCTCGCTGATGCCTCGCTTGTCTACCCGGCCGCGGCTGAAACGGCGACTGGTTTGTCTTCGGGAATAATTGACCGAACATAGTCCCTTGTGTCCTCAAGTCCTAGCTCGAAGTGTACATGTAGGATTTGGGATCACTGCAGCGATTCCTGCAGCGGGCTCCAGTTTTTTCCTCTTGCGGCGTCGTAAAATTTCTCACTTTTTGATTGTCAGATTTGCGCTAATGGCAAGTCGATATTCGCCACAGCCGCCGAAAACCTTGAGGCTCAACAATCCGATATAGTCCTGTAGTTGAGCCTCACGACAGAGAGTTCAGAACCGCCAATTCATCTGATACCTCGCTAATCCCGCTAGACACGCACGACATGAATCGAGGGTAGCAGCCACAGTCAGGCCTCTAGCGGTGGGAACTGAGGGCTGCCGCTGCCCGCAGTATGTTAGGCCTATACTGGACGCTCACACCGTAAACTGTCAGACTGTCTGAGGAAACCCTGACTCGGACATCACCCATCGGCGCAGCATCGGCGGAGACACGGCACGTCATCGGCCCATTCACCGGCGGAGCAACGGCCCAGCATAGGCGGAGAACTTCTACGTCATTGGCTCCAGTATCAGCGGGTCAGAGGCCCAGAGATAACGGGGCATCAACCTGGTACCGTTGAAACAACGGATGAATACCGACTGGGAACCGCCAGCACCGACTCGAAAACGACATCGAGATACCGACTCAACACCAACGAGGCGCCGACCCTCAATAATCTGTACGCAGCACGGGGCAGCATGCCGGAAAACGGGTTCCCATCCATGACGGGGCATTAACCCAGCATAATCGGGACATTCATGGCGGGTCCGCGGCTGGCGACAACAGAGGACGCCATCGGTCCGAGAATGGTAATGAGAACGAATAGGTATGGTACAGACCAAGACGTCGAAAAGGATAAAAAGGAATAGATAACTCGGCAAGATTTGCTGATTTGTTTTCGAAGCATCACTCACACCTCAATCACAATCACCGGCCTCAAACAACCCTACAATTTCTTCTTTTGATACCCAAACAGCACTTCACTCCCTACAACAAGAAGAACAACAACATTTCATCATTCAAAATGGCCGCCCAAATCGCTACCCGTCAGCCTGAGCTCGGCATGGAGAAGGTTATCCCTACCCGCCAGGACTCTGGCTACGCCTCTCCCTGCGACTCTCCTCGCCTGACAGTCCGCCTCAACGACGGCAACGAAATTCCCCAGATCGCTCTCGGTGTTTACAAGGCCCCCAACGGTCAGGAGACTGAGGACGCCGTCATCGCCGCTCTCGACGCCGGCTACCGTCACATCGACTCCGCCGCCAGATATGCCAACGAGGAGGCTTGCGGTCGTGCTCTGAAGCAATGGTTCCAGAAGACCGGCACCCCCAGATCTGAGGTCTTCGTCACCACCAAGCTTTGGGATGCCGACCACGGCTACGAGGCCACCTTCAAGGCACTCTGCGACTCCCTCGAGAAGTTCCAGCTCGATTACTTTGACCTCTACCTCATCCACTCCCCCTCAGACGACAAGGAGAAGCGTATTGCTTCCTGGAGAGCTCTCGAGACCGCCCAGCGCCTCGGCAAGGTTCGCTCCATCGGTGTCTCCAACTTCAGCTCCCACCACATTGAGGAGCTCCTCCAGGAGACCACCGTCGTCCCCGCTGTCAATCAGATTGAGGTTCACCCCTTCTGCCAGCGCCAGGACCTCGTCGACACCTGCCGCCAGCACGGTATCGCCATCGAGGCATACTCTCCCCTCGCTCGCGGCAACAAGCTCGAGGACCCCACCATTGGCAAGATCGCCCAGAAGTATGGCAAGAGCCCTGCTCAGATCCTCCTCAACTGGAACGCTACCCGCGGCAACATCGTTCTCCCCAAGTCTCTCACTGCCCACCGCATCCAGTCCAACTTTGAGTCCTTTGACTTTGAGCTCTCCCAGGAGGACATGGCCACCATCGACGCTCTCGGTTCCGAGAACTACGTCACCGGCTCCCTGCACAAGGAGTAAATGATGTCTCTTGGCAGCATTTGGCCCAAGGGCACATCCGCTCGGCAACATCTACCGCTGGAACATCCAGCAACAACTGAGCTTTCCTCCATCCTGAGAGCATCGGAATAGCCACTTCCATTGCCGGCGTGACCAAATCCGCACGTCGTCCATCCAGGACATTACAAGGAGTTGATTGCCACCGACGCCAATTGGCGTTCTATTCCCCCCGTCGAAATATTTGAATAGGAGTTTCGGGTTCTTTTTTTTTTTTGGGAGGACATAGAGATGGACATTTTGTCTAGACTAGCGAGCTAGACTGCAAACCTGGGCTTAGCCTGGTACGAATCTTACGCCCCATTTTTTTCAACTTTGCTCCCTACCAATGACTACTTCTCGTGATGGTTCCAACTTCCTTGATTGAGGATTTGACATTTCGGACGCCGATACAGCACATGGATCGGGTCTAGTGATTTTTCGCGGCAGCGACAAGTTGACGATCGATAAGCAGATCATGTCCAGCAATCGGATTTCCCCGTGGACCCCTCCCACGCTCCGGTCAGATCGACTTCAGCACCCCGGTGTGTGGGCACCGTGGGATCTCACGATGCAGGTGCCAGATCTTTGTGACGATCACGTACATCTTCCCGCATGGGGTTTGGAAAAAAGAGGGGCCTGTGAGACAATGCTGAGGATAGAATGTAAGGCACCGAGATCACATGCTATCATCATTTATATAAAGAGGAATTTGGTGTCTGGAGCCACCAATTCTAGCGACTTCAACACGGTCACAAACCATCCACGACGGCCCATTCATGTTTCATCAAAACACGCATTTCCCTCGGGGTGAATGCCGAACTCCACTAATGAGGGCCCGTTTACATTGGAGTGTTATGGCAAGCCGCTTTGCCCATAGCTACTTGGGTAAAGTAGCCAAGTTTCATATATCCATGCCCGGCTCGAAGTGAAGATCCAACGGTATTGCATCCAGAGTATTGGCAAGCTCCAGCGCCGATGCCATTGGCCAGTCCCAGACATTCCATTGCAGCTGATCAAGTACCGGCTGATGGGTTTCTCTAGTTGAGAACGTCTTTGTGCGGAGCATGTCGAGGACGTCAGCACATTGAGGGATACAGATATTGGAGTCATCAGCTCTCAAATGGCGCAACGTTGCAGCGCAGGTCTTGACCAAGTCCTCATCCACTTCGTCGCCTGCAAGTGGTTGGCCCTTCCATCTTGCAAACAGTATTGTCAAACCAGCTTGCCACAACATGTGCAACCCGTTTGGGTAAAGATGCGCGATGATGATGGAGTCGATCCTCGGAGTTGCCATCTCTATTGCTGAATCGGACACCAGGCCAGCAGTCAGACTGATCAAGTCGGCTGAGGCACGACCGCAGGCCAGCAGGGAGACGTGGAACTGAGGGTCAGCAGTTGTGAAAGCAAGCGCAGGTCGGTGAACATGCACCATAGCATTATAGAATGCAGCGCGCAGGAAAGCTATTTCAAAGGTATCAGTCAAGACTTTCGCCGTAGGGTCTGCGCCCTCGTCTTCCAGATCTGCGACACTGTCCGTTGGCAGCATTCGCTCCCATATTGTAAGTTCGGCTTGCAGTTGTGCAATTTTCGCAATTCCCCCCCGCCGTCGAGTCGTCGAATATAATTTCTCCAGGGCTTCTCCTACAATCACTGCCAGTTTGAACATGCAAAGAGCCGTGTCAACTTGGGACCTTTCTCCAGGTAAAGGGAATGCCACGCTCTCGCGTGACACTTGGTCATGGTCAATGCGGGAGGGCAGGTCGGTATCCACGTCCTGGTCGCGAATTAATCTTGGCATTCCGTGATAGGCGCTGGAGAATCTGATGAAGAGTGATCACATCAGTTAAGAGAGAAAACAAGCAAGAGAAGCCATCGAAAACTTACGTATCAAGCGAATATTGACACCACCATACACGCCGCCGGAGTTCTGTTTCCAAAGGATCAAATTTGAATCTTTGGGAGTGGCGATGAAGCCCGAGGTTCTGTGCCATTCTCGTGGCCATGCCCCCTAGTTGCGACGCAGCCGAGTAGCGAGATGATAACTGAAGATAGATTTGGGCAATCTCCAACCCTTGGAGCGTTGGTAGAGACGGTCGCTCCTGAAGCAGGTTCGTCAATGTGGCGGACATTGTGTAATATCTCTCGGAAAGGCAGAGAAAATGATGATGACTCTGCTGGCAAGACCCGGAATGTCCCAAGGTTCCTAAAGCGAGTAGACCCAGAATCTGGTATAGTAAACTGATATCACCATGTTCGGGGTCCTCAATTAACCTATGTAGAGCCTCAACGGTGGATTGCTTATGTACAATGGGGTATAGCGGTGTCCAGTGGTCGATGGTTGCTTCGAGGACAACGGCAGCATCGAGCGGAAGTTGGGATACCATGGCGGCAATAACCTGCGACTGGGAATCTTTAGGTGGAGTGGCCCATGTGTTGTGAAGATAGAGACTGTAGATGCTGCTCGGGAATGTTTCGGTATGGATCCGTAACATTTGCAACTGTTGCTCGGCCTGGCTGATGAAGTGTACGCCTGTTGATGAACCTGCGAACATGGCTGTCTGGTCGTCATAGGAAACCAGTCGGCCCATGTGACCAACCACGGGTTCCGATAGCTGTCTTGATTTTGTATTTGAAGAGGCTTCCGTCCGACGCCGCCATGACGATAACGGGTTTTCACCGCCGTTACGTGTGACTATGTTGAGTGGTGATTGCTCAGAGGCAACTGGCTGCGACTTCCTAAGGTCTTGAGAGGGAGAGTAAGAAGCTGAGTCAACAGTGCCACCGTGAGCTTCCGGAGTTTTTGAAATCCCAAGGTCGTCACGCCTATTCTCGACTCCTTCGTTTTCGTAGTAGCTAAGAAGAGCGGTCAGCAAGAGGATTATTTTCTAGTTGGCGATTGCCTTGAGTCCCAGGCTTACCTCTTCCTCTTTCTATTGCGCTTTAGCTTCTTTGAAAAGACACAAGCTACATCTGAGACGGTGCATGGAGTGCACTGCAAGACAGAATATGGATTAGATGTTGCATCTTGAAAATGCGCAAGTTATGGAGTGGGGCAGGCTAACCTACCTTCTCGCCATCGCCATGACATCGGATTTTCCTCCTGAAGAAAAGGTGCAAATAAGCTTCAGATCCGAGACGCACAGAACCCAATTCTATCATAGAACTATTATGTAAATATAACTCACCGCCGACAGCGGTCACTGTTGTGATTGTTAGCAGCATGATCATACTTGCGGTATGAATACATATTTTCGGCCCGTGGGGAAAGAGCATCAGCGTACCAAACTTGTCCAGATTGCCCTCCGGACGGAATTCCCTGTCCAGTCATCCTCCCGTTCCGTCCAGCATCATTGAGAGTGATAGCTATGGGGTTTCTAGGGGTTTCTTTGCCTCAAGAACCGAGGAGGCTTCACACACAGACAGGTCACGATGAGATGTGCTGGTGTTGTGGAGATGAAAGTGACGAACGCTGATCAGCATGCATGCAGCTACCGAGACCCGAATTCATTGACGCATTAGTCATGCTTTTCCGTTAGTTGCAATTACCCCATCTTTTCTCAATAAATCCACTAGGAGAACTCAGTTTATGCTAGTGTTTTCGATACAGCACTATTCCGCTATCCCGCCCGCCTGGCGCGTTGGCAAGTTTTCGGCCAGAGTTACCCTCTTGACCAGAGTCAGGCCACGTTTCAAACCAACAAGAAACTATGGAGTGGAAGAGAAGGTTGCTAAATCCGCGACATCAATTGGATGAGAAGTTGAGTTGATCCTAAGCATGCTAGAAAGGGCCATGAAGAGAACAACCAAGTATCCCAGCTCCTGTTGTGTGTGTGTTTGTGTGCTCAAAGAGGTAAACCCCCCGCTCCCGATCTAAAGTGGAGAATCGGAGCAAAATTGCTGTTCTTGTCATTGGCCCCACCTGCCTATTTCTCCCTACATCACCAGCTTCAGCATTTAATAAACTCTCCATCTCTTTTGAATACGACCGGTTGAAGAAGAGATCCGTCGCCTGAATCGCCGAGTATTTGGCCTTGCATGATCGGCAGGTGAATGGCAGCCAGCAACCATCGCCGCGAGCATTACCGTTGCAATCAATATCTACATGTAAGTTGAAACTCGAGAGCATCTGTACAGCTGATATACTAGCGCAAAGACTTGTTGCTCACGCATCGTCAATTGCCTTAGGTAGCCATTTATTTCGGGTCCCTGCTGAGAAGGAGAACCTTGTCGACATACTCGCGAAATCTGAAGCGTATATATATGGGCTGGCCACTCTTGAAGCAAGGCAACAAGTGAATGTCTGGAAACGTAACGGCGAGTAGCATCGCAATGGCATTAGCAACTTCTGTATAAGGTTGAAGCGAACGAGCCCATATGCCTCAATTGGCCGGCTTATATGGTGCCAAATATTGCGCATAATCTCTTGATCAAGTCACAAAATTGATGATCTCATGAAGAAAAAGACAACATTCTCAAATTCCATCTTCAGCTCAGTGGCTGCCGTTGGTAGTTCCATTGCTATTCAGAACCCCATTGCTGCTGTTGAGGTTCTTTACATTTCCATTAACATGGCCCACTTCCTGGCCCAACAGCTCATCCAGCATAAGTTGACAGCATCCCAGGTATCTTGTCGGATCACATAGCTTGGAGAGATCTGATGAGGCAAGATGAGATGTAATCTGAGACGACTCCTCCAAGGCTTCTTGCAGGGACATGTTGTTCTCATGCGCCCTGACACACGCCTTGTAAACAATCTCGTGTGCCTCCTGACGACCAGTGTACTTTGCCAGGTCCATCATAACAGCCTCGGCAACGATCAGGCCCCTCGTTGACTTCAAATTCGCCAACATGGCATCTTTGTTGACCTGCAAGCCTGATAGAGCGAATTCAGCTTGGTGCAGAGAGCCAACGATAGAAATGAAGGCTGTTGGAATAGCAGCCCACTCCAGGTGCCAGGGGCCGGATGCTCGTTCAAAGTCGGAAACCATGCCATCAAGTACAAGGCCTGCTTGTGCACGTAGAATCTTCGATTGCGCAAGTATTACTTCGCTGGAAATTGGATTGCGCTTTTGAGGCATCGTCGAGGAAGCGCCACGGTGAGGAACGTAAGGCTCGGCAACCTTGGGAGGGCAAGTCAGTATCAATAATTCGGTAAAAGGGTTATTGCAAGCCAACCTCGTTCAACTCATTTGATGACATGATGATCAAGTCAAGAGCAATTTTGCCCAAGCTACCACCCACCAGGGCAAGGTAGTTAGTAATCTCAGCAATGGTATCGCGCGCCACGTGCCAAGTGATGACGGGATCTTGCAGGCCAAGAATCGCTGCGAGGCGCTTGCGTACACGGATGCCGCTGTCGCTCGTGCCTAGAGAGGCGAGAGTACCAGCAGCGCCACCAAACTGAACCAGCAAGCAGCTCTCCTTGATCTGTTCGAGACGCTTCACGTGTCTGCGGAAGCCAGCGAGCCATACTGCGCATTTGTATCCGAAGGTGATTGGGAGGGCGTGTTGCAGATGCGTCCGGCCGGCCATCGGTACGTCTCGGTAGGCAGCGGACATTCTTTCAAGGGTGGAGGCAACTTTGCGCAGGAGGCGCTCGACGATCTCAAGACCATGCTTCATCTGTAAAACCGACGCGAGGTCCATGATGTCTTGAGTAGTGGCGCCCCAGTGGATGTATCCAGCTTGAAACTCTACGCTTAGCAAGTTGACATGCCACAGATTATCATTTCACAGACAGTCCCAACTTACAAGTCTCTTCGGGAACCCATTTGGACATTTGCTCTACCAAAGGCAGAACCGGGTATCCCACGATCTCCGTGCGGGCCGCAAGCAACTGCCAATCGATCTTGGAAATATCACAGTGCTCTCTCAAAATGTCAGCTGTGCCAGTCGGCACAATATTTTCAGCTTCCTCGGCCTCGGCCAGGGCGCACTCGGCCTGGATCAAATTGGCAACATAGGATCGCTCAGAAAAGGCTTGACGAGCTTCCTCGGTGCCAAAGATGTTGCCAAAGAGCGTCGAGTCAAAAACTGTGGCGGCGGACATGGTGAGGAAGATGCGCGTGGGTTGGTGGTTCAGACGAGAAAGATTAAAAATGCTGGATTCGTTCGTCCCAAGACAAGCTTTCCCCATGCGCCGGCGCGTTCTCCGAGGTCTGTTTTATTCCTTGCCATGGATGGACATGCTTCCGGCCAACATCCGGTCTTACACCGAGGACCCCGCGGCGGGGCACGGGATAACGCAGTAACCGGGGGCCAAATCACGGGATAAGGACGGGATAAGGACGGAGTAACGTAGTGCTGCGCGGCGTAACGGCGTAACGGTGTGTCGGCATAGCACAGACCAAGTGACGGTTCGCCGGCTCTTGGCCCCAGTTCCCCATTTCCTCATCTTCGGATCACAAGTTTAACGTGGGATTAACGCGTGCGGGGGACGTGTATTTTCTGACGATGGATCGAACCATACCCCGCAAAGCTGGGGATGGCTGGTTTACAGAAATTCGTCATGTATAAATCAGACGGCGCCTCGTATGGTTTGTCCTTGATGTAGTACAGCAATAGATATACTCTCTCTGTCGGATTGGAAGCCCAATTCGACCTCGAGTCAGCGCAAGCGCAGGGGCCAACTGAGGGCCTCATAATTATCAGCTTTCAACTGACAGTCTAACCTCCGGTTAGAACCTCTCTTTTCCACTTCACGCAGAGATCAATACTGTATACAGTTAATTGACCCTTCGTCACAACGGTTCGATCGAACAAAATCTCTCTCTCTTTCTCTCTTTATCTCTTTATCTCTCTCTCAGCACCGTGTCTGACTTTTCCCCCTTCTCTTTGCTAGAAATGGCGGCTCCTGGTGATCCCGACTCTAAGTAAGTTAGCTCTCTTATGGCTATGCCGGGTTTTCCTTGGATTTGTGGAAGCGGTGAGTCGTACGGAAAGGGTACAGAGATGGAGCGCAAGCTGACTTGAATGGAGTTTCTAGCCCTTTTACCCGGGTGCCCTATTTCTACTCCCGATCTTCTACACACGACAGGAGCTTGCAACCCGGATTTCCCCATGTGATTCTGGTCAAGTGGTCAGGACTGGCTTCTCAGAGCGCATTGCTGGTGCAACTCTCAGCACTCTATACCAAGTCAAGGGAATGACCTGTCAGCAGTGGTGAGAGATTCCAGTCGTTTGTCCTTGCCCGAGATTTAATATCTTTCTGGTCTTCATCATCGAGGGCTCCGTTACTGTAATAATTGCGGTTTTTGCCTTTTTCCTTCTTCTCGAAGACCCCTCTGTGACTCGATGGCTTACTGAGGATGAGCGACGACTTGCTGTTTAACGCATTCGTCGCGATACGGTTGGCAGGCAAGAACGCGGCTCGGCGATGGCCGGTGTCAAGCAGGCTGTGAAATATTCCAAAACCTGGCTATTCTGTGCTTGAAATATTTCTACGGTAAGCTTCAAAGTTCAACGCATATCTCCCAATCGTAGTTCGTACTATGTCAGTTACCAAATGACAAGACTTGCCTGAGGATTGATGGAAAGCTAGTGTTTTATTTGGGGCAAATCCATTGCGGCTCTTCTGCCCACGGCTCCTCCTTACTTCGTCTATGGGTTTCTTAATATTTCATTTGCATGGTCGAACGCAAAGTTCAACAAAAGAACCTGGCACAAAACGGCTGTTTAGTTCTAGACAAGGGGTGAGCATGCTGCATAAAGCCTCGACCGAATGAGAATTTTTCAATTTTTCCACAATGGTTGCGTTCGGCGGAGCAATCCACCTTATCCAGCATCGAATTCTGGCCCGTCCAAACTTCTGCAAAAGTATCCTTCCTTCCCGCAGCCCTTTATTTCGTTCTGGAATGCTCGATGCAGTCTCAGCACACTTATCTTCCTAGCTGAGCAACCATGAGAGAGCTCACATCGCGGAATGCTATTCGAGGGGATGTCCGAAAGCGAGCGAATTGGATCCAATTTAAGAGGTCTTCGCACCCGACAAGTTGGACAAGTCGGCTGGTAGACCCATTAAACTTGACTCTCATTTGTAGTGTAAAACGTGGTTCGTGACGATGTGTTTACCCAACGCGGTGTGGGACAGAATCATAATCCGAGCATCCGTACTCCGTACGTACAGAGTATTACGGATAGACTCGTCTATTCACACTATCCACTCACTTACGCCGGCGACTTTCAACCAACCTCCAGGCTGTGGCCCTTCATCTGCCCAGACCCCTGTTACTGACCTGATTCGGTAGAGAAGCGGAGTTGGGGACCCCCGTCCATGTAGCATCTTGATGGCATTGATAGAACTGCCCCACTCGACATTCGCCTTTCTGGCATGCTACTCAGCAACCAGCTTCTGCACCAGGAAACGTCTACCGGACCTAAGTGACCACCAACTGCTAATTGGTGTCCTCGTCGGCGCAGAGCAGCAGGCCCCTCCGCGTCGGTATGTGTAGGACGGGGATGTCCCCGTCACACGGAGAATTTGAGGATTCAGGGACCGCTATATCGGTCAAAGTGACAGCGGTGACGGTGTATCCGGAAGTTCCCATGTTCCGTATCCCTTGCTGTTGGGTGGAAATGGATCAATTGCTACCTCTAAGATGCCGGCCCAGCCCTATAGTGCCGCTTGGCACAAACCGTTGCGCAGGGGCAAGAGACGTGGAATATGAGATACTATCGTTAGTCTGGGACCAAGACGAGGCGTCCTCGTGTCGCCCCGCTGTCACGGTTTCTTGGCATGGTTGTACGATCAGAGGAGTTTAGACTTCTTTTTAACCTTGTGCACCCCCTAATAACATATCCTTGGTTCGACCCAAGTTCCTCCTCGATCTTCATCTTCTGTTGTACTATAGCTCTTCAACTACACTCGTTCTTTTTCTTGGCCTACCACGATGAAGGCCTCTCTTCTCTCTCTTGTCGCCGCGTTTGCGGGCACGGCTACTGCACAGGTGCAGGGCAAAGCCTTTGGCTTCGCAGCTGGCACCACTGGTGGTGGCTCGGCTGCCCCCCAGTACCCTTCCAGCATTGCTCAGTAAGTTTGAATCTCAATTGTAGCCAACGCGAAGGGTCTAGGTAAAACACTCTGAGAGTTCCGAGACTAAGACTTCCCAGACTCAAGGAGTGGCTCACAGACAGCACGGCCCGAACCATCATGATCGATCGCACCTGGGATTTCCGCAACACCGAGGGCACGACCAGCGGCAAATGTTGCAGCGATAATCGCACGACCAAGTGTCCTGGCGGCACTTCAAAGGGTCAGGCTTGGATCCAAGATACCTGCGATGCTGCTAGTGGTACCTGGGTTGACTGCACGTACGATAATGCTGCCAAGAACCCTATCGACATCAACAGCAATAAGAGTCTCGTTGGTGTCGGTACCAAGGGCGTCATCATTGGCAAGGGTTTCCGTGTTCGAGGTGGAAAGAGCAACGTCGTGAGTCTATCCCATCACACTACTAACGAGTAATTTTGGGAGTGAAGAAACTAACAGAGGACTCCCAAGATCATCCAAAACGTCCATATTACAGTACAGTTCCAAAATTTCACCTATGTATTGATGTTCTTTTCGGGTTACTAACCACGTCTAGAATCTCAATCCCCAGTACGTATGGGGAGGCGACGCCATCACCCTTGATGGTGCCGACAAGGTCTGGATCGACCACTGCAAGATCTCCCTCATTGGCCGTCAGTTCATCGTCTCCGGCTGGGGCGCCGCAGGCAAGGTGACAATCTCCAATACCGAATTCGACGGCAAGTCCGAGTGGTCTGCCGGCTGCAACGGCAAGCACTACTGGGCCGCCCTCCTCATCGGCGCCAAGGACTACTATACCTTCTCCGGCAACTGGCTGCACGATGTCTCTGGCCGCTCGCCTCACATGGGAACGACGAAGACCGCCGTTAGCGAGATCCTCTTTCACGGAGTCAACAACTACTTCCAGAACGTCGGGGGCCACGCCTTTGACATTGACGGCAACACCTGGGTCCTCCTCGAGGGCAATTACTTTGACGCTGTCACGACTCCCGTCACCCCCGCCACTCTGACCAATGGAGGCAACATCTACATCGTCAACACCGTCGAGGAGGCCTCTCGCTGCACTTCTTACCTGGGATACATCTGCGAGTGGAACCGGGCTCGTGACTCTGGTGTCGTCAGTAGCCTGACCAGCACCGCTGCCCTCACCAAGCTGGGCGGCTTCAAGTCTTCGCTCATCGGCCACATCGGTGTTGCCGATGTTCCTGCCAAGGTCAAGGCCAACGCTGGCGTTGGAAAGACCACGAGCACCAATGCTTAGATTCTTGCGTCAGCATGGCTTCCCCTTGATAGTGGCTAGAGTTTGCTGCCACTGGCTACACGCAGAGCCCATGGGAAGTACGGTCTAATCGTCATACGATTTCCTGTATCTACTTTTCACGTACATATCTATCGTTTGGCTTCGGCCTTGAACATATTTAGGTTCGCTTCTCATCAATGAAGAAGAGATTTGCGGGTACTTCTATCTCTTCACAAGGGTTGGAAGATTGTTTGAGTGTCAAATTCGATGCAATATAAGCAACATTGAAGCCTTAACAATCAATAAAGCTGTCAACTCGGGTATCTAATAATGTTCTGTCATAAGCTCCTTACACTCACATATCTCACTACTTATCTATTTCTCTTGCAACTCGGACAACAGAAACACCAAACGCCGCAGACTGCCGTGCAACGACATAAGTCAAACCCAAAACAGCAACCATCAAACTTTTGTGTATCTCTATCCATCAACCCCACCCACCTACCCTCCTACCATAATCCTCACGAGTCTCGCAGTTCCCATTCTTGGTGTATTGTTGGGTATTGGACTGCCTTGGCCTGCCCCGAGAGCCAAGCATGACAAGCCTCGTAGTGTGAGAAGTGAGGGTTCTGCTTATAAGACGTCACCATTCGGTCGGCGACATCAAGCACACTCCTTCCTTCCACATCCCGGGCTTGCACGTTTGCATTGTGCTGTTGAAGCGTGCGCATGGCCAGCTTTTTGCCTCTGCGAACTGCGATGTGCAACGCGGTCTCGCCGTTCTTGTTGCGCGCGTTGACATCGGCACCCGCTTCGATAAGAGCCTCCAAGATGTTGACGGGCTTCTTGTAGTCGTCGTCTTCAGGCAACTGGGCTACGAAAGCCATCAGTACCGTGTTGCCGTATCTGTCATAGTGATTTGCGTCCACGCCAAGGTCGATGAGATCTCTGACAACCTTTTCCCTAGCTGTGAGCCTCTCCTTGGACGAGTCTAAGAGTGATTTACTCAGCCGATTGTGCTTGCGTTTGCGGCTGCTACCGCCCGATTGCTCCACGGAGGCTGCTTGTGCTAGATGTTGGGGAAACCTGGTGAATAGTGACTCCTGGCTGAGGATGGCATCGGCGAGGCAGTGTAGACCATTGCGACCTTGCGTGTCTTGCACTCGGGTGTTGGTATGTGCTTCGTTGACGAGCTTCAGGAGTCGTGCCTGTTCCTCAATGGGAGATGAACCCTTTCGCAACGTTTGTGAATCCCAAGTTGGGGATATCTCTTGCCCGACGGCAGCGGTATAAGCTCTTCGAATCGGCAGGACGATGGGAGCGGATTCGGGGATGTTGCCAAATGCGTCGCGACAACAATACGCCATGGGGTTGAACTGGTTTAGAAGGGCGTTCTTTGTCTCTTGGCTCAAAACATTCGATGTCTTTGAGTGTATGATGTGACAGAAATTGCGCCCATAGACATCGCGAGCATAGAGGTCGAAATCGGACCGCTTCAATTGAGCGATGAGCCGGAAGAGAGAATCGGCTTGCTGGGCTTGCCGGGTAAACCAACTATCGTTGAGGAGATGCAGGAATGTCTGGCCGCCGCTGTTTGTTGCCGATGGGTTGGGGGATGACTCGATTGCTTTGAACAGGAGAGCATGGTGGGCGTTGCCAGCCGCGAGAAGGTGGAGTATAGTGTTTCCAAAGGGATCGCGCGCATTCCAATCTTTGTTCGCAGGCTCGCCGTAATTCAAGACGTGTTGGGCGTACGGTGAGGGGCCTGAGTCGACGACCCAAGCCTCGCTCGAGAGCTCATCTCGAACGTGGCAAAAGCATGACCGCGATTCATGTTCCGGAAACCCTTCGGCGCAAAAGCCTTGTTTCTGGAGGTGATATGGCAGGTTGAGATAGTCTCCGGGGAGGGGTCTGGCTTGCGTTTCCGAGTTTGCCTGTGGCGCATTGTACTCGTAAATCCAAGATGCTGGGTTAGAGTTGGCAGTGCCAGGGCGGTCATTGTCCGTGGGTGATTGGTTCATCATCGTGTTGCTCGGCATCGTGTATCGCTTTAGCAACCTATCAACTTGGCGAATGAAGCCAGTCGAATACTGTGAAAGCACCTCTTGCAGAGTCTGTGTCGTGGTCTGCCGACGGATCCCGGCTTCGGGCGGCAGCACGGACGCGATATCGGTGGTGACCAAGGTCGGAAGCGGCCCCGAGACGGGCGGGCCCCATCCGGCGGAAGATGAGCGCGAATGGTAAAAGGGTTGAAAGTCGTTTACTGTTGGACTGTTGCCGCCTTCGTACTTGAAATCGGGGTGTACACTTAGATGCGATCGGGCGCCGGAAGAAATCGAGCGTGGATAAATGGGCGAAAATGCGTTCTCGGGCGAGGTCTGGCGGGTAGGAGAGCTATCGAGCGCACTTATACGACGATCCATGTCTGTCCGGGTTCGTGGGTGAAGCCATCGCGGCTCTTTGTCAAGAATCGAATTAAGCTTCTTGTTGGCGGAATCCTTCCTAATAAGCGCTGGTGTCAGCAGTTGCATTTGCGCCGGCGCAAACCAACATCCAAGCATACCCTGGGCATTCTCTGTTCCCGGGAGTCGCCTTGTGCACGACTTCGACAATCTTGGTGAGAGGTAAGGTTGTGTAGACGTAAAGCCTAGCCAATCTGCGCTCGGCCGATTCGCTCCATAGCGAAGGGCGACCGGTCTGGGTGGCGTGCGAACTTGAAGGTGAAGCCGACATTGAGCTCGAGTTGAAGGCTGGCCGCCACAGCCTCGTCACGAATGGCGTCGTAGAACGTGTATGTGAGGGTATGAAGGAGTTTTGACCCTACTAAAGGTGACTGTTGCTATAGACCAACTGTATGACGGGAAATTGAGGCAAAACACTCAGGTTGGGGCGAGAAACATGATGGACAACGAGGAGGATTAACCTGGACTTTTGGCCATGGAGAGTGAGGGGGACGACCAGGCTATCAATGAGCTGAAAGGTGGTGGTGCATCTCACCGTGGCGCCGCCGTGGTGCTGCGAGAGAGGGAGGGAAATGGGCGGCCCCAGAGAATGGACGGGATCCGGCACGGAGCAAGGGTCAACAAGCAGCTAACGCCAACGATGTAAGCGTTGGAGTGTGATGAGACTGGCCCCCCGGCGGTCGGGTTTCTGTAGCACAGCAAACTGGCAGCCTGGAGGAGGTGAGGAGGTGGTCTCGAAGGTGGTCTGGCGGAGCCAATGGCGATGAAGTAGAAGAATAATGGAGGTGCGCCAGTCGGCTGGGTTGCAGGGGACGGAGGCTCAGCTGTGAGCCTAGGGGGGGCAGCCGGGCTTCAACAGACTGGGCAGTAATACGAAGCCGAGTTTGTTGTGACGGATGAAAAGGAATCTCGATATCCGTGTAATGTAGCGAGGGAGTTGTTGTTGCGTGCTGCTCCATGACGGTGAAGGGTGTTCGTGAGAAGGATTCAAGCAACTCTGGGGTTTTGGTCATGAGGATGAGGAAATGTTGGATTTGGCTACCGGAATTCCTGGCGCTGTGAGTTGCTCGGCTATACTATAGTAGAGGCACTTTGCGAGGGAGTAGATCCCAGTCACAGTAAGCGCCCACTCACTCGCAGTCTGGACTATGATCCCCGTCGTCCGTCCTCGGCGTCAGCGGTTACAATGGCGTCAGGAGCCGCTATCCGCTGCTTTTTCTCCTGTCCCGTCGGAAAAGAGTCAAAGAATCGCGCCATAATATGGGGATGACCTCATTCCAAGTGACCAGGCCGCACAAGGACGGCTGGCATGCCAGCAGGGAAGAGAGACTTGGACGGGCCGCAGTGGATTCGAGTTGCTGCCGTGAATCGCGGTAGCAAACAATGTGGGTGAGGGACTGAGTATCAGTGAGTGGGTGAGAGTGAGCAAGTGAGTGGGGGGATGAAGAAAATGCCCTGTCAGGCAGAGTCGGGAGGGAGGAATTGGCTGTGTGGCTGAGCCGAGTTGGTTAGCAACTTAGCCCTCGTGCGCCCCATGCAAGAAGCACGGGAAAATGACGTGCAAAGAATGAGATGTGAGTGCTTCTCTCTCTGCCCCTAGCTCTTGATTGAATCTGAATTCAGTCTGGGGTGAGGTGTGAGTGAGGGAGGGAGCTCAGACTCGAGCCTCGACCAAGTCAATTCAGTTTTCAGCGAAGACGTCCAAGTGAGCCATAAACAACCTGGCAATTGGTCGCGAGCGTTCCCTCACGCTGCCTCAACTAGTCAGCTCTTTGGCTGCCAAGAAATCACCATACCTTGCTACAACTTACTTTGCCAATCCAGCGGGCACTAGTCCGTACAGATACATACATCCCTCACACCAATCCATGGTCCGTGGACATTTACAAAGATAATGATGAATGGAGTTGTAATGCTCCTCTTCGTTTCGAACAGAGCAATGCGCCATGAGTAAAGCTTCATGCTTCACTTGGCCCGCCCATTATCGGGCCATATACATCTCAAAGTGCTACGCCTCTCGATTGTGATTCATCCTTCCGCCGAGCACCGCCGCCTGACTTGGTTGACAGGGGCAATGTGGGTGCCAAGTGCATCACACCGAACGCCCATTGTAATGTAACTCAACACCAACAGTCGCTACGCGGAGACAACTCATCAGCGGCCTCGACGAACCCAACCCTGTTGTGATGTGATTCGTTTCAAATGATTTTGGTCTTGATATCCATTGGACTGAGCCACAGAGTCAAATTGAACGCAGTCATTCTGCGCCACTGGCAACTCCGGATGCCTCCCGGCTGGCCTTCTCTGCCTGTTCTCTCTCCCGTCACCTTGTGCGTAATACCAACCCGACCGCTCCATCAACTGACATTCAACTCAATCGCGCATGTTATTGCTTGGCTCCCATACCCCAATATGCCCCGCCCCCAAACAGCGAAGCGAAGAAGTTTGTGTTCGAGGGTGGCGATCGCCCGGTGATCCTCCTGCAAATCACCATCCACGCTCGGCAAGCTATTCGTCAAGTGAAGCTTAGATCCCGTTCACCGCGCCCCAACCTTGGCCTTTGACCAGGTTCTTGCGGCACGTAGAGCTTTTCCGCCTTTCCTAGTCTCCAAGCCCTTCCTCCACTTCTTCCACGAACACGAGAACATAGCGTAGACCCTCTCGCGCGTAGCCATCCCGCGCTGGCCTGCGTCTTAGCCTAGATCTCCCGCCCGCCCAATCCCGGCTGTCAACGTTCTACGGTTTCTTCCATCGTACCTAATTACCTGCACTCTTCCTAGTTTGATCTGACAGCCACCCAAGGCTAGTTCCGCCCGCCAACATCTGCCCGCTCCGGCCAGCCCGCATGCCTACTAACTACCTCATTACTTACCTTTGAATGAGCCGTCGTCTGTTTCATCCCTGCACGTCTATCTACCGGAAGCTATCCCAGACCCACGCAAGTGGCAAACCACTTGGCGATGCGGTGGGAGCTTCGAAAAGGCTGCTTAAGCTACACGCGCGACTGTTCTGCCGAGTACCAACCAGGATTCCCCCTCCACGTAGTCCCCCGTCCTCCGGCTTTTTCCACATGCATTTTCCCTCTATTCCGACTTCAACTCTTCAATTTTGCTGTCAAGCGTCATTGCTGGCCGCCTCTCATTCCTTAGGCTGAAGAGGGAGGCCGTCGCCCGTCGCCAACCAATGCTTCAATATTTCCATTCCTAATCAAGTGTTCCCGTGACAGTCTTGGCCGTCAAGTGACTGCGAAGCTGAACCACTTCCCTGTCACTCATCTTTGATATTCTCTGTTGCATCACAGCCATCCTCTACCCCCTATTTGTGATTGTAATTCCTAACCATTCCTTTTTCAATCCTAATTCCCCCATATGGCACCCCCCCCTTGAGTCTGATTCATGCACAATATTGACTTGTTTTGTTTTCAAAGTCGATTAACTATGATGTGTTTTGTCCATTTCCTCGTGGTTTATGTACTTGTAGCGGGCGATACAGATGCAATTCGCAAAGTCGAAGCTAGACCATCCCTCACGTACACATACTCTCTTTATATAAGAACTGAGCTGTTGGTTTGTCGAGAAATGTTCAAGGGCAGGCCAGGCCAACATCATCTCAACGATCCTAGCAACCAACATCTACATATCTTGCACTTTTGTCACCACCTTCATCATACCCGCCCCTCCACAGCGCAATATGTCAGGATCTAGCTACTACCAGCGTCCCGCTCCGAGGTTAGATAACTGGTCCCTCCCTTCTCACCCAACCGCTTGTGAGACCGATCCTAACACCTGCCAGCTACTCGCAAAATTCCACTTCTGCAAATACCGGCGGCCTGAGGCGCGACACCACTACCAATCAGACACCCTACAACTCCACAAGCTACACAGGATCACTCGACCCAATGGACAGATTTTGGGTCACGGGCCAGTCTTCGACGAGACCGAATCGTGTGGCTGGACAGATGGAGCAGTGGGATAGGCAATGGACCTCGGCCAGTCGTCGCTAATATGCCCGTTTGGTCCCCCATATACACTATTTCCCTCCTTGTATGATTAGTTTGTCCGATACCCACCCAGCATGGCATCTCATATGTCCATCACTTCCAAGAAACATGCGTCCCCCATGAAATATCTACTGTTCTTTGGCCCCCACTTCACGATCTCACATCGTCGCCGACCAAGGCCGCTGCAACGTCACAGGGAAGCGCAAAAGCAAAAGGAAGCACGACAGCGATATTTAGACTCCTCCACCTGGGCTCGAACCAGGGATCTCCCGATTAACAGTCGGACGCCTTAGCCAACTGGGCCATGGAGGAACGAGAACACCCAATAAGCCTTGCCAGCTGAGATGCGAGGTCTGGGGGGGGGCGGTTGTTTGCTAAGGTCTCATGCTCAGCGCATTACGCTGAGCCATGCGCATTCGGATGATGGCCTTATTTTGGACGATAGAAGAGACGAGGTTACCGAGGATGCCTCATCGGCTCTTTGGTGAGAATCTTGGTAATAATTGGTTGACGGGGTTGACATATTTGTTGCGAAGAACCGTGGCATAATCTATAGCCAGCCTAGTATTATAAGCACAGAGTTCTCGCGGGCAAAAGCATCACAATCGGGGCAGAGAGTTTAGGCCTAGCGTTTCGCTAGATCGGGCCTGCCATCCGGTGATCATACCTCTGTGAGACGGTATATGGTCATGGAGCCAACATTCTCGGCTTCCCAGTGACAGGGAGCAAAGTTGTACCCAGCATGTTTCATGCCGAGTGGACTCTGAACGTGACTTGCGGACTTACGTAGGGCTACTATTGTCGGTTTCCGACCCGAGCTCACATAATCACCCGTCCGGATCATAGTCCAACTCACCGGGTCATCCCGTCTTCGCATCGTGCGAGCCCGGTCTAGGTTAAAGACGGGACAAAAGCCCGCCGGGAGTTACAGTCTCATCTGTAGTGTAAAATCTTGGCGAACCGACTGAAACTTTCATCCGCAACAGAAAAGATGGGACGAGGCACCGACGAGTCTGGCTCATATTGGTGTGGATGTGGATGGCATGGGAAAGGAGGTGCCTCTCCAGCTCGCTTCCGAAAGGACCGAGATGACAGGTCTCGTGCTTTTATTTCCCCCCGGACTACATTCATGGTGGTCTAACCATATGAAAAGTCATGGAAAGCGGCCATGATGGGCCCCAGATGGACTTGATGGGATGGAATGGAATGTACATCTTTGTTTCCCTAGGAGAAACCAGTTAGCTCGATCCGGAACGTGAAGCTCGCGCCAGGCGGCGAACCGTCGATTTTACCCCGCCAGCGCACGAACCGGCAGCGAGACACAGCTTCACGGCTTCCTCACTTCATTTCACTTCATCTCACCTCTTCAACTCCACAACTAGACATGTTCATTTAGAGGTCTATCCTCGTTACACTTGAGGATCGTTGAATTCCACTCGAGTCTCAAGTTCAAGTGGTTTTCTCCTCAATTTTGAGGTACCTGAGTCGCCGAGCCAGCGCTACCAGCAAACAGAGAAGACGAAACTCAGAACCCCGGTCCTTGCATGAACCAACATGGCCCAAACAAGCCAGCGAAGAAAACGGCAAGCAGAGGAGGACCAAGATGAATATCTTGAGACACCGTCCAAGAGAAGTTGCGGGGAGGGCGATTCATACTTCAAATGGCTTTGGACACCGTCTCGTCCGCCATCACGGAAATCCTCCTCGTCGGGTCTGTGGAGCCACTCCGTACCAGACGGCCTATTCCTCACCCGCCATGACGCGCCCCGTCCCTTTTCCTTACCTCCGGAAACCCCATCAAGACGGCCCCGTCGCCGGGGCGCTATCTCGGTGACATCCTCGTCGCCAAGCGAGCTGGATCAACAACTCGCGCGGCAACTACAGCAGCAGATCGCCGTCATCCGACTCAAGGCAGCTGAGAGTCAGCATCTGGCAGAAGGCTACTGTGAAGAATACGACGGTGACGACGTCCACAACGACAGGGACGTTGATCGCATACGACATGACCTGGAGACCGTAAAGATTGACGCCTCTCTCCCGTCCGTCCTGGGTATCGCGATTGACTTTGACCAAAAACTCTGCCTCAGTTCCTCCGGTCATTCGTCAGATACCACCTCTGGGCATCGGGGTAAGCGACCAGGTGCTTGAGCAAAACCTAAATGATGGCGCCAACACACGCAAGGCCAGGGGAAAATTGAAAGAGTAAGGGTGGCACAGGTGAGGGGATGTGAGATGTGAGAGAAGGGGGGGGGGGGGACAAAAGAGAGTCATGTCCAACTATCAACCGTTGATCAAACACAACGGATAGGGGGAACCAGTATAGGAACTGGTACGCCCGCGGGCGCGGATGGCGCAACATCTTCCTCCTCGCGCACCTTCGCCCTCCTCTTTCACGTGCTTCCGTCTCTGGGCAGCAAGCAAAGTCAGCTCAACCAGCGGCGGAGATACGAGTCCGACTGCTCGGCAACCCAGCCTCGAAAACGGCTTCGGTGATAAAAAAGTAGTCGAGGCAGAAAAGACGTTGGAAACGCTAGTCTTGTGGAGGCGGTCCCGAACTCGAGACCGAACTCTGCGTTGCCAACATGAAGCTTTGCTCCACAACACCTGCTCGACACACATGCATCACATCGCTCACTTATCGTCAGGTGGAGGGTACGATTACGGACGATCTCCGTCTTTCGTGTGAACGTCAGACTGTAATAACACCATTGTGCACGACGTTTCAGAGAGAGAAATAATATACAAGTTTGGGTATAATGACCCTGAAGAAATAGTTAATAAAACATTGTAATAATGAACGTTACTCAGAGAAGTCTGAGCGCATTAAAAGTGACCGTTTCTTTTATGATACCTGTCATTTGACAGATTGAGAACCACCGTCTGTGACCCACCCTCTCTCAACTGGCCCAACTCCGCGTCTCTCAACCATGACTCTCACATCGCGGGCGGAGGCGGCGAGTCAGACCTCGCAAACGGCCAGTTTGGATCCTTCTCCCCTGTTGGGGTGTCGTCAAAATCCCCAAACGGACTCACGGTCTGCGTCCGTCTCAGCCAGTTCTTAGTACCCTCGCCAAACTCGTCGCTTTCCTCTTCAACCCTGTCCAGCTTTTCATTGTTTGCTGGAGCCGGCGCCTGTGCTTGTATCGATGCCGGTGCTGCATCTGTACCTGGAGCCATCGTTGGAGGAGGAGCACCCTCCTTCTCTTGATCTGGCGCAGGAGCCGGGGTGCCAGGCAGAGCCGTGGGCGGCAGGCCATCCCTAGACCTCGGGGGGAATAGAGAATATGGCGGTTTCTTGGGCGAAGGCGGGACTGGCCTCCTCGACACCGACTGCTCCCTTTGCATCGTGCCCACGCCCATCTGTGGTGCGTTACTGCTCACAAAGGTTGTCTGTCGGGAAAAGTTGGGTTGCCCGTCACCAAAGTCGCTGACAGCGTAGCCCATGCCGCCCGATGACCCCGTCGTGCGTGCTGTTTCTGGCCGAGCCGGCGATATTGGATGCTTGACGTCTTGCAAATAGCCATTGTTCATGGCCGATGCGTTTGTCGTCGTGAGTGTATTCTGCTTCGGATAACTGATCTCACGACGGAACTCCCGCGCCGTCCGCTCCCTGCGTTTATTACGCCGGTAACGAGAAAAGATGTAGAAGCCCAGAACGGTCAAGAGAGATGAGCCGATAATAGCTCCCACGACGGCGAGAGCCGCCTGTGTGACCGAAACCGCGGCACCTTGTGCTTGTGACACGCGTATATTTGCATCATCCTGTATACCATGTTAGAGAATGGGAGTGCCACAACCGTACGTGTCGGAGAATACGTACCCTCGCAGCTTGAATCTGTTGCTGAGCCTGCTGCTGAGCATTCGCTATAGCCGCACTGGCGGATGACGTCGCAACGGCAATGGCTTGCGCAGCACTGGCGCTGGCACTGGCTTGGATGCTCGCAATCTGAGAAGCCAACTGCGTCTGCGCACTAGCCGTGACCATGGCAAGATTGTCCGCTATCTGCTTGCTCGCGCTTTCCTTGGCAGCATTCTGGGCGTTGAGGATCCCCTCCCTCGCGCTCGCCTGCGCCTGGACGACGGCATTATTGGCCGATATCGAGGCCCGGGTGGCCGCGTCGTTGGCCTGTCTCGCCTGTTCCTCCGCCTGCCTCTGTCGGTCTCCAGCCTGTTTCACTTGATCGTTTGCTTGTTGAATAGCCTCCCGGGCGGACTGAGACGCCGAGGCAATGGCCTGTTGCGCAGATCGAGACGCCGAGTTGATGGCCTCAATAGGGTTGCCGAGTATTTGTCGTCCGAAGAGAGCCGGCGGTGTCGGTACCGCTAGCACGACGCGGTCCTCGAGACGGGCCGGCTTGTTGGCGTCCGTGGATGCCGTGGGCGGTAACGCCCGCTTGACCAAGAGGTCCTCGACCAGATCAAGACCTGGTCCCCTCCTCCGTTGAGGCTCCGCCGGTGACCTGTGATCTACTTCGCCCACCCATCGCGCTCGTCGCCCACTTCCTTCATTCGCCGCCGCGGCTGCCGCTAATACAAAGCAGGACAGAAAACAGAGCAGTACTATTCGTGGGAGGCAAGCCTTCACCATGATTTCATCGTCGTCGAATTATATGTGCCTCCTCTTCACTGCAAACATATTATCCGTATAGTCCAAAACGAAAGACCAACCTCGATCACCAATAACAAGAAGACTAGTAAGAGACTCGAAACGAAATGAAAAGAAACAATACAAGACAAAAACCGAGCTAGGAAAGAACGGCCGTCAGAGGGCTCGATCAGCGGCCCTCGCTCATGTTATGGCCCAAAGCCTGCTTCATCCTAACCGTCGGACCGCAGAGCCCCACGGCTTTCAGCCCAGCTGGGCAACACCGGAACGGGTCGAGACTCGTTGGTCCATCTCCTCACCAATATCACATCCCAGATAATCCAGTCAGCTCATTGGAAAGAGGTCCTGGGGTAGGGTAGGATGGGACCACACAGCGGCTTCTTTCGTCGCGATAGTAGCAGCAGTCGACTGGGTAGATCAGATTAGCGCGCCACCGTCCCATCTTCTCATTTGGTTTGGTAAGATGCCCTGAGCGCAGTTGGCTGTATGGCTGTAATGCATGCATGGTTTCACAAGTCAATTTGGAAACAGCACGCTGACAGAAACGCCCGGAAAGTTTATGCTTGCCGCCGGGAGCTGTTTGTTGCGCCAGCGGCATCAACCTTCGGCTGCGTTCCGAGCTTGAAGCTGTCTCAAAAGCTACAGTTGGACTGGATCCCCGGTTCTTTCAGGCTCGTAGTGGAGGGGAAAATCACAATTGCGGGATCATCTCCCAGGATCACTTGACTCAGACCCGGGAGAAAGTCAAGGTCAGTGTGGCCGGGTGAACCAAAAGCAACCGATGGCGACACTGTATCGAATTATTGAATCGTCCGCCGACTGCCAACACACCCAATGTCCTTATTCAGGGTATGGTCCCCGTCCGAGTTAGGCAAACGCAACGAGAACCTATAAGCTTAGCAGGGACCGACCTTCACTCGACGTCCCAAGAACCGCAACAAGATTTCGGAAGCCAGCGAACGAACCGAAAAGAACGAGTCATCCACACACGTGCTATAGCCGCTGGTAAATGTCTGCGCAAGTTGCGTATTTGTGTGTGTGTGAGCGAGTTTGGACGGGTGGGGGAAACAAGTTGCGTGAGCGTGAGGGTCGTGAGGGTCGTGGGAATTTGGAAACATTCTTCACATTGACCATCTATATACCAGTGGGTGTCCCGGTCTATTATTTTTTCAGTCTCGATCATATCGATCTGCGGGCACTTCGTGAGCAGCTCAGCCAACATATCCATCCGTGCGTGGATTCCGAACTGTCTAGCCGTGCAAGCAAAAACTTACCACATCTCCCAACGCCAGCCATGCATCCGTCCATCACGGAGGATATTCCGTATCCTTCCACCTGAGGCCAAACCTTTTTTTTTTAATGTGGTTTTGCATTGTGTGCCTGAGAAGATCCCAAGGTTTGTTGAGAGACTGGACCGGAAAAAAAAAAACAAGGTCATGGTCTGCCATTTGACTCCAGCGCTTGTTCGTAGCTTTTGTTGTTATAACCCATGACTCCGTTCTGCGCCGCCCGCCACCTGGCGGGCGCCGACCTGGCGGATGTTGCCAGGTCGGTAGCCGCATGAAACTTCGTGGAAAAGCGACTTTAAACGGGCAGCTTGAACTTCTTGCCCTTCATCACCTTGGTGTAGTAGATCCAGAAGAAGTCACTGTAGAGGACAGTTTGGATGAGGCCGGCGGTTATAGCAATCCAGTCAACCTTGTGGTTCGCCTCTGTGAAGTAACGGTAGATCCAGTTGGGAATGTACAGGGCACGGTAGATACCGAGTGCGAAAAGGTAGTGCGTGGTGATGGTCTCGGCCTCGCCTGTGCGCTGAAGCATGAAGAGCTGAGGCAGGATGGCGACGGCCTCGAGCCAGATGGAGAATGACCAGGAGATCTCCCAGAAGCTGTAGGAGTAAGGGAAGATGATGGCCAGAGCGGCAGCTCCACCGAGCAGGTACTGGACGCGGAAGGTATCCTGATTGGGGTCGTTGGTTGGTTTGTAGGCGGTCGTCATGAGGTAGACAATGTAACCTTGGGAGGTGATGAAGAGAATCTTGAAGATGAGATTCCATAGGCTAGAGGTTGTGAACAAGTCTGGGACAAGCGCCGATTAGTTCGGGTCGGTTCAGAGAGGAGAAAGAGGCAGTCCGGCATACCAAGGTACCTGGTGATGTACACCAGAAAGTAGAGGGCTTGCGACTTGAAGGAAATACCAGAACAGCTCTGAAAACAGATCAGATAGGGGTCCTGGGTGACGACATCACGGGTGTCGCAAAGCTCACATTCAGCTGCACCATCTTGTGGAGGAGGATGCCGATACTGGCAAGGTGGGACAAGTCCCCTGCGAGCCCATCATGTTAGTCCCCAAAGCAAGCACTCATATTGTCGTATATTCTGGCGACACATACCGGTAACACGGAAGAGATTGAGCATCGTGGCGGGTTGAGCGCGGCAAGGCGATCAATCGCGATTAACGATTTGGGACGAGAAAGCTTTAATTCGGTTGGGAGCTTGGGGCTGCCAGTGACAGCGCGGCTTATCGGGTAATCGTAATCAAGCGAGTGCAGGTCCTCTCGCTGTCGGTGCTCGTCGCCGTCGTCGTCGGGTAACTTCGTGACGTGGCGTATCGTTGGTTCGTGGTGTTTTGGTGTCGTGAGGCGGAATGTATTGGGTTGCCGGGGAGGGAGCTTCCTAATTGCGTTCGGCACAGCTGGCAGCTTTTTTGGGGGGGTTTTTTTCCAGGAGGTCGAAAGGACACGAACGCGATTGCAAGCTCATTGGAAGCTGGAACCGACACTCGAGCCACACTGGCAGGGCGAGCTGCCACGGTTGGTCGCCTCCGTTGTCCGCCTTACCTAAGGTGATACGGATGGAAAGGCTTAGGTAAGGCAGGCAATGAGACAGTGGTGCCCTCGCTGAAGGATCCACAGCGGGTAGGTGCCTTAGTCTCCAGGAACAGAAAGTGCTTGGATCTCTCATGTTTGGTCTGCGGCACTACGGCACAGCAGCTGAGGTAATCAGGGCGGAATCGAATCGCGGGCCCACCTTTAAGTCCAGCCCCGAAAGCGACGGAGGTCGGGGACTCGGGGATTTCCAGGTGCGCCAAGATGTGACGTATTACAAAGCTGCCCTCAATGACAAACCTCCAAGAGTCCCATCACAAGTGGCCATCTGCGCCTCACTCGGTGCGTTTCCCAACATTTCCACGAGTGCCACCCACCTCTGTATATAGACTCATCACTTGGCGCCACTATTAGCAACAGCCTTTGCGACCCTGCACATATTACACCAAGTGCCCATAGCACCCGTCACACAAGCTTTGAATAAGACGATCAAGTCGCCTGCAAACCGAAGCCCCACCCCCCACCATGGCCGAACTACACTCTTGCGAGTCCGACTACGACGAATCCGCCGATGAAGCCATCACCATCACACTCACCCACCGCAACACACCATACACTTTCAAATTTTCCTCGGACGGAACAATCACCCACCTCTCCGAAGATGTCGAAGACACCCTCTCGATCCCCCCTTCAAATCAAAAGTTCATCGTCCCGAAGCTCGGCCTCCTGAAGCCCCCTTTCAAAGACCCCGACATGTCCCTCGTCGATCTGCAGAACAAGAAGATCATGCTCATGGGCGTCGAGGCCAAGGAGGTCGCATCCCTCCAGGCCGCATCCGAATTTGCCGCGAAACGAAACGCCGCGCGCAGTGCCGCGCGGAGACAGAACCGGCCCTCGAGGAGGAGAGACCAGGGACGCGCGCAGGCGGACAGCACCTACACCTTTCTCTCGGTCCGGCCGCTGGCAGGGCTTCCGCACCCGGAGCGATCCCTGGCGCTTCTCGAAAAGCTGAAGGAGGACCCGGGCATCCGCGCCTCGATGCGCAAGCACAAGTTCAGCGTCGGCCTCTTGACGGAGATGGAACCCCTGTCCAACACACAGTCCAGCCACGAGGGAACCACTAGGCTTCTTGGCCTCAACCGCAACAACGGAGAAGCGATTGAGCTGAGGCTGAGGACGGATGCGCACGACGGGTACAGAGATTACAAGACGATTCGCAAGACCTTGTGCCACGAGCTGGCGCACAATGTACACGGCGATCATGATCGCAACTTTTGGGATTTATGCCATCAGATTGAGCGCGAGGTCGATGCTGCGGACTGGAAACATGGCGGGCACACGGTTGGAGAGGGATCTTCGTATCATGCGCCGGGACAAGATGAGGAAGATGGCTTCGAGGATCACGGCGGTTGGGAAGGCGGCGATTTCGTGGTGGGAGGAAGTAGTGGTGGCAACACTGGTCTGAGCCGACGAGAGATTCTGGCAAAGGCTGCAGAGGAGAGGGTCAAGAAGATGAACATGGAGAGGAGGGATGGAGGCAAACCCGATTCTGGTGCATCGTCATAAGGGATAGGGCATTGGAACAAGCGCTCGTTTGATTTTTCTGTTTTCTTGCTTTCTGGATTCAGCATTGCACAGGCGTTGGTGGCATGAATATGGGATATGGAATGGGCCTCGCTGGTCACGGGGTAATTAATTATTCAACTCAACCACGATAAGCGTCCGGTCACAAAACCATCGAATGCCTAGAACGCTTCTTTGTTGTTCGCACCCTAGCAAATTACGTGGCCCTCTAAACGCTCAGTGGGATGGTTCAACGGGCGACATGTTGGTACCCGAGGGGTAACTGATATTGTTACTCGTACCAATAGTCCGCCTTCTTATGAATGCTGTGAAAAAAGAAAGAGAGTGACCTCGTCCGAGGGTCCTCCCGGTATAATATTCCTTTCGTAAAACGCCTGGATGCCATGCCTATGCCATGTCCGGAAACGCCACCAATGCATGCAAACGAACGGCGATGCCAATTGCTGCCGCCCAAAATGCCGATGATTTTGCTCCAAAAGGGAGCAAAAATAAAAAAAAGCCGTTCGCGAACTCGAGGAGTCATCGCTTGACCCAATCCAACCAATCATGCCGATTTTTTCATCAGTGGAAAAAGGCCATTCATTTCTTCTGCGTCTTGAGCCACTCCTTTTGTTCCGGCTCCCACCTGTGTCTGTGTCTCATGTTAGTTGTGAAAATAAAAGTCGGAATTCCGCCGCCAGGGTCCAAGCTTATTATTAAGGGAAAAAGCATGGATCCCAACGCAGATCTCTAAACTTACCCTTGCCATTCGGTAGTCACCAAGCTCTTGGTGCCGTACTCCTCGGAAAGGATGCGCTCAAAACTGTAGGGAATGGTGGCGGGGACACCCTCGAACTCGGTCTCGCGCATGGGGAAAAGGTCGGTGGTGCGGTAGCGGTGGTGATTCTTACAGCTCCAGACACCGGGCATGCCGGTGGGGTTGCGCTCGGCGAGGCCAGTAATATCGATAAAGGCACCGTTGGCCATGTTGATCCAGCGGGCGTCGATGATGTTCTGGCCGTCGCCGCGGTCCTTGTCGGTGCCGTGGGGGTTGACGTCGAGCAGGTAGCGTTCCCTCCTGGCGTTGCCATCCTCGTCGGTCCAGTCGAAGTCGTGCTCAGTACGGTTGAGGTTCTGGCCCATCCAGTACAGAGTCGCCGTCGAGACTTGTACGTCGAGGTCGTAATCCCACGGCATGATTTTGCCGTTCCACCACCAACCCAGCAGCGTGCCGTGTGCGAGCCATGTCTCGACCTTAAGCTTCTTTGTAATGATCAGATAAGAGCGGACGAGGTTGCGGAGAACAATGCGGTGGTCATCGTAGCCCACTGCTTCCCTAAAGTAGCGGATATCGTAGTGGCCAAGCTTTTCACCGCAGCAGGGCTCGTGGAAGTACTTGTTGTCCTGACGCTTTCCCGAAGCCTGCAGTGAGTTACGGCTGACGTCTCTGGACGCTGGAGGAGGTGCCGCGATGACAGTAGTTGTGAGGCCCAGCAGGGTCAGGGAGAGAGCAAGGTTGAAGCGCATCTTGGCTAGAGTGTGTTTTTGTTTCACTTGAGCGGGTTTCGTAGAATCAAGGACCAGAATTGAGGATTATTAGTCCCCAGAAGTGATTGCCAAAATTTCGAGGTTCCAAAAATTGGGAAATGCAGTTGTTTGTCAAGTTTGCGGGAGGCCTCGTAATGCCAAGGATGTCCTCGGGAGGTTGCCGATGCGAGGCAGGAAGGAGGTAACGCTGGAGGTGAGAGAAACCAGAGGGGCCGATGAAGGTCGTTCGTTGGTTGCCTTCTAAGCAGACTTGAGAGAGGTATCGCAGTGACAGGTGAAAGTGAGTGCAAGCGCGGAATAATCCCTTCGTTTTCTGGGTGTCGGTCAAAATCAATAAATGAATCGGTTGTCGGTATCGATAAAGCTGATCAGGCGACGGCGAGGTGGTATATGAGACGATTTCTGGAGGAGGACGACGACGAGGACCAGGAGGAATGACGAGCTGGACAAGTCTTGACGCAGAGGATGAGATGGTGAAATGCGTGCCTGCAGGTCTTCAGACCGGATGTTGAGGTCAAGTCTATGTCTATGTGACGAAAGACGTCAAAACACGCAGATGCCAAGGAGTGGGAGGTAAGAGAAGAACATCGGAGCGGGCATTAGGGATGCGCGGCAGGGCAGGAGGGAGGTGATATGTACAAATGGATGTGGGAGGTGGATGGAGCGAGTGGTGGCTGCCCAGCCTAGCCATGTATGCGTACCTATTCGTGTATTCATACATGGGAGTGAGTGAGATACGGGCCAGAGAGAGAGAGAGAGAGAGAGGCGTGTAGTGACGGGATGGGTTAGGAGGGATGGAGGCGTGAGGGTGTGGGCGTGGGCTTGTGGTGGGTGTATGGTCTGGTATGGTATTAGTGCAGCATCCCAAGTCCGGCCATGGCAAAGAATCCCTACGCATCCCATGGAGCGCCTATGGAACTGGATTTTTTTGGAGATTCTTGCTGCATCGGTTTCTTTGCCAAGATGACAATCAACGCTGGATCAGCCAGTGATTTTTGCTCCAGTCTATCCGGGGGGCCTCCTTTCTTGCACCTCATTGTCCCTTATTTGGATCTCAGTCCATCCAGGGCCTGGATTTCAGAGCCAAGGACGCAAGAGACAAGGACACCATTAAACAACGAAGAGGGACACAACAGGAACTCGTACCTCCTCCGCCAGGACCGCTTCGCATGTCTCGCCTCCAGCCGTTCCGCTGTCTAAGCCGCCAGGGTCGGCCCAAGTAACGGTAGTAGCAGACTGCGGCAGTATGAATGGGTACCTTACTACCCTACGTAGAGGGCGTACGAACAACGGGAAGGCAGTCAAGGTGCGGATACATGATAGACTGTATCGGTAGACTCCCACATTCCTTTGTGAGAGACTGAGACTCGCGGGTTTGCGCGTATGCGCCATGTTTGAGCGGCATACGTAATCCCGCGTCGAAAGGAGTTGATGGAGGCAGGGCCCGGGCTGTCGCCGGTGGCCGGGAGCGGGTGACAGGCCGCGTCCTGCGGTGGGCGACGTAACCGTAGTGCTGCGCCAGCCAGCCAGACGAGGGCTGCTCGCCGCCCATCGGATCCATCAAGATTAATTAAAAAATAAAAATCAGCGCATACAAAGTAGTCACAGACTGGCGAGAGCATTCCGCCGTACGACAATCTCAAAAACAAAAAGAAGCTTGAGCAGAATAGGACCCTGTGGGTGTGGTCCGGGAAAGACGGCGGGGGGGTTGATGGGTGGCCAATGAAAGGTAAGGTAGCAGTAAGGTAGCAGGGGGGTGGAGAGATGGGGAGAGACCACATCATGAAAGGAGTTGTTGGAGCGTGGACCATGGCGTGTGCCGAGTGCCGTTGGCCGTGTGCCGTGTGCCGTGGGCGGGATATCTCTTCAGAATCTGCACCCTCGCATCGTCTCGATGCTGCTCGGAATGGGCAGGGGGTAGGGACTCGCTTGGGACAGGTCCATGGGAGGGATCGAGTGTCGATCGAGTGTCGTGTGCTCCTGCTCCCGCCTGCTCCTTCCTGCTCGCTCTCTGCTCTCGTGCTCCTTCTCCTTCCTTGGTGAAGTTGGGCCAGGTTCTTGCTCTTGCAGTTCCTGCCAGTCGCTGCATAAGTCGCTAGCGGGCTTGGCACAATTTGGGGCTCTGGGGCTCCGGGGCCTGGGGGTGGCTCCAACGTCAAGGTCAGCGCCGGCGCCACTTGTGCGGAGCTAAGGGCATATAGGCGACTAGCCGATATCTGCGGCCGTCTGCGGCAGTTAGGTACCTTGGGCACCTTAGTTTTTTAATCTCGTCCTCATTCTGTGCGACTAGTACGGAGGTAGCTACCGCAAAGTTTGGTCAATCCTCTGCCATGCACCGCCGTTCGCTCGGTGCTAGGGTTAGTGCCGAGTGTGCCGAAGAGCCGGGTGAGCGACAACGACGACGACAGCGACGACGACGACAATGACGGCAGTGTCCCATCGTGTTGGGGAGCTTAGGTTGTCTCGACAATCTGATATCAGCAGCATGAGGTAAGGTAGTCCGAAGTGGCAGACAGTCAGCCGTAAAGTCAATTGCAGTCATCCCATGGACGTAAAAACGTAAACACGAAACAAACTCAAGGGGGGGTATTTTCATGTAATCGATTTCGTTTAAGCGAATGCCGAGGTGGAGTGGAGAAGGGACACCGTTTGGCCGAAACGGCAAGAGAGCACCTGACGAGAGAGAAAGCTTTCCAGGTATGTTGGCTACCTTACATTGTAGGCAGGGTGGCAGCCAAGGTAAGGTAGGTAAGGTAGCTAGCTGCCAACCCACCTAACGTCACAACGGGGCCTCCCCACGGACCCATCCCAATGGATGGAAGGTGGCCCTTGTCGCTACTTCCCGGCCGGGGCACTCATATCTGGATTGTGGGCGGTTCCTTCCATGATAATACTCCGTACTCCGTACTTCCTACTTGGTAACCAAATCACCAAATTCATGGTTCACCGCAGGCCCGAAATATCGATAACGGGGCTGTTTGGGGCGCGGCGAATGGGAAGTATCGCGGGTCAGGTGTCGCGTGCCCCCCAGATTGACTCTACCTTAGATGCCCGCACTCAGAGATGCAAGAGTCCATCCGATGTTGAACCCCCAAGGTGTGCATATTCACCTTGAAATGATCGGTCCAGCCCAGGTCACTCACTGCTGCGCCTGACGGAGACGCACGCCGACACACACAGCCCACCTTAATCGCCATCGGAGCAAACAAAACAACTTGGGACCAAACTACCAAACAGGCACGCTGCACAGGGTCACGCTCTTACTGCCTTACCTACTTACTACGTAGTACCTATAGTTGGCACTTCATTCCTACGAATACGGTTTACAGTTTACACACGCCGCCCCCTTGGCGCCATTCAGCTGGGCTCCTCTCGTCCAATGACGTATGGCCGCTCCGTCGGGGCCTCACCTTGGCCGTCGCTGGGCGGCTGGGCTCCTGTCGATGCGTGACGGTGACACAGTGAATCCCGTTCCGCTGCTTGGCATATGGGATTCTGTCAGACCGTTTCACCGAACAAAATACCAAGCACGCATCGTTCGATCATTTTACATAATAGCACTTGCAGTCTTGCTGAGGACTGTATCGGTAGGTAATCGAAGAGCAAACCGCCCTCGTTCTCACCATCTCCTTCTTCGTCCCATGCCCTATCCGTACCACTTGGAGATATCTACACCCCTTGGCCCCGGTTGACAGTCGCACATTCAGCATTAATCCGCTCCGCGTATGGCGATCTGCGGCTCTGCCACAGCGCAGTCGTCAACGTCTGATATTCTGGATGACTGAAACAGAAAGACACGACGAACGACTCGAGTCTTCCGTCCGAACCCACTAGGCCCATCAACCCAGAACAATCCAAATTCCACCAGACCGTCCAACTAGATTGCGCCCAGGCTTCAATGGAATGGCTAATGTGCCCAGACCACCCCCCCCCCCCCCCCCCCCCCCCCCCCCCCCCCCCCTCCCCCCCCCCCCCCCACCCCCCCCCCCCCCACCCCCCCCCCCCCCCCCCCGGCCCCCCCCCCCCCCCCCCCTTCTCCCCTTCCAGCAACCTCGCCATTTCACCGTTCCGCCGCCCCAAGGGTCACGCTTCTCAGTTCTCAGTCTCGGTAGGTCAACCAACCGCATTCCACTCCAAATGGCACTTGGCGCCAGTGGCCCCATAACGACGCGTGGCCCTGCTGTAAGATACCCCTGCCTCTTATCCCTTTTGGCAACAACCGCTCCAGTGTCTTCAAGTCTTGTCCCCAGTCGAGAGACACGGCCGATGCCAATGTTCTGTCCCCTGTTTGGTCTGCGTGTCTGCTCATTGATGATCAATGATTTATTTTTTTGGATGCATCAGCTGTAACCCACCAGAGTGGCCAGAACTACTCCGTACTTCATATACATCGGTACTCCGAACTGCTCTGTACAAATCCTCGCACGCTGACTGATTAATCGGAACCGTGGCGCATGCGTCCGCTATTTTGTGGCTCAGTCACTTCCGCTCTGCCCATCGTCCGCCTCCCTCCCATCGTCGATTGTCCAATGTCGTCGGACCCAGGACTGTGTCACCAACAGTGCCCCTGTGGGCCTTTCTCCTTTGGCGGGTGGCCGGCCCATGGAGTCGTTGCTAGTCGACATAAGTTTGGCGGCTAACAATCGCAGCTTTCGTGGCCCTCGGTTTCAGGTTCTCCTGTCAACTATGGCAACTCGTCACTGGCCGCGTGTTAGGCGTCGACAACCGGCAACATTTGCCGAGGAGACAACAGCCTGTGGTCGGAAACAGCTATGGCTTCCAGGGCTGGAAAGCGTCGCTCAGGACTAGCAGGAAGGGAGGCAATCATATCGAAATGAGGAGGCAAGCCGCAAGCCGATGGCCCGTACTATAGTACTCGTGTGTGCGGCGCTGCGCCCTCTGTAGCCAATCCTGTGGCTGCATGCCTCGGCGCCGAACCGGCCAAACAGAGCCAGCAACAAACGACTGCGGCCTTGGGT